CATTTTCAACAACAAGTGGGGTTCGGCACAGGATTGGAAGTGCTTTTAAGTCCAGACGAATCCCTGCAGGGATAAAGTAAAGATTTCAAAGTGAAAGAGACTGACATTGTAAAATAAACATTTTCCTTAGTCGGATTATAGTTAATGGTTTTATCCACGGGATTTTGGGTATTAGAGTATGAAGTAAGGAAGAAAACAGTTTAAACATTTCTATGTCGGATATCTGTTATAGGACTGTAGGAGAGGAGTTTTCATACAGTAAGGATTTTACTTTAAAAATCGAAGTTTAAAAGTAGTCTTTCAAATTTGATAAACAAAAATCTCTATACCGGCCAGGAATGAGATGTTTATTTGCTGGAGAAGAATGTGCAGTAGTGAATCTTTTAATTCTTGATATGAAAAGGAATTTTAAGCACGCTATCTATAAGACATAAAGTAAGGGAGTTCAAGATTGGGAGTTAAATTAATGATCAGACAAATGCAAAATTCTTGTAGAAAAGAAAATTGATTGGTTTTGGCAGCTGCCAAAATGTTGCTGATGATTTTCGTATGCAGTGCTAAAATCTGAAATAATTGTAGGAAGTAACTTTTGATGTTTGCTCATAAGGAGATAAGGAAATTAAGAAAATTAAACAAGTATGCCCTACAAATTTGTCATGAAAGTCGACAGAACCGAATTAAGCTTAATTTATTTACATAAAGTGTTGAATGTTTTATCTCATGCACGGGTCATGTTGTCTTTATCTTATCTAGTTCAGAAATAATTAGATTAAATAGATTCTAAAAATGACATATGGACGTAAATAATGTTAGATTAAATCAATAGTCATTGTATTTTTTTATTCAAACTTTTTAATAGAGAAAATATACCCTCTATAGAACCCCATTAAAATCGGTAGCAAGTGTCGAAAAAACTAGACGACAGTTGGCCCTCTAATTTAGCCATCTGTTAATGTGTGTTTATTTTTGTATGAATAACCTTTCCGCCGTACTCACAAAGGGGCATGGGTCTATACACTACAAAGAAGAATTGGTTTATACATTACTATTTGCATTTCCAAAATATTAGATTTTAAATATTGCTTTATAATAGGAATACCACATGTTACCGTATAAAGAGGTGCATGTAATTTATAAATTAAAAAGTTTTGAAACTTTTTTGTCACTATCGGTGACGGTTTTTTTTATGGACCAATGATCTTGCACAAATCGGCAGCTGTTCCGTGTTGTTTTTATCATTGTTAAAATATTTTATCTTTATGTTCTCAACAGAAAATACAAATCATTTAAAAAATTCAAATTAAAAATTGAGAAAAATTACGATTAAAAACAGGCATTCAAGTCTGGTACATTTTTATAAAATCTAGTTAAATTTTGATATAAGATGGTTTTTTATTCAATAGACGCCCTTATCTTATATTACATAACATAACTAGAAGAGAACATGAGAGCAATCTTTTCAAATATTTTTTTGATAAAATTTGACCTCGATTTTAAGTTCTTTGTTTTCGTAGCTACTGGCAGATGATTTGCATGGCAGATGTGCCGATTTTGTTTATGAAAAGGGTATTTGTTATAAATCTGGAAGGATATATTTGGATGTGCGCCACCTCTCTTAAAAGTTGGCCTCGCAAATGAATGTTATTTTATCCAGCGATTCAGTTTTAATTAAACTGCCATTACATCAAGGGGTTTCTGGTTTAACAGAAATTTACTTTTGCTTTTAGTGAAACCAGATGCTTCATTTTAAACGAGCGGTAAAAATAGAAAAGAATTTTTGATGAATGATCCGGCAAATATGCCCTGTAATTTCAATTTGACGATACCGTAATTAGCCAGGTATGAACCGCATCTTTTTATAACTTCAAAGTAGCTACGTACGGTTATTGTATGTGTTACCCTGTATGCACAGTAAATACCGAAAATTCAATGGTATACTAATGTCATTGATGTATCCACGTTACCAACAGGACAAAAGGTATCGTGGAAATATTTTCAAGACGTGTTGTTTTCATTTTTCATCATCTGAGACATCATGGAAATTTGGTCTTATAAAATGCAACCTAATAAACAATGCAATGTAAAAAAAGAGAAACATTTTTTTTTTAAATCTAATGTGTAGTGTAAGAAGCGCATTTCAGACAATTTTGTTCTGGAAATTTCAAAGGCAGATGTTAGAAAAGATATAGAGGAAACATACACTTTGAAAATATATGAGTATTGACCATATTCTAGAAACAACTACCCTTTTATCCACGGCATCGAAGCTGCCACGATTGTACCTGAAAAAGGGATTAACATATTCAACTTGTATTCTCAGTATAAACGAACTTTAATCTCAGCAGAATACTTCATGCTGTCTCTACAAGTCTTTGATTTATTGGAAAGAAAGAAATCTCAATATCTGGCTGACGATAATAGTTGCCAGTCGATCGATCCGCTGGTACTTTAAGATTATAATGACTTTCACTTGCTTCCCTAACTCAATCATTTCTTCATAGATCGTCCATTTCAACGTGACCATCGTTAATGGATCTGTCGTTGTCGTCTTGAGGCCCTAGTTACATTTATTTTATAGAGGTATACGATGGGCTCAGATGTAGAAATTAAAATGCAAATATGAAAAAGCAGTGATACCGTAGGTATGCTCGACTAACAAAAGTTTGAGGAGACGTGTTTTAGTTAGTGAGTAGATATTATGATATCGAGGAAACGTATTTTAAAAGACTGTCGAAGGTCTTCGCTGCGTATCTTCATTGGGTGGAGAGTATGTCGAAGGTCTTCGCTGCGTATCTTCATTGGGTGGAGAGTATGTCGAAGGTCTTCGCTGCGTATCTTCATTGGGTGGAGAGTATTACGCGTATAATTTTGATAGTTTATTGTTGGTACTTGCAACACCATGTTATATATATATCGCTTGTACCCACGCACTTGTTTGCTTAAACTTAAAGACAAATGTATACTCAGTTTGTTAAAGGATCGAAATTTAGATACACAAACAAATTAAATCCATGTGTCAAATTTAGAACTAAAATCAAAGAATATTTACTTGGTAACTAAAATAACCCCTATTTCGATCCTCTTATAACGGAACCATTCCATCACTGAATAATAAACCGTATTGATTTTTCCGAACCCGATCAATTCTTATTCCCAAAGCCGACTCGGAAATTATAATGCTTCTGGGTTTGACAATATTGCATCCAAACTAATGAGTCATTGATTTGTACAACGCACAATTACGGTCTCCAAACCATTAAATCAGTAAATGTCAAAAACATTGAGGGTACCTGTGTTCTTTTCTATTTTAGATAAATAAGAATCATTTGTTTAACATGGGCAAACGCGTTGAACAAAAGAGATATTTTTTTCAATCATGTAAAAAAATAAATAAACTTAAAACTTTACGAAGTAAAACGTTGATAAATTTCTCATGTCTAATAGGAAATTAAATCTTATTATTATAAATCTTACATTATTTTTTTGTTTGTTTATTCGCTCTTCGTGTTAGTAATAAGTTTTGGATTATCAAATATTTGACCTCTTACATCACAGAAGAGACATTTATGAGGGGCCTGATGGGGGGGTCTCATCACAATTCACGAGTTGATTTTTTTGTCAATCACGATTCACAGAAAATAAATTTCAATGATCACGGATCACGAAAATATAAAAAAAAAATCTGAAGAAAAACGGATCACGATAGCGAAAATGCGTCGATCACGAAGAACGAAAATAACCCATCAGGCCCCTCATTTATTGTCGAAATGTGTATCTGATGCCGTACAATAGGAACCGTTAATGTTTTTACACTGAGTTTCTTTAATATGAATTTCAAAATCTAGACTATCTTAAATGTTATCATGTAATGCAAGTTTAAGGGTTCCATGTACTTTAATGTAAAACGTCAACTTTTTTCTTAAAAAAGATGAATCACAGTTAACAATCTGAGACAATAAAGTTACAGACCTGCTGTCATGGAGATGCTTTTTAATAGATACTTTTCAAAATATACATCTTTCTCTCTATAAACATATGTATTATTATTGTTTTGTTTACTACAATAACAACAAGCTGGTCAAGCCAAAAAATGCAAGAAGTATACAATTCTAATGTACGATAATTCCTTAGACATAAAGTTAGTCTCACTTAAAGTCTTTTGAATTAGTAACTTACTGATAGCCGACTATACGGAATGGGTTTTTACCATTGTTAAAGGCCATACGGTGGCCTATAATTCCTTCCTATACCACTTCATTGTAACTCTGTTGGATTGTTGTCTCATTGGCAATCATACCGCATTTCCTCATTTTTTTAATACTTAGTAGTCAAGTTTAACGGACATTTTACCCATTCTTTTTAATTTTCGGATATTATACCTTAGAAGAATTGTGATATAATCAGTGAAATGCATCATGAGAAATTTGTCGTGTCATAGATCTTTCATCACAGAAAGTGAATTGAAGTAAATGTAACTCGAGGAATGGAATAGTTCCAACGAACCAATTACTTCTTATCAACTTCTGATTCATTCGTTCTCCGTGGTTATCGATTGCCTCTGTATATATCTCCTCATTAAGACAGCGTAATTGCTAAATTAATCAATAAATTGATTACATTTTTATATCATCAACCACTTTGCATTGTTAATACAGGTGCTTCACTAGTCCATAGTGTATGATAGTGCGCACACAGTCTTGTTTAATCAATTTTTACTGCGGACGGTATAAAACCGATTTGCAAAACAATCAGACCATTTATATTTCCTTTTATTGATGAAAATATCTACTGAATATTTTATGCTAAATAAATATGTGAAGATCGATTGGAATCGATTAAAATTGTGTTGTTATATAAATATAAAAAATCTCTGTCGTGATTGAAACGGAAAATCGGTGTTATTCCGTCTCTGCTGCATTTTTTCTATCCTCTTTATAACAGGAAGTTGAGTGGGCGGTGAATTACAAATTATTTTATTCGAAGAAAATGTTATTTTACAGAAGATAAAAAACTTTTTGTTGGTATGTTAAATAAGCAACAGACGGAAGACGATGTAAGACAGTTATTCCAGCCATTCGGAACAATTGAAGAATGTACAATATTGAGAGATCAGAATGGTAACAGTAAAGGTAATAATATGTCCTGTATAAATAAAACCTCGTGTTCATTTCTTACACATTTTTCGGTCTTATTTTAAAACTTTAATATTGAACTCCAAAGAGTTTTTAGATGTTTGAATTTTCTTACAGCTAATATAAACAATAACATAATCAGAGACCTATAATACAAGAGATTAGCAACTCCCTTTATTGAAATCTATCGAAATAGCATATAATGTAATAACTATATTTTCACCTTCAGACATATTCCTTTTAATCTGGGAACAGTATATCTATTTAATCATTTTTCTACTTTAGTGTAGAATTTTCCGGATATGATATAAAAAAGGTTTGAAAAAAAACATATCTTGAGAAAATTACTTTATGAACAAATAAATAAATAAAATCACCTAGTATTGGTATGACTGATACTTTACTTCTTTTTTCTTTTTGATAGTATTTATATGATGTTTTAAAAAAATTAATCCTAAATGATTTCTTGATAGGGTATTGAGGTATTATTTCAATATTTTTTGCAATTTTTGAGAAAATGAGAATTTAATTTGTACTGAACACAATATCAATGAAAAAACCAGGGTCGTGTTATATCATGAGAATTTGCATAGTAACCAATCTCTTGTAATATATGTTTATGACAAAATCATTTAAATTGCCAAACCTGCTAATGTAAGTTACTTTACCTTTAAATCAAATCTCTTAATTATAAGAATAATAGATAAAATTATAAGAGAAAAATCGTGGTGAACAAATGCTCTCTAAAGGCTATTGTGGAATTCGGATAAAGGGAATGGAATTTAGAAAAAGGGAATGGAATTTGGAAAAAAGGAATTGAATATGGAAAAAGGGAATGTAATTTCGGAAGTTGGTTACTGACTAGTCATTTGACTCGAAGTACAGACATCAATCAAAATCTCCTTCAGCTTGTCTGATAACATGTTTTTTGGATTATAGATCAATTAACTGATGGATTATTGTAAAAATTAAGAGAATTGGACTATTAAATACTAAAGCCTATAAAGTGAAAAAAATTCATGGAGACCATTACACTTTTCAGAGGCTATGATAAAATCAAATAAGTTCTGTGAAAAAATCCTGCAGAAATGACAAATGTTCAATGAAGATCTACATTTTATTATAGGTTGTGCATTTGTTAAATTTACGACAGCAACGGAAGCCCATTCAGCCATTAGTGCTCTGCACGGAAGTCAGACTATGCCTGTAAGTTTAAACAATGTATGTAAAGTCATATTATTGCACATTTTCTTCTGTTTAAGGTGTTCTCTAAGTTCCATTATTCATATACTATCAATTTATAACAGTCTTTTATAAAGCTTGTTATTTTGAAACTGAGGAGCCAACATCCTTAAAGTCATGTTAAAATTGATTTTTACTGATACAATCTGCTAGTCTTGGAAAGCAGATTTTCTTTTCAGTATTGGTGGATTAGTTTAATGTTTATTTCAAGATGTAATACTATATTTAGTTTTTCTGAGGAATCACAGCAACTGAGTAAATGAACTTAGGGAATATTAAGTGAATTTAATATTTTACCACGATTTTAACTTACTTGGTGGTTAAATACATGTATTTAAAACTGTAGGCATTATTTTTGATAGTAATTTCAACACAATAAAAAACAAACCTTCAATGTATATAATTTTCTTTATTTCAAATTCTTTTATAATTTCTTTTATTTCAAATTTTATTTGGCATGCTTGTTATGACTTTAAATAAAATGACCTTTTTCAAAGCTATGTTAAATTTTTTTCAAACTAAATTCTGTTTATTTTATTCTTACATGATCTATATTGATAAAGTATATATAGCCTTTTTTAATTGAATTTAGAATTTGTTTTTGTTTTGTAACAGATTTTTAACATTATATATTAATGTAGATAAGTGCATATGTTGCACACGAAAACCTTCTCCATAAACCACAAATTATCATTGCTAGAATGCAATTTATGTTTTACATCAACATGAAAACTAATTAGGAGAAATAATTAGATTAGCTAACACAGGGGAGGGTTTTAAACCAGAAATCATCATCTATTAATTAACATAATTGAGGCAAATATTTGTAAGATGCAAAAAAATTGTAAATCATCATGGGTATTTTCTTTGCCTTATAATATTTCCAGCAGTAAGTAGAATCAGGAGTGATATATACATTGTTAGGGTTATTGTATATTTTCAAGATAATCAAGAACTGTTTTTATTTTTAAAGAAATATTTTGTTGTGCTTCTTTAAATGAAAATTAAGTTATATGCTTAATGTGGAATTATTCTTCCTGAAATATATTTTTATGTTTATATATATATATATATGTTTTATCATTTTGTTCTTGGAGACATATAAATGGATATTTGGAAGAGGAATTTACACATGTTGGATTATTTTACACACATTTTTATTGATCCATTGGTTATCAATGTGGACAAGCCTCGTTTTTTTTTAGGAAATTCTGGCAGTTATCTTTGGAATGTTAATTTACTGATATTTAGTCTTTTAAAGTACAAAAATGATGCTGAACACAGTTCCGTTGGTGAAAATATTGAACTTTGGTGATTTAAAATTCATAGACAATCATTTCATGAATTTAATTTATGTTTGTATTGGAAAAATTCTGAGTACTAAGTTCCTGTGCAATTCTTGGAGAATAATGCTGTAACCGACAACTGTGATTTGAATTTCAAGTAGTTCATTTGAATCTTTTGAGAATAATATGATTTGTTTCACTATGGTATTCTATACAGTTTGGATATTGAAAAAAATGAAATTCCAGGAAAATTACTCTTTTAAAAAGGACACATACATGTAATTACTGTATGTTTTTATAATTCATGTAGGTTAGGAAATAAATGAATTATATGGAGATGTGATTAACCTTTGAACTATATTTCTATTTATCTAGGGTGCATCATCTAGTTTAGTTGTTAAATTTGCCGATACAGAAAAAGAAAGACAACTCAGACGTATGCAGCAGATGACTGGTCCCCTGGGTCTGCTGAACCCTTTTGCAATTTCCAATCTTGGTGCTTACGGAGCGTACGCTCAGGTATTGTATTATTCTTTCTCAACTTACAATAAATTTGTGATAAAGAAAAGTTTGAAACAATTTTGAGACATTATATGATGTCTCTATTAGTGTTTTTAAATAAACTGTATATAGAACATGATTATCTTTAATATAAATATTTTTCGTACATTTCAGCATATTTCTATTTTTTTACAAAATTCAAGACGACAAAAATTTGTAAATTTGTACATCTGAAAATAGTACTGTACTATTAAATTTTTTTATTTTGTAGAACTTTCACATGACTATTTAAGAATTTATATTTTTTTATATTTATAAATTTTTATTAAAAAATTTACTATTAGCATTCATACTATTACATTTTAACATTTATGATTAATTAAACTCAAGAGTGAACCAACGCCTGGTGAATCTGTAGTAAGTTAGAGTCCCTGTTGTTACAAGACTTTCTACAATTTATGATTAATGTTACCATTTCAGATTCCACAACAACAAGCAGCACTGATGGCTGCATCACAAGGAGCTTACTTGGCCAGTCCAGTAACCTCTCTGGGTCATATTCCACAGATTGGGGCGCTGGCCGCACCCAATGGTATTTCTACCAATGCACTGACCCCAACTACAGCCACACTGGCTCTTTCAAATGGTATGTCTGTTTTTTCATGCTGACTGAGGCACTTATTTTAATAGTTAACTTCAATACTCTTTTGAAAAAATTGTTATGAAAGATGTTTTCATGTCTCTTAATTTTAGTAATTTATTTTGTATTTTCTAATCCTTTTAGATATTAAGTTAAGTTTGTTAGAGAAATAAATGTTTTCAACAGTCAGATTGCTAATTTAGGGACTTATTTGAAAACATTTATTATAGATTTTCTGATCATATTTTTTAAGTTGTAAAAGAGCAGCCTTAAGAGGTGTCAATATTAACAGTTACTTATTAAATAGTTACATATATCATATGAGTAAATACTGTAAAATCAGAAATTATTGTGTGCGTTTATTATTGCGATCTTTGAAGAATGGACAAAAATGGGAGATTAATTATTGCGATTTCAGGATAATCTCCATAAAGATGTATGTTTCAAAATGCGAGTTCTTATTATTGTGATTCTCACACAGTCGCATTATTCGCATTAATAAAAACTTCGCAGTAATTTCTGAATTTACAGTACACTGGATGGTAAAAAGAATTAATCTAACATTATGTTTGTACTTCAGGTGCTGCTACCTTAAATGGTGCCCCTCCCAGTGTTTTGTCCCCCACATCAATGGCAGGTTTCCAAATGCAACAGGCTAATGGACAAACACCAGAAATTTATGCTAACGGTATTCCTCACTACCCTGGTGAGTGTCAGCTCGTTGACATAGGTATGTTGTAATCACTATCTCCCCTTGATAATTCATTATCTCCCCTTAATAATAAGCTGTCATTTTGAAATTCCATAATTTGAATTCTGTGTTGATAAAATATCATTTTATTTTATATTTTTATCAATTGTTTGAAAAAGAGATGCAGAAAATGCACAGAATAGATAAAAAATGAAAACTTTTGCCCTGGTTCATGCATGTTTGATTATTTGTATGAAGAACTTCATCAAAAATGCAAAAATCAAAAACTTTATTATCATTTTGAATATATTAAAAAAATAGGCATATGTTTTGAATTAAAAAAAAATGAATATTAAGGTAGTATTGGGGGTTAAACATTAAATGGTACTATTTTTTTCAACCTTTGCCAAAATGTAGTTATATTTTTACCAAAAAATTATAAAAAATATCTGTTACTGAGCTTGTTTTCCAGCTTTGGTTGTTAAAAATTGACAAATGTTGTATTTGTTTTCTTTCTACAAATTAAGTATATATCAAAATTGAAAAATTTACCTTGCATTCTTTTGTAAAATTAATTTATCTGAGTAACCTCCCCTTATAAAGCAAATGTTTGACATTTTTGAATCAGTAAAAAAAATATTCAGTATTTGTAATCATAAGATACAATGGCAGGTTATATTGTACATTTAAATGTAAAGTTTCACAAAAAAATTCTTACCAGCATCATTATTTGCTTATTTCATTCAAATTCTTGATCCAAGCCCATACTATCTATTCCAACCAAATAAAAGTCATAGTAATAACACATATTGACTTGATCATTTTTTCCTTAATGTAGGTTATGACCCGCATTCACACTTTCAGACGTTGACAGGTATGTATTGCTCAAAATATAATTGAAAATGGCAGCTTGTTATATAGGGGAGATAACTCACTTTTACACTTCATTATTTTTCAAAAAAATATTAAAAAAAAAAAAATAACAAAAAAGAATCTGATTTTACTCGTCTTGAAAATGAATAAGTAACAAAATATAATTTGATACTTGAATTTTATGTTTACTGCAATACTTCAATATACTTCAAAATTTACTTTATTGTTTGTTATAATGGAATTCAAGACCATTGTTGAACATTTGAAAATTCATTTATTACATTGATTTAATTCAAGCCTCCTTTTACACTAACATCCATTACACTGCTAAGTTTGTTTACTGAAAATTACCAGCAATTCAAATATTTCTTGGGTTAAAACTTTGTTTATGGTGTCTGTTAATATCTTGTATATTAAAATATCTATCTTTATAATTACTGTTTTGATAATTATTTTTGAAAAGCTTACAAGACACTTATTCCTCCAGCTTTAAGGGAATTTTATCATCAATAATTTCAGTGAACAAAGTTTGCTTTTTTTTGCTTTATTTGTGTATAATATAGTCTTTAGCTTGCATGCTTATATATCAAACATATAACCTGAGTATTAATTTATTTTAAAGTAGTCAAGATTTTTAGTGAAAAATGATATGCTTTCTTTAATTTGCTTAAATTCTAAATCTTTTTTTCTAAAATTTCTTCTATTTTAATCACATTTGAAATCTGTATGAAACATAACATTCTTATTCTATTTATTATTATTATTATTATTATTATTATTTATTCAGCTTATTATTTAATTGATACTAACCACGCTACTAATTTTATTTTTATTTCAATATAGATATTACTTTTACTAATCTAGTAACTTATGATTGACAACATTGGTTAGCTGTTGCTAAGTTTATACATGTAGTTATTTTTAGCTTTTCTAACCCTCTTTAGTTATTTTTGCATGTGCTAACAGCTTGGACTAACCTTTTATTTTCTAGCACGTAACATTTCTCTACCTGTTGCAGCCCAAGTAGCCAATGGTGACCCAATCCAGGCATATGCTGTCCAAGCTTATCCAGGAATTGGTAAGTTTCTTCTCTAGGTTAACTGGTTTTCAGTTAAGTATGAATCAGGGAACAACTAGTGTCTACAAAATTGAGTGAATAAATATACTTATCGTGGACTAAGGAAAAATGATATTTTCCACGATATATTTTATTTTATAGTTTGCCAAAGTCTTGTGTACAAGCCTTTTGAAAAGAAATTATACATGAAATGGATGAACAGAGATTTTAGATTTAGGGCTATTCCATTAAAATGTATGTGGGAGGGTAGGAACCATTTTTTAGATAATTTTGCATAATGGTAATAGATGCATACTGAAAAAAGACCCATGACCCACATTCAATAATTAAACTTCCCTTCCTACCCTCCCCCATACATTTTAATGGAATAGCCCTTATGTCAATGACACAGCAACCAAACAACACAGAAAAACAAAAATACATCAAGAGGTAAACATTGTCTTCAACAGTACACTCTTTCAGTGTCTAGCTAAAAACTGTTCTGTTTCAAAAAATATTGTGAAAAAACAGCATCTTTAAAAGAGAGGCGAAAGGTACCAAAAGGATATTCAAACTCATAAGTCGAAAACTAACTGACAATGCCATGACAAAAAATGAAAAAGGATCAAAAGACAGCATACAGAACTTAAAAGTGTTGCCAAAATTTTCCAAAAGACAAAAATCATTTAGGTATAAACAAAACAGATGAGGTGCCTGACTTTGCACATGGACATGCGAAGGGTTGTTTAACTAATTATTTCATTAGTTCAGAAATTAAACTGTCATACTTCAAAACAGTTTTTATAAGTTGTTGTTTTTCTTTCTATAAAAAAATCTGCTTTGCCTGTAAAACAAGGAATTATTTGAATCTGGAATAATTTTGAATTCTGGAAAATTAATGAGAAATTTATGATGAAAACTAACCCGACTAAATAGGGTTAGCCATGCGCGCATGGCTAAGGGGGGTTAGTTAGTTCATACTGAAATGATAGTGAAAGTAAAATTAACCTTAGCCATGCCCGCATGGCTAACCCTATTTAGTTGGGTTAGTTTTTCCTCATACATTTCTAATCAATTTTCCAGAATTCAAAATTATTCCAGATTCAAATAATTCCTTGTTGTAATTGGTATAAATATTTCAGCTTACCCAGCTTTTGGAGCAATTCAGCAAACACTTGCAGCACAAGCCGCATTATTACCTACGGCTCAGAAGGAAGGTAAGCCATTTTTTTATTGTGAATTATCTCCCCTTGATCATCAACAATTGCAAAAATAATATTTTTTTTAGTCATTTTGAAATTGATTGAGAATAAGGGAGAATTATTGACAGCACTAATACTCTTTCCAAAAGATTTGAAATATTTTAGTTATTCCCCTTTAACAGTAAATTAGCCAGTATTCAAATATTCTATTTTCTTGAGAAAAAAAAATGAATGAAAGTTTGATAATGAATGTAGAAACTTAATATTCTATGACAGAAATATAAGATTTAGGCTGAGGAAATTTCTTTACATCATCATTAAATTGTCATTTGTTAGAATTTGTAATGAAAACAGAGTTAGATGTCACAATGAACTGGATGTATACTTGTTGTAATTGAATTTTGTTATAATGGTGCTAATGTATCAGTGTGGGTTTGTGCATGTCAATGTCTCTACTCTGTAACTATTATACTAACACCACAGTAACACAACACTAACTTGGTTTCAGAAAGAAGAAGAAATTTAATTTGTAAAACTGTCATTTGAAAAATGATTTAGAACAAATTTAGTTCAGAGACATAATTGGTAAAATGAAAGAAACCACAGATATTTTCTCAGTTTTAAGAGGACTATCTGTTTATTTATCAGTTACAAAAGTCAAATGCCAATTTATTAAGTACATGTAGTTATGTAATTCACACACAAAAAAAAATTATTTTGTGAAGAGAGAATTAAGCCTCATTTTAGATATTTCAGTATGAAGCAGGGTTATACAAGAACTATGATATTATTGAAAACTAACTATAAAGTAATAATTTTTTGAGAAAGAACACTTAATAAAACTAATTTAACTCGTGTAGAAATTAACAATTTACCCGTACTAACTTTTAGTTGTCATATTCAAGTAACTAACACTAACTTCTAGTTGTCGTATTCGCGTAACTAACACTAACTTCTAATTGTCGTAATGGAGTCTTTCAAGATTGTTGTACAGTATTTGCATTTTTGATACAAGGACTGTTACAAAGTATGGTCAGATTTTCATATTTTGAAACAGTTCTTGTTATAATTAGGTTTCACTGCAGTCTTATAAGCCTTGCGAATTTTAGTGGCCCTATAATACAAGATTCCATTTTTTAAACAAATTATTTGGATTTTTTCACTACATATTTTGAAGACCAAAGGTCGTAATTGATATTCCGATTGATTGAATGATTTACGAGTGTGACCGTGTTGTCATCTCACAGAACTGTTAAAAATGATTTCTTGCATAAAAATTCCTAAAGGACCATGGCAGATTAAATCAGCTAAAACTGTTTCTGCATATACTTTTCAATTTAAAAAAATCATTTTACCTTCTGAATAAAGCTTTTTACAATAAAAAAATAATATAAATTTCAAAAAAACAACTTTTATGTACGGTATTCAATAATTTAATATTTGTTTATCTATCAATATGATAAAGTTGTCCCTTTTTCAACATTTAACAACCATACTTACCTAACCTTCAGGTGGAGGGTGTTTCATCACCATGACTACACACGAGGGTCTGGCACGGTGGGTATAGCTAGGTTTATAAGACAAGTGATACCTATGTTGTCTATACTGTAGTATTTTTGACTCTGTTGTGAGCCCGTTTTAATTCTGTATATACCCAACAGTTATACTTACAGGTCCAGAGGGGTGTAACTTGTTCATCTATCACCTGCCACAGGAGTTCGGAGACGCAGAGCTGGCTCAGATGTTCATGCCGTTTGGAACTGTTATTAGTGCTAAAGTTTATGTTGACCGTGCTACTAATCAAAGCAAATGCTTTGGTAAGGATTAGGAATTTAATATACTTTAGATTGGATGGGGGGGGGGGGGGGGGGGGGGGGTTGTTGTTGATTGTTGATATACTTAAGATTGGGTGGGGGTTGCATTCTGTTGGTTAGGACTAGGAATTTGATATACTTTAGATTGGGTGGGGGTTGCAGTCTGTTGTTTAGGACTAGGAATTTGATATACTTTAGATTGGGTGGGGGTTGTAATCTGTTGGTTAGGATTAGGAATTTGATATACTTTAGATTGGATGGGGGTTGTAATCTGTTGGTTAGGATTAGGAATTTGATATACTTTAGATTGGGTGGGGGTTGTAATCTGTTGGTAAGGATAAGGAATTTGATATACTTTAGATTGGATGGGGGTTGTAATCTGTTGGTTAGGATTAGGAATTTGATATACTTTAGATTGGGTGGGGTTGTAATCTGTTGGTTAGGATAAGGAATTTGATATACTTTAGATTGGATGGGGGTTGTAATCTGTTGGTTAGGATTAGGAATTTGATATACTTTAGATTGGGTGGGGGTTGCAATCTGTTGGTACAGATTAGGAATTTGATATACTTTAGATTGGGTGGGGGTTGTAATCTGTTGGTTAGGATTAGGAATTTGATATACTTTAGATTGGGTGGGGGTTGCAGTCTGTTGGTTAGGACTAGGAATTTGATATACTTTAGATTGGGTGGGGGTTGTAATCTGTTGGTTAGGATTAGGAATTTGATATACTTTAGATTGGGTGGGGGTTGTAATCTGTTGGTTAGGATTAGGAATTTGATATACTTTAGATTGGGTGGGGGTTGCATTCTGTTGGTTAGGACTAGGAATTTGATATACTTTAGATTGGGTGGGGGTTGCAGTCTGTTGTTTAGGACTAGGAATTTGATATACTTTAGATTGGGTGGGGGTTGCAATCTGTTGGTTAGGACTAGGAATTTGATATACTTTAGATTGGGTGGCGGTTGCAATCTGTTGGTTAGGATTAAGTTTAGATTTTGTGTTGGGGGAGATTGTGGGTGGAGGATGGCTTGCTATCTTTCAATAAACTACTTATTCATTATTTTTAAGATTGGAGATAGGATGTGATTTGTTTTTGACAAGGGGAAGGGAATAGAGTTTGGAAACAGGATATAATTTGTTTTTGAAAAGGGGAGGGGCATAGAGTTGGGAGACCAGAGTTTACTTGTTTTTGACATTAGGAGGGGAGTAGATGTTGATTTAAAAGTTTGAAAACAGAAAGTGATTTTTTTTTGACAAGAGGAGGGGATAACATGTTGATTTTAAAGTTGGAGAAGGATATGATGCAGGAAAGAGAATATTTGCAGATCACTCCTAGAAGTTAATACTATTCAAAACCATTCTAATTGCATACTTTCTGTTTTTATCTCTTTTCTCATGAAAGCCAACTATTGTTAGTAAACAAGATTTTCATGTCTTAACAGCCAATCAGAAGACATGTTACATCCAAAATATGTCAATGAGCTGATAGACAAAAAAACATTCAGCCAATCAGGAGACGTGTTACATCCAAAATTATGCCTATTAGCTGATAGACAAAAAACTTTCAGCCAATCAGAAGACGTGTAACATCCAAAATTATGACTATTAGCTGATAAACAAAAAACTTTCAGCTAATCAGAAGACATGTTACATCCAAAATTAAACTAAAAACAGATGTTTGGGGCTTTTCTTTCAACTTCAATTACTATAATAATTACTCTATTAAATTTGGTTCACTGTTATATGCAAATTATGTTTTCTGTGAATGATACAGTTAGGGAGCTACCATTTGATTTTTATGGGCGGGCTAGGATTAAAAATTGTGTCCTGCATTTTTTTTTAATTGTAATCTCCGTCCTGCCTTTTTATTTTTCACTTTATTCGGTCCTGCCTTTTTTTTTTATTAGTTTATCCTGACTTTTTATACATAATTTGTCATCCTGCATTTTTTTTTGCCAACTTGCTCATCCTGCCTTTTCTTTTTTACTCAAAACTTCTGTCCTGCCTTTTTTTCAAATTTCATCCTAGCCCCCCCCCCCCCCCCCCCCCCCATAAAAATTAAATGGTAGCTCCCTTAGTCTTTTTCTCATTTAAGATGAAAATTTTCTCTGAAATATAATCTACTCAGACTGGAATCGGTGTTAAAACTTCGTCATTTAAATTTGCTTTTTCAGGATTCGTCAGTTTTGATAATCCCACTAGTGCTCAGGCTGCCATCCAGGCTATGAACGGATTCCAGATTGGCATGAAACGTTTGAAGGTACAGCTTAAACGCCCAAAGGATGCTAACAGACCATATTAAACAGCAATGTTCTTATTTGGTAAGTTTATATTGGATGTGTTGGCTTAAAATGTTTACTAATTATTCTAAATATTTTTTAAAAAGAATTTTTGGTTCAGGAGCATTAATCGTAAAAATCAGCTTAAGTATGAAAATTGTAATTAGGGAAAACCAGTGTTAATTTATTTTTTAACTTGAGCACAAGAATTTAGTGCTTGAAAAGTGGGTAAAATCGGCAAAAAACACTCTGATTGATTATGGTTTCTAGATTTATAATTTATTCCCTTATTGTGGCAATAAAAAGTTCCGATCATCATGATCATGTTTATTTTTTCCTTGATAAGAAATTAAAAAAAATTATGGCAACCTACATGTTCAGACACAACTAAAGTTGTGTGGAAATTTAGAAAATTCAGATAATCACTAAAAAAGAAAGCAAAATGTCTTCTGTTATTTCATTGATGAAATCTTCTGTTTCATTTCGTTACTACCATTTTCAATTCAGTTTATTCTAAAAGATAAAAGTACTATATGTATTCAATTCAGTTTATGCTAAAAAAAAAAGAAGGTATAATTCAATTCAGTTATTTCTAAAAAAAAAAAAAGAAGGTATTATTCAATTCAGTTTATTCTAAAAAAAAAAAGAAGGTATTATTCTTGTGTGGTAACATTTGATCACATGATATTCCCCTATTCTGTAGCACAACTGGACAAGTCCAAAACTTCAGGACATGTAGGGGTTACAGGATAGTAATAGAAAAATGTGTAAGTCGGTGAACGGTGTTGGTCGGTTGTAAAAGGTGTTAGATGAATCTTTCGTGTAGTATATCTGGTGAAACTTGTTGCTTCTTGGTATTAATCCAATTATACATGTGTATGGTGTTCAAGATTATTTTACTGTCAGAAGTCACATGATCTGAATTTGACAAGTCACATGTTTTAGAACATGGTAGAGAGATGATGATATAAAAAGAAGCACTGCTTCATCTTTTTTTTTATTTGTGAGACCATAGTTTGTCCAGTATAATTATAAGGACTTTCCTTTCCATTATATATCGTCAGTCAAAAATTTGATAACAGAATAAACATTTTGAAATGCTGTAAAGCATCTTATTTTCATGGACATTTTTTCCTTGTTTGGCCATTTTCAGCCGTACTTTTCCAATTTTGATGATGTATTGATATAAGAGGAGATCCAAGTTGTTTTATATTTTTACAGCAATATATATTCACTTTTTTTTTCTACTCACTCAAGTTGCATATTAATAAAATAGATTGGAAATTGTTTTTGTTTTAATTTATTTAGTAAAATTGTAAGAAAAACTACAAGTTTGAATTTTAAAGATAATCATATTTAAGGGTAAAGATTGTTTTTGATAGAGTATATTCTATACTAGATAAAAGTAGTTTCATGGGTTTCATGTTTGGTCAGAAACTAAGGGACATTTATTGAGATTTCATTGCAATTTATACATCAATTTATTTTAAAATATCAGTTGATGGGCCCCTTGTTTGACATATTTTTTTGTGTAACTATTTGTATAATCATCATTTCTACCATGTTATAAATGTGACCGGTATCAGACCATGTGACCTGTGATTGTTATTTACAATAAAGCTGGACACAAAAGGAAAGAATGACTGTGTTTTGATACACACACAAACATAATGATTTTATTATGAAATTCAATTTCTAAGATTTCACTTATTAGGTTCTGTTTTAGATATAAAATTCTATTTTAGATTTAAAAAATTAAACCAACAAATATTTTTTTAGACTCAAAACACAATATTTGGGTTAAATAAAACACAGTAAAATTGTCTTCAAATTTTTTTTATGATTTTTAAAAACTGGTAAAAAGTTTTATTTCTGTGTCATTCAGTCCTAGTAATGTCAGCTATTGTTGAAAAACATATGATTTCTAAAATATTTTATGAAATGTTTAAATCTTCTCATGGGTAACATTTTAAAAGGAATGTTAAATATTGTCAGAAGAGAAGATTTAAGCAATAAATATTTAGATCTTGCAAAAGATATTGGAGTTAAATCTGTAATATGTCTTCTACTTATAGCAAAACCTGTCTAGCGGCACCAAATATAGTGCCAAATTATGTTTAAAAAACTTATTACAGATTTATTCAGAAAATGTCTTCCAACTTTTTTTCAATGTTCTAATCACTAAGATTTAGTTGGTCGACGTGAGCATTTTTATAACACCCAATTTTATTTCATTCACGGCTTTGTGGTCACAATATTTTTTCAATTTTTTTTAGATTTTTTTCATATAAATTTTGTGAAGTTTTGATATTGTACATATTTTGTGAATTTTTGCATGTTGATATCATTAATAGAAAATTAACACTCTTAAAACTTTCAAAATATAAGTTATTTGAAACTCTTATGATCGATACTTTTTTCCTACTTTTTATTTGTTGAACATTTCAGTATCAGTACATGATTTTTTAAGAGATATTTCCTATTTCCAATTAACACTTTTAACGATTTCTTACTTTGTTTCAGCCATTCATCCTAAAATTACCCAGAAAAGACTCTAGATTTTAACATTAAGTCACTTTCACATTTGTTTGATAATGTTATTGTGAACACTTTGAAATGTTTATAAAAATGTAAACATGTTCAGACAATAGTTTTCCTAACCTGAAAATTGAACAGATAAATAATGCATTCGTTGATTAAACATGTTTGCTGAAAAATAGTGGAAAACAAACATGTTTCCAAGGACTTTAATCATATTAAGCACATCTTCCACCTGCTTCATAGAATTTTATTATGTTTATGAGTCTAAATTATGTAAATATATTTTATAATGAGTTCTTTTCTCTTCCAGATACCCAAATGGGACCCCAATGGCACAAGAGTACTTAAGAAGAGGCCTGATCACAAGGTTACTGTTTGTTTCTAGTGATGGAACAAATTTTGTATATAGACCCTTATTTTTCACGAACGAAATCCCACCATTGTAGGTTTTGTAAATACATAGAATAGATATACTTAATTTATTTATCTTAGCATTTAGCCCACCTTAAATTATTAATTTGAATACAATTCAAAGTTTGATTTTTTATCATACCTTCTGTAAGCATGCAATCTTGGTGATTTATAGACATACAACTCAGTTCATGTTAAGTTAAGTAGATGTATTGCACATTGTGGTATTGTGAAAAGAAAGAGAGAAGAAAACATACCAAATTTCAAAATTGAATACAGGGTACCGTATACAGTTATGTATAATACGTATCCCCTATACCAACTTAAAAAAGTATGCATTATACACGAACAAATATGGTATGTTTTAAAAGGTACCGTATACAGTTATGTATGATACGTTTCCCCTATACCAACTTAAAAAAGTGAACAAATATGGTATGTTTTAAAATGTGGAGGACTATGATGCAGGAAAGATTTATTAAAACATTTTATAGATTGTGTGCTTACAGAGGTGGACAAAAAGTTTTTATTTTAAGAATTGTTATGAATATTTATGAGGAGATTACTATTTGTTTATTTATTATGATGTTAAAAATTGATAATATTTATATATTTTACAATCTTTGTTAAAGTTCATGCCCTCTTCAAGCAGAGTTTAGATGGATTAAGTTCTTACGACATTCCATATATTTTATATTGGTATGTTAAATCTGTGAAACAGTTCATTGTTATGGAGTAAAATTGTGTATTTGTAAAGATGTATCTATCTATTTAAAGTCTTGTGAGACATCTTTTTCTATTGGTTGTTGTCTGTCACGTGACACACTCATTGTTGTCATGGTAACCAAGGCATTTAGGATGTATTAGATAAGATGACTGGTCAATTTATTTATTTTTTGTGACTATGGTAACACCAAGTGTTGAATGTTGTTGTTCAATCACATGACCTTTTTTATACGTGTCTATTAATTAAAGTTTGGTAATTAAATAGCTTAAATTTTATCATTTTAATTTTAAATTGAAGAGGGCATTGAATAAAAATTATTTTTGTACATATTTCTCTTGCATTCCTTATTAATATGAAGTCATGTTTATTATTTATTGAAAACTTATTTATTTTATTATTCATCATATTATCATTGAATTAGAGAGCGTCCATGACATGGATCATCTGTATCATTGAGATGTTTTATATTGTTGAAAAAATGCTTGATAAGTTGACAAAAATGTTTAAAACTTTATACGACCTGGTTGAAATCAAGTCCTGCAAAGACATCCCCAGTAAGTTGCAGAGAATAAGCAAATGGTTTCGACTAGGAGAAGATTTCATTGTTTTGTCAAGCAAGTGGTGTAAATGATTGAAAAGAAACAGTTTTATATCATCAGAAATATTAAAGATAGCTTCTATTTTGTTATTTTTGCTGTAAAAATTCCTTAAAGATAATAATTTCATACCTTTATTGAAATATATGATATATATATATATATTTAATTCTGTTATTCATTTTAGAACACATTTTAAAAAGACCAAAAATTACAATTTTGTTGAGATTCAAAGATCGGCATCAAATCTGTTTCATATTTTCTTGGATAATTTTGTTTTTGATAAGTTATTTGCTTAATTCGTTTTGCTATTCTGCACCCCTAAATTCTAATTCTGTATCAAACAAGGGGACATAATCCAAACGAATGTGGGTAGTAAATTTTTAACAGAAACACAAGAAATTAAACTTTAAAGGTGTGTAGGTTATGTTTGTTGACAGTTTTTAAATTGCATATAGTTTATTTGAGATCAGGAACTGTTACTGTTGAAATTTTGTTATTTGGGTATAACTGTTACTATCGTTGTGAACATATTTTGAGCTTAAAATTATCGAGGCTTCCATAAGGATGATTGCAGTTTATTATTATTTGTGATCCCAAAGAAATGAAATTTAGTTAAAAATAGGATAAAAATTTGACTTTACATGTTTAAGTGGATTGAAAATAACCGTAGTAAGATTAGCCCTTATGGAGGTCTCACTGTTATAAAAAGAAATCGGGCCAGGTTGCAATAGTTGAGTAAACACACTCCTTGCCATGTTAAATCATTGTAACGTAACACTAGTCAATTTCTGTATAAAAGTTAGTGAATGAAATGATGAACAAATTCAATATTGTAATCATGGTAATAGCATGTCGTTAAATTTCCACACAGATAGTGCTTTAGATGTAAGGTCATTTTAATATTTTATGAGCAGCAGTCATACAATTGTTGTATTATTCTTCTCAGACAGTTCAACATAGAGAAACTCCACTAATCGGGGGAACTTCCTGCAGGGAAACCATTAGTTAAGTTTCAATTATGTTAAATTTTCCACCTTACATTTCACATGAACACATTTTTAATGTTCTTTTTTTTAATTTAGGCATTTCATAGAATCAACACAAAACAAACTATTGCAAAAAGTCTTGAAATTTTACAATGCCATTAAGAATATTTTGTGACTTTTTAGAATTTTCTAGAATAAGTAAAGACTGACTGTTGCTCTACAAAATTTAATGTACCCTAGTTAACTATGTGTTTCATGGAACAGTGTTTTTTCACTACATTTTATCATATGATGACTGTAGTCTTCAACACATTTTTTTTTTTATACAAAATAGAAATTAATATAGAAACAGAATGTTTTTAAAGTTTGTAACTACTTTTACAAATCAAATAAGTGTACTAAATTTCTGATAATGACTTTAGACAATCAGCTATCTGTCGTTTTTTTTTTAATCTAAAGATAGACATCTGTATTATGTCATATGACAATGTTTGAGGATGAAATTAACATGAGGTTATTTCATCGCAATCATTGTGATATTGAGATAAGGCAGATCGTCACAGTTTTATATGTTGTGAGTGAGCCGTTTAAGAACAAAGTTTTTTACACACTGTTGTGGATTTTTAGCCGAGTTTTAGTATAAGTGGTGAGCCATTTAAGAACAAAGTTTTTTACACACTGTTGTGGGTTTTTAGCAGAGTTTTAGTATAAGTGCAATATTACTTTTGAATTCAATGTCTCTAGTCAAAAATTTCACCACAGAATTCTTTCTTTCCTGAAATGTCTCATAAAAGTCTTCTTACAAATAGTTTTATTTCAAATTTATAAATATTTCTTTTTTGTTTACCATTGAAATAAATTCTGATCACATGTAAGCTAACTAATGAGTTTGAACTGTATTTGAATGGGACCAAATTTACCTGGCACAATACATCTCTTACTATTTCATCTGTTGTCACTTCCCTCCCTTCTATTTGACCAAATGTGTGGTTATGTACCTCTGTAGTATAATATTCCGCTCTCAGGAATATTTATTCGGTTTGTTCACATCTTCATTTAGAATTCTGTGGTGTTATTTTTTCTACTAAAGTGGTGCAATATTTATTATTTTTACATGTTTTAGTTTTTTTTGGAGGACAAAGAAATCTCAGAATTTTATGACCTTTTGACCTTTGAACTTGTCAAAGTGAAGGTTGAAATTTACATAATTGTTTTAATGTGTTATGTGAAAGTATATAATGAGTCATACTGTTTATAATTTATATGGTTTGATGAAGTTTTGAATTTATAATTTGAATTTAAAATTCAGAAAAAAGTTCACAAGCTTAAATTTGAATATAATGACTCAATATGTATTTAATTTCATCTGTATATAATCATATAGTTTAGTTAAATTATTATAATGGTCCTCATCTAATTAATTGGCAGTTCATAGCTTCCCTAACATTGATATATGATTTTTTTTAACAATAATGTTCTCAAAACTTCTTTGGATTTTGTTTTATAATTGTTAAAAAATTGTCTCATTGAGAAATCTTATTAATGAATTTATTAGATTAGACTGTTATTTACTGGGAGTAAAATGTTAACCGTTTAATAAGTAAAATTCTATAATAATCAGGAATTTCAACTGTCATATTTGTATCTGGAGTTTTTCATTGTCAGATTCTTTTTTTTCTTATAAATTCTAAGTAACAAATCAATTGAGGACCAGACATGAATATATTTTGTATATATGAAATGCTATTGAGAACAAAGTTGAAACTTCACACTGTACCTGAAGTTTGTTCATCCATGCTCAAGTCATATCATCACAAATAAAAAAAGGTCAGTTATTGACAAATTATGTGTTTTATTTTATTACCCTGATGGTGGCCATCTTGAATGAATAACATATTCTTGTTTTCATTCAGTGAAGAAGTAATTTTGATAGGTTGGTTATTTATGCTTACAATTCATATGCACAGAGTATCTGCAATTTTGAACTGGGGAAAGAAGGGGTAAGGTTAATCAAGAATGACACCCATTCCTACAATCACAGAACAAGACCAAAATCTGTTCTTTGTCTCCAAGTTCCATCGAGGCCTTCAAACAAAGCTAAAGGTTCTTCCTCACTGAGTGCACAATTTATTTCAAACAAAAATATAATTTAAACCAAATGAAATGCATATTTTTGCACAAAGCTGCATCTTTGAACTCTAACCCTCAACAAACAGGACTAGAGTACAGAATGAACTTTATTAAAAGAATAGAAATTTTCATTTATCTTTCACACCTTGAATACCTCACAATGTTCAGTGGCGGATCCAGGGGTTGGGACATAGATGGTGTACACAGTACGCCTCTTTGATTGCCCAAAAAAATAATTCTCACGTTTTTCAAAACTTATATGACTTTTTTAGCATACAATCGTCCAAATTTATGAAATTTCGTCACCCCCTTACAAAAATCCTGGATCCCCCCTGATGTTGATATCTCAGAGATTTTGGTTATAATCAGCATATCCTTAGGAAAAAAGGACCTATCCTTTTAAAAACTGACCTAATCACAATCAATTATCAAAGAATCAAAGAAAGTAAATATGATGCCAATGTCTTATTACACCTGTTTCACAATCATATACACCTTTCATAAAATCTCTTTACCAGCTATAGTTGACCAATGGTGTGTTAAGTTCAGACAAGAGTGCACATGCTGAAATGTCTCACCTGCTTTACTGACCATTGATTTTATGTTGATAGTCCTAAATATAAACCTTTACTACAAGTATCACATAAATTTAACATGATCCAAGAAAATGAGTTCAAGGTCAGATAAACCAAACTGGAAATACATGTACACCTTACAATCATTCCATACACCAAATATAGTTGACCTATTGCTTATAGTTTCTAAGAAACAAACTTAACCAGGAAAACTTAACATTGACCAATGAACCATGAAAATGAGGTCAAGGTCAGATGAACCATGCCAGACAGCCATGTACGCCTTACAATCAATCTATGCATTAAATATAGTTGACCTATTGCTTATAGTATCTAAGAAACAAACTTAACCATGAAAACTTAACATTGACCACTGAACCATGAAAATGAGGTCAAGGTCAGATGATACCTGCCAGACAGACATATACACCTTAAAATCATTCCATACACCAAATATAGTTGACCTATTGCTTATAGTTTAAGAAAAACAGACCAAAACACAAAAACTTAACACTGAGCAATGAACCAAGAAAATGAGGTTAAATAAAACCTACCAGACTGACTTGTACATCGTAAAATATTTCAATACACCAAATATAGTTAATCTATTGCATATAGTATAAGAAAAAGAGACCAAAACACAGAAACTTAACTTTTACCACTGAACCATGAAAATGAGTTCAAGGTCAGATGACACCTGCCAGTTGGACATGTTCACCTTACTATCATTCCATACACCAAATATAGTGACCTATTGCTTATAGTATCTGATATATGGACTTGACTACAAAAACTTAACCTTGTTAGCTGATCCATGAAATGAGGCTGAGGTCAGATGAAAACTGTCTGACAGACATGAGGACCTTGTAAGGTACAAACATACTAAATAAAGTTATCCTATTACTCATATAAATAAGAGAAAAAAATTAACATTACAAAAAATCTTAACTTTTTTTTCAAGTAGACACTGAACCATGAAAATGAGGTCAAGGACAATGGACACATGACAGACCTAAATTTCATAACATAAGGCATCTATATAAAAAGTATGAACCATCCAGGTCTTCCACCTTCTAAAATATAAAGCTTTTAAGCAGTTAGTTAACTCCGCCACTGCTGCCGGATCACCATCCCTATGTTGAGCTTTCTGCGACAGAAGTCGCAGGCTCGACAAAAATGATCAAGTATAAAAAATATGACACGTTTTTACTCACTAAATTCTGTGTGCTTATCAAGGAGGCAGCAAATACTTAGGGAGCTACTGTTTGATTTTTATGGGGGGGGAGGGGCTAGGATGAAAAATGTTGTCCTGCATTTTTTTTTAGTTGTAATCTCTGTCCTGCCTTTTTATTAGCTCACTGTTCCGAAGGAACTGTGAGCTTTAGCCATCACTTGGCGTCCGTCGTCGTCCATCGTCGTCGTCTGTCTGGTGTAAACTATTTCAAACATCTTCTCCTCTGAAACTACTAAACCAATTTCAACCAAACTTAAGCTGAATGATCCTTAGGGTATCTAGAATAAAGTTTGTGTTTTATTTTCTGTTTTGTCAAAAAACATGGCCATCATGGCTAAAAATAGAACATAGGGGTAAAATGCAGTTTTTGGCTCATATCTCAAAAAACAAAGCAGTTAGAGCAAATCTGACATGGGATAAAAGTGTTCATACGGTAAAGTTCTATCAGCCCTGAAATTTTCATATGAATCTAATAACCCATTGTTGGGTTGCTGCCACTTATTGGTAATTTTAAGGAAATTTTGCAGTTTTTGGTTATTATCTTGAATAGTATTAATGATAAAGATAAACTGTAAACAGCAAATATGTTCAGCAAAGTAAGATCTACAAATAAGTTTTATATGATCAAAATTGTCAATTGACCCCTTAAAGAGTTATTGCCCTTTAAGGACAATTTTACACTATTTGTTTTATCATGTTTTCTAACTTAAAAATTCTTCTCCTTTGAAACCACTGAACCTATTCCAACCAAACTTAAGCTGAATGATCCTTAGGGTATCTAGAATAAAGTTTGTGTTTTATTTTCTGTTTTGTCAAAAACATGGCTACTAAGGCTAAAAATAGAACATAGGGGTAAAATGCAGTTTTTGGCTTATATCTAAAAAACCAAAGGAGTTAGAACAAATCTGACAGGGGTAAAAGTGTTCATTAGGTGAAGTTCTATCAGCCCTCAAATTTTCAGATGAATCTAATAACCCATTGTTGGGTTGCTGCCACTAAATTGGCAATTTAAAGGAGATTTTGCAGTTTTTGGTTATTATCTTGAATAGTATTAATGATAAAGATAAACTGTAAACAGCAAATATGTTCAGCAAAGAAAGATCTACAAATAAGTTTATATGACCAAAATTGTCAAATGTGTCCTTAAGGAGTTATTGCCCTTTAAAGACAATTTTTCACAATTTGTTCATCTAGTTTGCTTACTTTAAAAAATCTTCTCCTTTGAAACTGCTGAATCAATTTCAGCCACACTTGGGCTGAATGAGTTTCAGAGTATCTAGTATAAATTTTGTATTTTATTTTCTTGTATGTCAAGAAACATAGCCACTATGGCCAGATGGCTAAAATGGAACATAGGGGTAAAATGTATTTCTTTGCTTTTGAAGAAAATATGACAGATACAAAGAACATCTCAATGGAATTTTTAAGCCACTCATTAATATATATTAAAAAGCAAAAATAATCATTGATGAAAGATTTAAGCAAAAAATTACAGGTGAGCGATTCAGGCTTTTGAGAGCCTCTTGTTTTTTACACTATTCGGTCCTGTCTTTTTTTTTATTAGTTTATCCTGACTCTTTTTACATACATTGTCATCCTTCCTTTTTTTTTGCCAAGTTGCTCATCTTGCCTGTTTTCTTACTCAAAACTCCTGTCCTGCCTTTTTTTCAAATTTCATCCTAGCCCCCCCCCCCCCCCCCCCCCCCCCCTCCCATAAAAATCAAACGGTAGCTCCCTTACTTTTAAAAATTTTAAGCCAGGCAATGACCAAACCTAGAACATCCCATACCCAACAATTGTAAAAGTTTGTGGTCTGTGTCAACTGTTTATATATTTGGGCAGTTGGGTTCCTGTTATTGACCGTTATCTTACATTTATTCACATCAATTTTTGTTGCTCTATTCAACCTTTCATGTTTCAGTCACAATTTAATTTGTGTTTGTAGTTGAATATTATGTTTGTAAAAAAAAGTGTTGCACGTATGGAATTATTTAACGTGTTGTTTTCATTTTTTACAGCACTGCGTCGATACCTCTGCTGGTGGACTATCAGTCCCAGAGGGTATCATCAGCTCAGTAGTCAGTACTTCGGTACTGACATGATTTATAACAAACCCTTCTAAAATTGTCCGTTGATAAATTTTGAAATTATAAAGAAACTAAGGTTACAACTCCCTCAGGCAAAGTTGACCTTAGATGGATCTGGCTATTTTTTTAGGTAATTTTTTTTGTCATATAGCTCTTTAACTGTTTCGGTTCTTATACAATCTCGGCTGTCAAATATTCGGCTTTGAGCGTTCCTGAGGAAGGTAAATCCAGAAAAGCGCTTTGGACGCATAGAATTTTTTAACATGTTGCTTTCATTTTTTTTTAAACCTTAATTAATAAACTCATGATAGATACCATGCTTTGTCTACAAAAAGACTCATCAGTGACGCTCAAATAAAAAAAAACTAGATATCATTGAGATGGGAGCCATCTCTGTGGGCCCGCTGTGAATAATGTGTGGTAAAAAATTTGTATCTTTATCATTGGACATGGGGTTGTCAAATGAAACCAAAGTTTTTGACCTTGACCTTTGACCTAGGAAGTTGTACATAAATTATGACACACCCTCTGGTGTTGGTTTATATACATATCAAGTATAAACTTTGAACTCATAACGGTTCTAAAGATATAGAGCGGACACGATCTTTACCATAGGACATGGGGTTGTCAACTAAAACCAAAGTTTTTGACCTTGACCTTTGACCTAGGAAGTTGAACATACATTATGACACACCCTCTGGTGTTGGTTAATATACATGTCAAGTATAAACTTTGAAATCATAACGGTTCTCTAGATATAGAGCGGACACGATTTGTTACGGACGGACAGACTGATCACTATAGGGCGGCTGCCATTTGGCGGGGCCCTAATTAAAACCACATTGCACCATATTCCAAAATATAACTATTTACCTTCTGATATATAAACTTTACAAACATCATCATAGTTGCATACTTATGTTAAGCCTTTCACAATTTTGACAAAAATGCAGATTTTCAGTTGCCGTGTCATTGTTAAATGGAAATGCTACCCTAAATGCATGATATACAGGCCTCACTGTGACTTTTAGATGAAGAACAGCAATAAAAGTGGTTTTTTTGTTGTGCATTTACTGATTTTGTGTCATGGATGGATACCCCATGTCCTTTGTTTTTCTATTACAGTATGGTTTTTTGCTCACATTTGTATGCCATACAGTGACCTATAATGACTTACATCCAAGCCTTTTGTCTCATTGACAATCATACCTCATCTCCTTATTTTTATATTAAAACGATTTAGATGTCATGTGTCAATATATTATAGGGGTAATAATAATCCTCAAAATATTACTTTGTCAACCACCAACACCTGACTCCTCTGAAAAGATCAGACAAAAAGAACAACAAACTCACAAACATGTTTAACCCCGCCACATTGTTTATGTGCCTGTCCCAAGTCAGGAGCCTGTAGTTCAGTGGTAGTCACTCTGTAATATTTGTTTTTTCGTAAATTATTTTGTTATAAATTAGATCGTTAGTTTTCTCAATTGAATTGTTTCATATTTTTTATGTCAAGGCTTTATATAGCCAACTATATGGTTTGGGGTTTTCTCATTTTTGAAGGCTGTAAGGTTGCCTGTAATTGCTTTCATTCACTTCATTTGAACTTTGGTGGATAGTTGTCTCATTGGCAATCATACCTCATCTCCTTATTTTTATAACACATGGTCCAGATACTGCAGATTGAACTTTGGTGGATAGTTGTCTCATTGACAATCATACCTCATCTCCTTATTTTTATAACACATGGTCCAGATACTGCAGATTGAACTTTGGTGGACAGTTGTCTCATTGACAATCACACCACATTTCCTTATTTTTATAACACATGGTCCAGATACTGCAGATTGAACTTTGGTAGATAGTTGTCTCATTGGCAATAATACCACATTTCCTTATTTTTATAGCAGATACTGCAGACAGGACAGGCACAGGTGGTGTGGTGGTAGAACAATTTTACTTTGACAACATTTGGTACATAAACAAGGCAAGGACAAGGTTCATTTGGCCCTGTAAATTAACCAAAAATATAAGCTTGTATAATGTCATTACTAATCACATTATGCATGTACCAGTCAGATAGTAACTCATGAAAAGGGTTTGTTCCAAACAAAAACAGCATTACAGCATTGTCTTTTAAAGTACAAACATTCAACATTTAATTCTGAAAATCTGGGCTGATATGCATAAAACTACTGAAGTTAAGATTTGTTGCAAACGGACGGATTTTTCTATATGTCGTACGATAAATTAGTACTACGATTGGATATCTTAACTTAAGTGGTTTTATGCATATCAGCCCGGAGATAAAATGATTCAGTTCAATTTTTTGTCTTCTAATAATGTTCTTTTATAAACTGATTGTTTCATTTTGTTGACCAATTGTCTGAAATTGATTTTAGGGCATTCAAGAGCTTGTTCTGTTATGTTTGTTCATTGTTGAACTCCTTTCATTTAGTTATAGATGTTCTTCTTTTGATTGTTAACTCCATCAATGACAAGAACACCTAATCTTCTTACAATGGATTCTGATCAGAAATATGTTAAGAAAGATAACTCATACATGGTAAAATTACCAAACTTTATTCCATTTTATAAAAATGATGATTACTTCTCTCATCAAAGAACATATTTCTAAAAAAAAACACACACAGGAGATTCTCAATGTTACAAAACTATTTGATTCACCTCCATTCTATTGAAACAATACTTATTTAAGTAAATAAACATACTTTTGCTGGGGTATATCATTATCCCAGACACAATCAATAACTATTGTATTCCTGTAATATACACCTTATCACTATTTAGTCCAATCCAGAAAAAAAAGTCACTTAGACAACTTCCAGTTTGGGTCAAATGTTGCAAAAACAAAGGTCATCAGTAACGAGTTGAGGGAAGAAAAAGTTTAGAATGCGAACATTTTGAAACTTTGATAGATTATGATCAACTTTTTTAAAACACATATTAAAATCATAAAAATGCTTTGTTTGAAGTGTTTACGGTGGTTAAAAAATATCTCTTTGAAAAGTTTTATGCAAAATACATTGTTTAAACAGGGCCCCAGATAGGTTTAACTGGATGAAAAAGTTGTGTAATTTCAGAACTTATCTGGATTGGAATAAATAGCGATAAGGTGTATTTATTGGTAACAACCATGTAACAACACTCAGAGTGTATGGCATTCTGCAAAAAATTCAAAACTAATCCTGGACAATTTTGAACTGTTCAAATCCTTCACCTCTATTTTCGATGGGAAACTTTAGCGAAAACCAACCATGTTGAAAACTTCTTATATTGCGACCTATGAGCGTTGGATAGAAATCGACCTTATGCAAGTGCACATATACATGTACATGTATAAGACTGAATAATTTTGGAACATTCAAATATGAAATAAGAGATGAAATTTGGTCTGTTTTGTAGGGTTCTTATATCAACTCAATTTTCAAACAATTACAGACTTTACACAGAGATTTTTTCAACCCGAAATAGGTTAACAGATGTATTGATATTCATTTGCATAAGGTCTTTCTATTTGACACAACTCATTTATATATATATATACTTATTATGACAGTACATGTTTGATTTCTTTGCCAAATTTATTTTATTGATATTACATCATGGCTTTGTTCTTCAATTCACAGTTGTGGCGTGATTGTCAGTTTGCAAAGAATTCCGCTCAAACCAGTGATTGGGGTCGTCTTAAACTTGCAGTGAGGTGAGAGTTTTGGGCTCTGTGTTGAAGGCCTCACTGTGACTTTGAGATGAAAACAGCAATTTAAGCGCTGTTCCTTTGTGTTTTGTGTTTCTAGCTGTGAATATAGTGATTTTGTGTCATGGATGGCTACCCAATATCTTTTCTTTTCTACAGACCTTATCGCTATTTGGGAATCTGCGACACTTGACCCGAGAATCTGTGACACTTGAACTATTGACGTCATACAAAAATCACTTTTTCTTTGTGGCGTCATACATTTTCTTTTGTGACGTCAAAATTTTACGGAACCTTTGTGATGTCCAGTAATGGCGGACAAATAGCAATACAGTGTATTAAATTGGTTTGTTTAAAATGGAACTTATATTGTTTAACAAACAAAAGAAAGGTGCAATATGTGACGGAATTGGTTTACAAATCCAAAAAGTATTAAAAGGCCAAGAAATCTAGATAGAATAGATTGAAGAAACAGTTCTTATTGCAAGTCTATGATCAATATTGTAGATAAGTCCAAGCTAGATTGAATTGGTAATATATGTGTCAGAAACAGATCTAAAAAAGAATGACATTTTGAAATTATACATTCTTGTTATACAATCAAACAAATTAAAAATAAACGTGATATGTATACATTTTTATCACCAGAATATATGTGTCCATAGGACAACATCCCCTGCTTGCACTACCCTATATCCATGTTCAGTGAACCATGGAATCAGGGTTAAAACCATAAATTGTCATTTAATTTTAAAATAAAATTGAGAATGGAAATGGGGAATGTGTCAAAGAGACAACAACCCGACCATAGAAAAGACAACAGCAGAAGGTCAAAAAAAAGTACACTTCACCATGAACATTTACCCTAAGTTTCAAGTTGATGTGACCAAAATGCAGTTAACTACGTTAACCAAAATGTTTAATCTTAGAATGTTTTAATTTCACACTATCACATTTCTATGTTCAGTGAATCATGAAATTGGGGTCAAACCATAATTTGGTATATAGTATTCCAAGTTAACATCATAATGAACAATTATACTAATTTTTAAAGTTAACCACAACTTCATGGTAAACTATATTAACCAAAAACTTTAACCTAATACGGTACAAACTGATAGACAGACGGACAATTGTAACAACCAGAAAACATAATGCCCTCATACAACCATAGGTGTGGCATAAAAACACAGATAATTGTCTCTTTTGGAACAAGTATCTTTTATCCCTCTACCTAGAGTAAAAAATCGTTTTGAATGAATCTGTTAGCCCGATTTGCATTAAAATGAAATACAGTTCTCTAATAAAATGCATTTGAAACAATGTAAAAATTATGATTGACAGTATAGCCCTTTCCAGAAACTCATAATCCGAATCATGAGTTTACTCTAATATTACAATTTGAAAGTTGGTTATCTCCCTTTATGGGAATAAAAACTGCTTCAAGGCAAAGAAAACTTATCAATTAAGTTTGGAGAATGACTAGGAGTTAATGGCTACATATAATAATTTTAGTTGAATGGATGATAATGTAATTGTATACAAATACTAATGATGTATCGTTAGTACTTAGGCCAATTAAAATTAATTGATAGATTTTCATCCCCGCCCGCCCCTCTGAAATCGTTCCGCCCCAATTTTTTTTATTTTGAAAAATTTACGATTTCCGGATTTTGTTCATTTTCGTTACCGGTAACTGTCGATAATTTCGTTTCATTAATAACATCCTGTTTCAAATTTTGGTTTTTGCATTTCTTTGTATGTTTGATTTGTTATACATGTATATACATGATAGAACCTTATTATTACACTTGCATATATGAAGAACACGTCACAAGAGCGTTTCATATCTAATAAAAAATAAAAAATAAAATCCTCCCACCCACCCCATTTTTTTCAAAAATTTGGATGAAAATCTACTAATTAAATTTACTTGGCCTTATATAGACCTAATCAAAAGTGTTGATAGATTATGTAGAAACTGAAAAAAAAAAAACTATGTCTTACAGGCAACAGATGTACAAAAAATGGGAAGGACCAAATAAATGATCATTTCATGACTTTCATATTTCAGTTATAAATGCATATGTCTATGTTTGTATATTTCTATTCTTACAAAATGTCCAGCTTCAAAACCAATCAACTAACATTCATATCAAAACCTTTAAAAAATAGTTACAATATATAAACATATAGCACCAAAAACACAATGCTGTATTAATACTTAAAATCATTTGATGAAAATCACATTTTTCAGTTAAAATGTCCATGAAACATTTTCCCTTGATACTGTTCTGTCCACTTGTATGACAGGTATGATTGGTTGGTTTTATGTCAATCAAACATTTCTGATTCATCCCACACTGCATATCCACGTTTCACCATTTCTTGAGCAATATTAACATCCTGTTAAATAAATAATGGATTAGGTTCATCGATTGATTGTTGCTTACTTAACATCTTGTGGTAAATATTTCATGCATATTTTCTGGACAGAGTTTTTGGTTTCTTTTGTTATGTCTGTCAACTTTTCAAAATCTCCATGCAGTTTTTAAGCACAAGAGGACATATAGTGATATACACACACAAAATTTGCTCACATGAATTTCATACGAATCTCACATGAAATTCATCTCAAACGAGCTTATACATGAAAGTCAGGTGAAAATTTTCATGTGAATTTCACGTGAACTTTACAAAAAAAAATGATTTTGGTTAAATTTGATAATTTAGGTGTTATTTGAATAACATTATTTCAAAAATTCACATGAGTTTCACATGAAAAAATTCATGTGATTTTCATGTGAGTTTCACCTATAAGCTCATTTGAGGTGAAATTCACATGAATTTAAATTCATGTGAAATTGATGCGAGTTAAATTTCCCTGTGTAAGTCTCCTCAAATATTGTCATCAGTGTTTTTAATCTAATATTATATTATTTGAATGAGTATGTATGTGCTTAAATACCCTTTAACTGAATTGAATGCTTGTTTTTAGGAGTTCAGTTTATACAATAAAGAATTTTAAAATTCAGGTCAACACCTCTCATGGGGGATATCCCCCATAAATCGTGACAGTTGGCAGGTCTGATGTCATATTTAAAAGTTATGTATTTTAGTGGTATGTGATAATAGTTTTCATGCATACAGTCACGTCCTTAAAACTTAACTTCGTAATAAGAAAACATAAGGTATGGGTTATGGTCATTGTTGAAGGCCATACAGTGACTTTCTAAACAATTTAAGAAAGTAATGTGAATATATATACTTAAAGCAAAACATGCTACATATATGATCACCTTATCGTTCATAACAAAACAATTATAGAATAAACCTGTGATTGGAGGATACCATATAAATGCATATAACTTCTAACGAGACTTGAAAAGTATATAAGGACTAGAAATTAAATCTATTTAAGGAATGACTGTAATATTTTTTCTGTCTATGAAGAAATAACATCAAAAATGTGGTGCACACTGAATAACCCGCGTAGCGTGTTATTTTAAAGTGTGCACCACATTTTTTATGTTATTTCGAATAGACAGAAAAAATATTACAGTCATTTCTTATAATTTAATTCTAAATTCTATTTTAAACCGGAGTAAACCATGAAAAAACGTTGATGACGTCACGGTCACATGACAAAATTATGTCTAAGAGCTGATAAACAAAACAACGTCAGCCAATCAGAAGACGCGTTACATCCAAAATTAAATTATAGACAATGGTAATAGTAAGTTTTGCTGGGATTGGTTCATGGACTATTTATAGAATTAGTTGCTGACATCTACATCATTTGGACTCTGAAGGATAGTTTTCTCATTGGCTGTCATACCACATCTTCTTATTTTTATAGGACACTACATACCTGATCTGTATTCGTGTCCATCAGTTCTAATACAGGTACAATACCCATACTTGTTTGACGATGATTTATTTTCTTGGCCATTAAAACTTTCCATTTTGCAGCATAGGTCAACTCATCAAATACCTCTATCGAGTCTTCACTCCAGGTATCACCTGAATAAATAAATTTACAATTCAATGGGAGACAAAAATTTATTACTGTGGATTCATTATTATTCGTTAGGTACCAATTTTTCATGCATTTCCTGGGTACAGTTAAACCATGAATTTAAATGTTCAACAAATTACAAACTTTCTATAAGGTTGTATGCAGACTTTTGCCAAATCTCGAAATCAAATATCCAAGAAAATGCAAGTTTTCCTCAATCCACAAAAATTGGTACCCACGAAAATAAATGAATCCACAGTAAGATGCTCTAAGTTTGGACCTTTGTGTCCTTTGTAATTTATGTTAGTGGTACTTATTTTGTGCTTTGTGCCATGTCCAACTAATTTTTACAGTTTATTTACATGTTATGCTGTTACACCACTGTCCCAAGTAAGGGGAGTTTAACTCTGCCACATTCCTAATGTGCCTGTCCCAAGTTGGGTACTTCATTTCTGGTTTGAACATCACATTTCAGAATAATCAAAATATAATCTTGAAATTAAGTATTTTCTAACTTACTTATCTTAACCAAACATTCATGTTTCATAATTTGATCACATCTGTCAATTCAGGTACACAGCTGTGTAGGTCAAATTAGTTTTTCAATTAAATTCTGTACAATATTGTCCATGATTTAAAAATTCAGGTAAAATAATATAATTAACAAAAAATTGAATGACAATATTAATGATAGACATGACTTTTTCTCTCTCCTGACAACAAGGCAATACAGTCATAAGTTACTGAGATTTCTCTCTCCCGACAACAAGGCAATAACAGTCATAAGTTACTGAGATTTCTCTCTCCCGACAACAAGGCAAAAACAGTCATAAGTTACTGAGATTTCTCTCTCCCGACAACAAGGCAATAACAGTCATAATTTACTGAGATTTCACATGCAGTTTTCTTCTCTCTTTCTTTTTAACTGAGTTTTTATATACAATATATTTTCAATTTAAGGAATAACTACGTCTTTGTTTTGACCATCTTTAAATACAGCATCACTGTTATTCCTATTCACTGCTATGCTCTTAAATTTCAAACTAAAACATTTGAAATATCGTGGAAACATGGACTGAGATTATGCTATATTGTTGCCAATGACTCTGATCCTCAATCATGGAATTGACAGCAGAAGTCAAACAAAAACAAATGATGTTGCATGTCACATCGTAAAAATCAGTAGGTTTTATAAACATAACAGACATATTTTAATTTTACTGGCTGGGAACTATACAATGGTGTATTTATTTACCTTAGGCCAATTAAAATTAATTGATAGATTTTCATCCCCGCCCGCCCCTCTGAAATTGTTCCGCCCCAATTTTTTTTATTTTGAAAAATTTACGATTTCCGGATTTTGTTCATTTTCGTTACCGGTAACTGTCGATAATTTCGTTTTATTAATAACATCCTGTTTCAAATTTTGGTTTTTGCATTTCTTTGTATGTTTGATTCGTTATACATGTATATACATGATAGAACCTTATTATTACACTTGCATATATGAAGAACACGTCACAAGAGCGTTTCATATCTAATAAAAAATAAAAAATAAAATCCTCCCACCCACCCCATTTTTTTCAAAAATTTGGATGAAAATCTACTAATTAAATTTACTTGGCCTTACAAGAAAAATTCTCTATTTAGTTTTTTAGTTTTTAATACAGTTGTCACCCTATTATGTTGTTTCATTTCTAGGCAATTATTTCTTTTAACTGAACCCTTCAACTAAGCCTGACCCTATTATTGGACCCCATATTCTGTAACGTAAACTTAGCCGATTGATATGTACCAATATATAATGATAAAGATAGCCTTACCTACGGGTTTTATATGGGCCAGATGGCACTCTATAGCTTGGAATGGCAATGCCTCAAATTCAGATCTGAAAGAACAAAAATATTATAATCTTGTTGTATCTGCGCTAAATTACTGATGATGACCAAAGCAAGTAACAACGATCAATATCAACTCACTGAACAAAGGGAGATAATCACTATAATAATTTTTATACATTCTTCGTTTTTATTCAATGTTTCGATGAACTGAGTCCACAGATAAATATGTCATTAAGGATGTTTGCTACTCTGTTTCAAAATAACAAGCTTTTTAAAAGACTGTTATCAATTGATAGTATATAAATAAAGGGACTAAAAAAGCAGAAAAAAATGAAGGGTCCGTGTGCTTTTTTTCGAGATATAAGCCATTGAAAATTTGGCGGGAAATGATTCTCTCTAGATTTTTCATACTTTTAACATTGGCCGCTTTTTTGTTTCAAAAACTATGAAAAAATAACAAAGATTTTATAAGATTTTCAAATATGGCTTTTTAAACTATATGTAATAAAATTATGAAAAGAAAAGTAGGGGTTAGCAGGCAAAATTTTGTAATGGCAATACATGGATAAAACCAGAGGATTCCGAAAATCTGGCAAAAATTCAAAAACAACAGGAGCAAACATCCTTAAGTTGAGGTTACCAAAATAGTCTACCTGGTGTTGTAAATTAAATTTGCTTCATAAATTTTTTAAAATGAAGAAAGTTGACAGGCAGGCTCATTGGACACTTTTTTTTAACTGCATACTCTGAATATGATTGTGGCTTAGATTTGTTCCAATTAACAAAGTAATTGCAGAGGATAAAATTATTGAAAGAGTTAACCGACAATGGATGATTAACAAAAAGACTCCAAGTGATTGCAAGGACAGTTCTTAACGAATTTGAATGAGTTCTGTCACATGACATGACATTATGAAGGCAAAAGCAATGTAATAACATACACATGGATAGATAATTTAATTTTGGATGTAACGCGTCTACTGATTGGCTGACATTGTTTTGTTTATCAGCTCATAGACATAATTTTGTCATGTGACCGTGACGTCATCAACGTTTTTTCATGGTTTACCCCAGTTTAAAATGAAATTTAGAATTAAATTATAAGAAATGACTGTAATATTTTTTCTGTCTATTCGAAATAACATAAAAAATGTGGTGCACACTTTAGAATAACCTGCGTATTCCTTAAATAACTGTTGAAGAAAATTCAAAACACATTACACACCACAATTCAGGTATAAGAATCTGAACACAGTTATCGCCCTTTGATTTTTGATGTCTAAAAACATAGTTCCTAGTGTGGACAGTGTATAACTTGCCAATTTTTTTCATACACCTTCCAAATTTATTTCTTTATATTTTATGATTAAATTAATAAGAAGAAGATAAAATTACATGTGAAATGAATTTTTAGATAAAGGAGCAATTTGGTCCAGTTGAAAAACGTAAAAAAATAGTTTGTTTGAAGCTGTCAATCTGAATTACAGACCCCCTTAACACTGAGTTAGAGCTGACAGAGTTTCTATAATTTTAATATAATTTGTCCCAAAAGTAGTACACTACACTAAAAATTGTTTTGAGATAGAGCAGGTGAGATTTTTTAATTTGCATTTATACTCAAAAAAGAAATGCACTATGAAATAACTGCGTTCTCGGGCCATAAGAGGTATAACTGTTTTGAGTATATGTAATATTTATCGATATGAGTATTTTAGATACTGTGGATTCATTTATTTTCGTGGTTACCAATTTTCGTGGATTGAAGAAAACTTGCATATTCGTGGATATTTAATTTCGTGGTTTTGACAAAATCTGCATATATTCCTTTAGAAATTAGTAAATCGTTGAACATTTAAATTCGTGGTTCCCCTGTACCCACGAAATCCACGAAAATTGATATTCAACGAATATTAATGAATCCACAGTAAGCTGTTTCAATGGTTAAAAAAATAAATTTTGAATCACAAAGGTAGTGAAAGCTTTTTACCTCATTCTTCGAACCTTGTTACAGGGGAGATAACCACTGTCTCCATAATCAACATACAACAGATCTAAAGTGTCGCCCTCTACTCCCATCACCTTTGCTCTGTACCAAGAAGTATCGTTTTCAAATGGTGCAGCGACCAGATCTCCTGCTACTAGATTTGATACATTGTAACCCTGGAAAACAAATGCTATTAAACATTGTTACCCTGGAAGATAAATGCTATTAAAAATATTACATTGTTAGAACAAGAAATAAAGACCCACTCAACCCTTGCTTACTTAATTATGGGTTAATAATTACATTACATGTATGTTTCATTAGAATCCGTAATTTTGAATGGCTGATGACAATCGTGAGGCACTCCAATATTAAATTTTATTTCTGTATGAAATACAACAGCTATGATGACTCCACATGCTATTCATGACAAAGTTAAAATATTGCATTGAAAAACAAGAGAAAAGCTTGATATAACTCTTAATTTCATGGTTGTAGCCTAAAAATGTAATTATAAGAATTAAATGCTTCTTTTTATAATTTTAAAGGGTTGTAAGAGCGTTGATCGTGCTCATATTTTTAATATATAGGGCTTCCGGGCAAGGGTCCGAAAACGGTCATATTTGCAGGTCATGACCTAAACTGAAAGCTATTTGTCTTAAACGAAAAATTGGGATTTAGGACAAATTTTATTTTTTTACAAAAATAATTTCGGTCATTTCATTGAGATCGTGTTTCTTAATCGCCATTTTGCACTTGTTTTTGTTTTAATCCCTTTCCTGTAATAAAACTGCCACTCCAGTATAGTTTGATAATCCTGAGGGCCCTCCTAATAACTATATTAATGCCTCTGGGAAATATTGGCTAATGATCGCTAATCACTTTTTACCTGTGTTTTTTAATTCACACCTGACATTGATCACAAGCTCAGAACTAATATTATAAAGAAATTAAAATTCCATGACAACCTTATTTATTATTTTATTACTTTTCCGCAAAGCCAATCATCAATTCTGATTTAAAAATTAAAACTTAATTCAATTTACGTAGAAAAAAGTATTTTTTTCACGAGTGACACATGTGCTTTATTTACTATGTAATAAGCATGCGTGAAATTGCCTTCAGCAGATTAGACATTTAAGTGTAAAATGCAAAACGATTTCATGCTAAATTAAACGAGTGCAATTATTATCTGTTATATTCAAACACTTTTAAAGGTAATAAAATAAAAAAGCCGGTGACATCCTGTCAATTTGATAAACAAAACGAATCCCGGAAATGAATCCGGAATAACTCGTACATTAGTATTGTCGCAAAACGTCCGGTTTAAATTTCGTTCTCAAATTCGAAAGAAACATTAGCAATGTCTGAGAAATTAACCATTTTAAGTCATTAAAATCATTTCAATGTTAAACTGTTGCCTTCCCTAAACTGTTCTTGAACGTTTTTAGAAAATTGGTAAGAAAATGCACAAAGTAAATGCAATGAAACAGTCAATACAAGTTCGTTGATGCTATGAATCTTGTGTGATATCGACAATTTGAAAAAAGGGCACCAACATTTAAGTCATCTCAAAATGACTGAAATTGTTGGAAAAAATTTTCAGATCCTTGCTTCCGGGCTTCATACAACATAGGCTTTGACATTCAACTCTTTTTGCACTAATTACCAATTATGAAAAGAAGCATTCAATTCTTAATTAGAGTTCCCTTTAGTGGATACCGATGGTATGCATGGTTGTCAAAAGAAATTTAAATATTGCTAAATTGACAACACTCAGGTTAACTGCAACTTTTATTGGTTGACATGCTTCCCTGATTAGATAGGGGTTTTTAGGATAAGGTATACAGATATTAGAAACCATGAGGTAAATTAAGCAGTATTGTCAAAACAAGAAAAGTAATCACCATATATTAATTATAGAGGAAGATAGCGGAGGTATAAAATGTTGTAATTCTATCCACTAGGTTAAATAATTCTACTGACATAGAAAATAGAGACTGACCAAATAACAATCCTGTACAAACCTGTGACATTTCTGTGGTATAAAATGAAGTGATTCTATCCACTAGGTTAAATAATTCTACTGACATAGAAAATAGAGACTGACCAAATAAGTCCTGTACAAACCTGTAACATTTCTGTGGTATAAAATGAAGTGATTCTATCCACTAGGTTATCTAGTTCCACTGACATAGACGATAGAATCTGGACCCAGAACAGTCCTGGGTTAGCCACAGCTGACACATAAACTTCAATATAATCCCTGCCTTCAGGCCACCCTCTTACTGCTGGATGGACCTGTTGGGATTCAGTGGACTCTGGTCCTCCATTAGCTTGATCTGTAAATAGAAAGGCATAAGTTAGCCTTATTTATTAAAACTTTAAATTTTACTGATTCAAAGTGTTAAAATCAGTTCTTATGTTCTAATTTTTAACACATATCTATACAGCTACTGTAAATTCAGAAGTTATTGCACGTTTTTGTTAATTGCGATATTGGTTTTTCTCATTGTTGAAGGCCATAGGGTTGCCTATAATTGCTTCCATACACTTTGTTTAAACTTTGATGGATAGCTATCTCATTGGCAATCATACCACATCTCCTTATTTTTATATACAAGGTAAAAGATGTTAACATGAGTAGACATGGGTGAACCCAAACAAGATGCTCATGAGAGCCTGATATCGCTCTCCTGTAATTTCAGTTTCAGGCATTTGACTTATTTGTAGATCTTACTTTGCTGAACAGTTTTGTCATTTACACTTTCTCTCTTTCTACAATAATATTAAAGATGATACATAACCCAAAACTGTAAAATTTCCTAAAAATTAACTATTTCTGGACAGTAACCCAACAATAAGTTGTCTTATTGGTCTAAAGATTACTTGACAGGTAGATCTAAACCTGTTTAACACTTTCACCTATGTCAGTTTTGCTCTTACTGCTTTAGTTTTTGAGATGAAAGCCAAAAACTTCATTTGACCCCTATGTTCTATTTTAAGAAACTGCCGCCATGTTTTTGAATGGATCAAATCCCTGAATACAATTTATAAACTAGATACCATAAGGAACATTCAATAAAAGTTTTTAAGTATTTGGCCAAGTAGTTTCAGAGAAGAAGATTTTTGAAAAAGTAATTAGACTCTTACAAAAAATGTTAAAAAAAAAAGTTTTAAGGGCAATAACTCCTTAAGGGGTCAATTGACTATTTTGATCATGTTGACTTATTTGTAGATCTTACTTAGCTGAACATTTATTGCCATTTATACTTTCTCTCTATCTTTTATAATATTAAAGAAAATAACCTTTAACAGTAAAATTTAATAACAATAAACTATTTCCAACAGTAACCCAACAATGGGTTGTCGAACTTGTCAGAAAATTTCATAACAGATTGATCATGACCCATTTATCACTTAAACTCCTTTCACTTTTGCTCTAACTGCTGTAGTTTTTGAGAAATAAGCCAAAAACTGCTTTTGTCCCCTATGTTCTATTTTTAGACATGGCAGCCATGTTTGTTGATGGACCAAAACTTCCGATACATTTATAAACCAGTTACTCTAAGGAACATTCAGTTAAAGTTTAGAAGTATTAGGCCCAGTAGTTTCAGAGAGGATTTTTAAATGTTAGCAAACATAATAACAAATTGTGTAAAATTGTCTTGAAAAGGCAATAACTCCTCAAGGGGTCAATTGACAATTTTGATCGCATTAACTTTTTTCTAGATCATACTTTGCTGAACATTTTTGCAGTTTACAGTTTATCTTTATCTTCAATAATATTCAAGATAATAACCAATAAAATGCTCCGCAGGGCGCAGCTTGATACGACCGCAGAGGTCGAACCCTGAACAGTTGGGGCAAGTATGGACACAACATTCAAGCTTGATACAGCTCTGAATTTGGATAGTGATTAAATATTTGACACAGCATAGGTTTCTGACACAGAATGAATGTGGTCTAAGAACTTAAAAATTTTAAATTGGACATTCACCTATTATGGTCCAATATCCAAAATCTAAATACATGGTTAGATTCAGCATATCAAAGAACCCCAAGAATTCAATTTTTGATGAAATCAAACAAAGTTTAATTTTGGACCCTTTTGATCTCAATGTGGACAAAGTTGATAACAGGGCCCAAAAATCAAAAATCTAAATACATGGTTAGATTCAGCATATCAAAGAACCCCATATATTCAATTTTTGTTGAAATCAAACAAAGTTTAATTTTTTAAACCCCGATTTGGACCAACTTGAAAACTGGGCCCATAATCAAAAATCTAAACACATGTTTAGATTCAGCATATCAAAGAACCCTAAAAATTCAATTTTTGTTAAAATCAAACTAAGTTTAATTTTGGACCCTTTGGACCTTTATGTAGACCAATTTGAAAACGGAACCAAAAATTAAGAATCTAAATACACGGTTAGATTCGGCATATCAAAGAACCCCAATAATTCAATTTTTGATGAAATCAAACAAAGTTAAATTTTGGACCCTTTGGACCTCAATGTGGACCAATTTAAAAACGGGGCCCAAAATCCAAAAACTTAATACACGGTTAGATTCAGCATATGAAAGAACCCCATAAATTCAATTTTTTTATTGAAATCAAACAAAGTTTAATTTTGGACTCCGATTTGGACCAACTTGAAAACTGGGCCCATAATCAAAAATCTAAATACATGGTTAGATTCAGCATATCAAAGAACTACATATATTCAATTTTTGTTGAAATCAAACAAAGTTAAATTTTGGACCCCGATTTGGACCAACTTGAAAACTGGGCCCATAATCAAAAATCTAAATGCATGGTTAGATTCAGCATATCAAAGAACCCCATATATTCAATTTTTGTTGAAATCAAACAAAGTTTAATTTTGGACCCTGTGGACTTTTATGTAGACCAATTTGAAAACGGAACCAAAAATTAAGAATCTAAATACACGGTTAGATTCGGCATATCAAAGAACCCCAATAATTCAATTTTTGATGAAATCAAACAAAGTTAAATTTTGGACCCTTTGGACCTCAATGTGGACCAATTTAAAAACGGTGCCCAAAATCCAAAAACTTAATACATGATAGATTCAGCATATTAAAGAACCCCAAGAATTCAAGAATAAAACCCCATTGAAATAGATCAAGAAATAAGCAACTTATACAAAGTATATTCTTTTGCACAATACTGTGCAATTGAATATTTCTTGCTATTGCGCAATACTGTACAATTGACAATTTCTTGCTATTGCGCAATATTGTGCTATTGGATATTTCTTGCTATTGCGCAATACTGTGCAATTGAAGATTTCTTGCTATTGCGCAATACTGTGCAATTGAAGATTTCTTGCTATGGTGCAATACTGTGCAATTGAAAATTTCTTGCTATTGCACAATACTTATTGTATAATAATTTACACATCCTGTTTGGTGTGTATCTCCTTCCATATCATTATTATTTGCTTTTAAATATAAATCAGAAATAACCAACTTAAAATGGAAAATTTTAAAAGAAAAAAAAAGGAAAAAAAGAAAAAAAAAGAAAAAAAAAAAAATCCCCCCCCCCCAAATTTTTTGAACCCCCTTATGATTCATCACCCCCAAACTCAATCCCAGCCTTCCCTTTGTGGTATGGTACCTTGCAGTACAATTTCAGAGAGATCCATACACTTGAACACAAGTTATTGTCTGGAAACTAGAAAAATGCTTATTTTTGGCCCCTTTTTGGCCCCCAATTCCTAAACGTTTCGGGCAATTACCCCCAAACTCAATTCCAGCTTTCCCTTTGTGATATGGAACCTTGTAGTACAATTTAAGAAATATCCAAACACTTACACACAAGTAATTGTCATGAAACTAGAAAAATGCTTGTTTTTTGCCCCTTTTTTGGCCCCTTATTCCTACAATTTTGAGGCAATTACCCCCAAAATCAATTACAGCCTTCCCTATGTGATATGGAACCTTGTGGTACAATGTCAGAGAGATCCATACACTTACACACAAGTTATTGTCTGGAAGTTACAAAAATGCTTATTTTTGGCCCCTTTTTGGCCCCTAATTCCTTAACTGTTGGTACCATAACCCCCAAAATCAATCCCAACCTTCCTTTCGTGGTATTGAACCTTATGGTAAAATTTCATGGAGATCCATTCACTTAAACTAAAGTTAGAGTGCGAAAACCAATGTGTCTTCGGACGACGCCGGACGACGCCGGACGACGACGACGACGCCAACGTCATACCAATATACGACCAACAATGGCAGCAACCCAACAATGGGTTGTTCGGTTTGTCTGAAAATTTCAGGGCTGATAGATCTTGACCTATAGAACATTTTTATCCCGTCAGATTTACTCTAAATGCTTTAGTTTTTGAGATATAAGCCAAAAACTGCATTTGACCCCTATGTTCCATTTTTAGCCATGGCGGCTATGTTTGTTGATGGATCAAAACTTCGGATACATTTTATAAACTAGATATCCTAAGGAACATTCAATTAAAGTTTGAAAGTATTTGGCCCAGTAGTTTCAGAGGAGAAGATTCTTGAAATAGTTTACGACGACGACAACAGGCGATGACAGACGATGGAAGACGCCAAGTGATGGCATAAGCTCACATGAAAGGGCCCAGGTGAGCTAAAAATGGACATCTGGAAAAAAGATACACCCATAGTAGCTGTAGTGGATTGTTAGTCCTTAAAGGTAGCAAGTACTTCTGTACTGGCACGAAAATACAGGTTTAGATTTATTGAAATCTGCTGTCAAAATGTTTTAGAAATCATTTTAAATAAAGTCAATCAGCAATGCAAAGATCATTCTCATCATACAATACTATTTCTGATTGGTCCATCATACAAAATATTCCTCTACTTTTTAGTGAATCTACTGAATATAACAATGACTAGTATTACCATGATTACTAGAAGACATGTCTGTTCTTCCTTCAAACTGCTTGTCGTGCACATGTTGTTTTGGCTTTTGTCTTTGTTCCCTGTTGGCCTCCATCACAGCTTTCTTTGCTCTGAATAATTCCTCATCATCTATCTTTTCTTGAATCATAGACTGGAATATAGAGCTATTGTATTACCATTGTTTACCTCCCTTCATCAGAACATTGACTGATTTTCTAAGAATTTATAAAGTGTAGAATAAATCTGGAAAGTTTTATGCATCTTCTTTTTCCTTGCATACTGTTACAAAATGTATATCGTTTCTCTGTTGAATTCATAAACATATTGTCTAGAATAAGGGTAATTAAGAGATTGCCATTCAGTTAATAAATTAATTTATAATTTAATATTGTATGCCAATTTAAAATGGTATGGCAAGCTCTATATGTTTAACTAAGTTAACTTATGTCTACTCCAACATCTCCTTGATAATATTCTAATTGAACTGTAGTACAGCTCTTGTACCAGTAATAGGTCATTATTTTTCTGGATCCCTGTTTCAACAACTTTCCTTACCTTAGCCAGCTCTATATTTTCTTTGGTACCAGTAATGGTGACAGTTCTCTCAGATTCTCTATAATCACCAGCTGATCTGTCAACATAAACTTTGGCTTTAGAAGTTCGTGACATCTGACGAATAGTCTCCCCATTTCTTCCTGTTAAAAAATTATCACACATTTATTGTTCATTTTTTCTATATTTAAAATAAATTATTTTCATTCAAGAATTTTTAATATTAAATTTAATACACTGCATCTTTTCTAGAAGATGGATGAGGAATGCTGCATTTATACATTCAAACTCCTATCAACAGATCCTTTATTTACTCACTCGAGAAATTTCCAAGGGATTACCATTTCTTTTTCTTCAGTAACAATTACTATCAAGTTTTATTTACCAATAATTCTGCTAAGACATTTCAGAGGGACGACCATTTCTTCAGTTACAATAACTATCAAGTTTTATATACCTATAATTCTGCCAAGACATTTCCCAGGGACCACCATTTCTTCAGTAACAATAACAGGAAGTTCTGCAATAATCTTTCTGATCATATTTTCTGCCATCTGAGCAGCTTCAGGTGTTCCTCTGATAACAACTCCTCTTTCTTCCTGAGAATCTCTATTGTTATCTGTAAAATTAACTCTTGCTCCAGATTTCTGTTGAATCTAGGAATACAAATTGGCAATTATTTAATTCATATATATATACATGTATATATATATAAGAAGATGCGGTATGAGTGCCAATGAGACAACTCTCTATCCAAGTCACTATTTGTAAAAAGTTAACAATTATGAGTCAAGGTACGGACTGCAACACGCAGCCTCAGCTCGCACTGAACAGCAAGCTATAAAGGGCCCCAAAATGATAAGTGTAAAACAATTCAAACAGGAAAACCAACGGTCTTATCTTTATAATTAACAAGAAACACTTATAAACCACATCAACAAACGACAACCAATGAACAACAGGCTGCTGACTTAGGACATGTGCATAAAAATGCAGTGGGTTTAAAAGTTTTAACAGGTGCCATCCATCACCCTAACCTGAGACAGTAGTGTAACAGTGCAATATAAAAAGACACACTATAAAATATAACAGACATATCAACAAAAGTGCATATATTTGAAAAAGACAGCAACCAACCAAACCACAACAAAAGGCATCCAGAGGTCAACATACCTTTTTAATCGGCAGACCCTCTTTAACTAAAGAATTTATTATTACAAAATGTATTATCAGCATAATCAGAATCCATTTGCAATTAAATTAGAATCATTAAATGCTAGCATATAAAGTGACATATCAATTTGCTCTTAATGAAATCTACATTTTTGTCACTGTTCAACGCCATATGAGTATTAGCAATTTTAATATGAAATATTGAAACCTTGTAAACTTTAATTGCTTTGTTTATCAGTAAACATTATTTGTTTCTATCAGTACACAAAAAAATATGCAAGCACTATGTATTTTGACATCGTGAATTAATTTGGAATAGCAAATTACAGCAAAATGAAATACTATTATTTAGGTATAGGGGGAGGGTTGAGATCTCATAAACATGTTTGGCCCCGCCGCGTTTTTGCGCCTGTCCCGAGTCGGGAGCCTCTAGCCTTTGTTAGTCTTGTATTATTTTTGATTTTAGTTTCTTGTGTACAATTTGGAGTTTAGTATGGCGTTCATTATCACTGAACTAGTATATATATTTGTTTAGGGGCCAGCTGAAGGACGCCTCCGGGTGCGGGAATTTCTCGCTGCATTGAAGACCTGTTGGTGACCTTCTGCTGTTGTCTGTTCTATGGTCGGGTTGTTGTCTCTTTGACACATTCCCCATTTCCATTCTCAATTTTATTAAAATCGGAACAAAAAAACACATTTTCTGGTTAATTAGTTAGTTTAAATAAATAAGGTAATATGAATATATATAATGTTTATAATCTATACCTCTTTAATCATAGCACCCTGTCTGCCAATGACAGCTCCTACAGCTTTTGGTGGAACTTTTACATCAATAACTGTTTGTCTAGAAGTGGCCATCTTTTGGGAAGTTTCTTCCTCTTCATCGTCTTCTTTAATGAGTTAAAAAAAAAAGTTACTTTTTGGGTAAAGTACTAAAGAATTCACTAAAAGAATGGGTTATAATTAATACAAAACTTAGAATCACAAGATCCAAAAAAAAAAAGAGGAAAGATGCCATGGGGTGAAGATAAACTGTTGACACATACATATGTCTTGCCTGTATATATATAATTTTGATAGGAAAATGTAAATGTTGAAATTATAAATAGCAATACTTTAACATGCAAATATTAAAAGTTAATGAACCATGACTGAAGGTACAGGGTTAAATAATTTCCATGGAAATCAGATATGCCAATGCAAATACAACAGCATACCATATCATTGACTTACCATTAGTGGTCACTCGTAAAATGACCTAATCACAAACTGTAACATGTAAACTATGCAAAACTTTTAAAGTCAATAGACCATGATGGAGGGGGCAGTGTCAAATAATCTCCATGGAAATGAGATGTTCCATATTGCTAGTACAACTCTATCAAAGTATCATTGATGTGCCATTAGTAGTTCCTCTAAAACTGACCTTTTCACAAATTTTAACAAATTGTTGAGGCTGTCTACGTTAGAAATAGCAAACATAAGTCTAGATTCTAAATTCAAGGCGAGACAAAAACAGAAAAATTAAAAATAGAAAATAAAAATTTTACTTAAGACATTATCTGTTTATCTTTTCATAAAAAGTTTTTGCCAAATCAAAGTTTCATGAAATTCTATGCAGGTATGACAAAGTTATTGATGTCTAAAAAAAACTTTGACAGTGCCATGTTTGCAAATGTCAATTACCGGTACAAGTTACAACAAAACTCTTTAGTCAGTATAACTACTGTGGATTCATTATTATTCGTTGGATACCAATTTTTGTGGATTTCGTGGGTACAAGTAAACCACGAAATTAAATGTTCAACGAATGACATATTTAATAGGCTTGAAAGCAACCTTTCGGTAAAACCACGAAATTAAATATCCACGAACATGCCAATTTTCCCTAATCCACGAAAATTGGTACCCACGAAAATAAATGAATCTTTAGGAGCAATTAAATCTGATTCAGATGAGAAAATGAGAAGAAAAAATTCTGAATTTGGTTCTGGATACTATCCAACTTTTGTTCATTAAAAAGCTTGTCCAAGTTTCTTAAATTTCCATGAAGGTTTGAGAAAAATTTAACCACAAACTACTGTCAATGCAATATGAGATCCCTATGCCCTGCTTCGCGACAAAATGTTACAGACTCAACTAATATGGGTAATAATTGTCTTTCAAGGCAGATTACATGGACTTATTTATAATTCTAATTTTGCTGGACATTTTTACAATGTAAAGTTTCTCTCTATCTATAATATATTTCAATATAACCATCAACTACAAAATTTCAAATAAATTGTTAATTCAGGTGCAATATTTAATATTCTCTAATTCTTCGTCAATTTATCCCTTTCTGCACCCATTGTATAAAAAATTTAATCAATGTGTGGTTCGTTTGATCTCAGTTCTTCATTGGTTAAAATCCGATTATGACGTCGAATTTACTTGCTTTCCTCTGAATTTCCTATTGTGATGGCATGAAAAAAGGCGACCATGCATGATGACGTCACATAGAAAGAACACATCTTTTTACAGATCATTCAAAAGGACGGAATAAGTTTGCCTGCATATAGTTTGAAAATCATTAGAGAAACAGATTCCACAACCAAATCTTGTGTAATACGATATTTATCCAGTATCGACAGTTAAATTTTAAATATTTAAAACGCTTGGCAAGCCTCGCGTTTTAAATTTGAAAATTGAACTGCCTCGAGTGGATAAATATTGTATCACACTCGATGCAGTGGTAGAATCTATATTTATCATACCATCATCTGCACCTCGTAATAACCAGTAACCTAGTAATAATGTAGTAGGTGCACCAATCAGTAGCAGTAGTTTATTTCTTGTTGTCAATACCATTTTCAGTAGTTATCTGAAACTATTCCCATCTTTTTTCTGTAAAGAAAATTAAAAATAATTAAAAGGCGGCTATACTTTTAATAGTACTGTTATAGATCAATGGAAAAAATGTTGCTTTGAATACATAACAATTTCTTTCAATTTGTTACTCATAACATTCAGTGGCGGATCCAGAAATTTTCATAAGTGGGGGCCCACTGACTGCCTAAGAGGGGGCCCGCTCCGGTCTTGCCTCAGTGATTCTCTATATAATCAACCAAATTTTTCCCAGAAAAGGGGAGTCCCGGGCACCCTAGGCCCCCCTCTAAATCCACCTCTGACATTCAAAGTTCAACAATCATGACAATTATGACGGATATTTTTGTTGAAATATTTATTTTAATTCATTCTTAAACTGTGTGGACTTATAGTAACATCTATACAACACAATATAAAATGAAATGAAAATAGGCCTTTATCCTTCCATATTTTTTTTATTTGTTACCATCAAATATGCCTTACGGTGACCTATAGTTGTTAAATTCTGTGTCATTTGGTCTCTTGTGGAGAGTTGTCTCATTGGCAATCATACCACATCTTATTTTTTATATCTACATACATGACATATATAAAGAAAATATAACATTTATTGGATCAGCTTGAAGGAAAAAAGCATGGCTTGCTTTTCCATAGGTTCTTAGTGAATATTTGTTTATGTCTTGCAACTTATTTTTTCAAATTTAAATATGTACTTTTACCCTGTCAATTGTATTTGAGGGGCCTGATGGGGGGTCTCATCACGATTCACGAGTTGATTTTTTTGTCAATCACGATTCACAGAAAATTAATTTCATTTATTTAACATAGAAATTGACACTGACTTGGTGCACATAGCAAAGAGGACCCCAAAATGAACTATTATGTAAAATGTGATTTGATAATTAATATAAGTATAGTATAATCCCTGGACAAATACGGGAGATATATCTGTAAATTTATTAATTAAAAAGTAATACCTCTGACTGGTGAATTTTGCTATCTATCTATTGTGAAGGTTGTTGCTACTACTTCACATTGATAGAAAAGATGTGTTTCATACAATTTGTATTGATGTAATGATGAGTTGTGCAAAAGGCAACATCAGGTGTACAAAGGCATTACATAGACAATTGGTTACTTTAGAATATTCAACTATAGTGTAGTGTACTACTTTTGAAACAAATTATATCAAAATTATGGGCGGGGGGTCTCTAATTCAGTTTTAAACATCTTCAGACATACTATTTTTTTACCATTTTCAACTGGACCAAATCACAACATGCTCAATATCACAATGAATCCAGAAATTTTCATAAGGGGGATCCACTGACTGCCCTAAGAGGGAGCCCTTTACTTTTTGCACCTTATTGTCTATTTTGTAAACTCAATAGAAACCCTCCAACAGGGACGAAAAAAGTGCACAGCAAAATCCAGGTCTATCACTAGTATCAGTTTTTAGTTTCAAAACCTAAAATGCATTTGAATTTTACTTTTCTCGGTCATGGTATGCATTTACACTTTTTCAGATGCACAGGTTTGTCTGTACTCAGAGAAAATTTTGAGGTGAAGACAGAGCCATATTTTTTTTATCCATAAAGTTCACATCATGGCGCATGCACCTCACAATTTTTTGAGAAATCAGTAATGAATAATTATTTATACGGACTTCGTCCTCTTTGACAGGTAACACCTGCCTCATATTAGTTTAATTATGATCTATTGATGTAAGGTATAATATATTAAAAATAAATAAGCTTACGAAATACAAACAATTACCAGCAAAGCAGTCAAATTGAAACTGAAACTAGAGAAAGCATGGGACTTCCGGTTTTGAGCATGAATAAAGGGGGGAGTTCTTGAAAAAAATGTAAACCTAAAATATTCGTTTGAACAGGTAAATACACACAATAATTAATTTAAGATAACAAAGATAGCTAAAATCAAAACTTTTCAGCTTTTTTACTTCACAAGATATTTGTCTTTCCAGTTGAAAATCACGGAAACAGAACCCGTTTCATTTTTCATTTTATTTATAATTTAACAAAATCGTTGTTGCGATTTTTACAAAATGCAAAACTCATTAGAGCATAAAATACTTATTCACTACGCTCATTTTCTTTGTCCCAATATTTGTTTTTGACGAGGCATGACTGCAACAAGTGAAAACGACGAATCATTTAGAGAAGCAGCGTGCAATGGTGATAAAGACTCGTTGAATAAACTTTTGGAGACCTATTCTATCGATGTCAATTCTCAGAATCCAGTAAACGGGTGGTCTGCGCTACACTGGGGGTGTAAACGAAACCACAAAGTCGTTGTCGAATTTCTTTTGCAAAAAGGTGGAAATAAAGACTTACTTACAACAAAAGGAGAAAAGCCTGTAGATTTAACAACAAGTGAGGACATATTTAACCTACTTGGTGGTTCTGGAAATCGCATAGCAATCCTAAATAAAAACGAGTCAAATTTTACGCCAAATTATCTTGCAAATCCAGCATTTCCTTATACACAACCAGTTGCAGATCTAGGTAGCACAAATCTGAACGGACTTCATACTGAACAAAAAAGTGTAGAAGTGAAAACTATAGTACCAACCATGCAAGGTTTAAATGAGAATGAACTTGTTCTGAAAATAAGAGTTGCATATATAGATGATCGTGATTTTATTGAGGTCGAAATGGATAAATCAAATTTGACATTTGAATCTTTAAAATCAGTCATGTGTAAAGAATTGGGAATCGAAAGAAGATTGATAAACAAGATCAGAAAATTGCCGAATACAATTTTAAGGAAAGACAAAGATGTTCAAAGGTTATGTGATTTTCAGGAACTTGAAGTAGTCCTGACAAATAAAGTGCCACCAGCTGGTGCAGGGATGAGAGGATTAGCAGCTCCAATCAAAAATCAAGAAGTTCTTTATTGACAGTCACGACATTTACTAATTTTATATTAATGCTAGAGCTATATTGTAATCTATGTACATGATGTAAATGTACATGTATGGTCTTTCTGTTTAATGTTTTAATTTACAAAGTAAATTTACATAAGGCAAAAAAAAATATATGTCTGTTAACGGTTACCCGACCGACCCTACTTTTGAGCGCGGACCCTAAGTCATTTTATTTCTGTCGTAAAGTGAAAAATAAACTCAACTTGTGTCAAAAGCGAAGTTAGTGTTGCAAATAATATAAATCAATTGCCTGATACATCCCAATGTTCACAATCGTGAATATGACAGCTGTTTTAAGAAAATTCGCAACTCGTGTGATGAAATAAACACTTTGCCGCCATTTTTTTCCAACCAATTACCAAGGGAAATAATCCAATCATTAAAGGTACGGGTAAACTCGGCCCATGATCAACTCGGACCACGACAAGACAAAACGGCATGACTCAAAATCATGTCACAAAAAATAAAATGAAAAAATAAAATAAAATGGAAATAACGACCTACCTACCCTATTTTTTTTAAAGTACATGTATGTAACCTTAAACAAACATATATTTTTTTTTGGCCTAAGAGGGTAAGAATTATTAAAATGATATTATATGCATGATATGTGAGGTAGTAAAAAGGTTTACCGTTGGTTACAATTTATAATTTGTAAATACAGGTGTATCATGAATTTATAGTACAAATGTAAGGCTTTAGAATATGTAGAAAGCAAATAAAATTTTAAAAAATCTTCTTGAGTATGAAAATCAAATATTTTTTATTTCCAAACTGGCCTTTTTAGCAAATTGTCGTCTGGTGGTAGCAACTGTAGCATGCTTGTGTGATGGATGTTGTACATTTAGGTTGATGGTAGAGTCAAACCTAAAACTTTAGAAATTGTGTTCCTCAGCCATATCAGCATGATCAGCCAAGCATGAGTCATACAGAAATAAAGCAAAGACTGGTCAGCCTAGACATGTTAGTGAAAATGTGGTCTGTTGAATGACATTCTTTACATGTATGTAAAATTGAGAATGGAAATGGGGAATATGTCAAAGAGAATAACCCGACCAAAGAACAGACAACAGCCGAAGGCCACCAATGGGTCTTCAACGTAGCGAGAAAATCCCGCACCCGTAGGTGCTCCTCAGCTGGCCCCTAAATAAAATTGTGTACTAGTTCAGTGAAAGTGCTTGTCCAAGTCAGGAGTTCTGTGGTCATGGTGGTAAATGTTGGTTCATATCTTATTTGTTTTGCTTAAATTGTCTTGTTATAAATTAGGCCATTAGTTTTCTCGTTTGAATTGTTTCACATTTTTCATGGCAGGAGCTATTAAAGCCAACCATGTGGAATAGGTTTTTCTCATTGTTGAAGGCCATACAGTTGCTTGTAATTGCTTACATCCACTTTATTTGAACTCTGGTGGATACGTTTTTTTGTAGTTGCCTCATTGGCAATCATACCACAGCTCCTCATTTTTATAAGTACATTGTTTTGTAGATATTTTCATTCAAATAATTCCTCATGAACAATTATTAATAATTATCATGATTATGGTTTGCCTGTCAATATAAAATAAACATGACAAAGAAGAGTTCAGATTAATAAATATATTATTTAATGTTTGTGTTACATTGAAATTCAGGAGTCAACCTCTTTGATTGTCTTGTGGTAGCATGGGCCGGCAAGTGTGGAATGTCATGGGTTCAAACACTTTGTTGAGGACTATCTTTACGTATAGCAAATTATAATTTGGTGAGTAGTACATGTTGTACAGAAATACAATGTGATACTGTAAAGATTAGGACAAATGTAGGACTGAAAGATATTTTGAAAGGGTCTACTGAGAAACAAATCCAGGGTAAATGGCCCATCTTCGAAGTTTCTCCTTACATAAGAACATGAACATGAAATATAGGTCAAAGTGAACTCTCACATTGAAGTATTAAGGTAGACAACTTTTTACACTGTTCTGTAACCCATAGTCATTGCATCCTTACAAAAACTTATATGATTGAATCTGAGAACTGAACTGAGACATGTAAAACTTCATAAAATAAAAAAACATATAATGTGGATTATAGTGACCTACATTTGATAGGGCGGTTCTTCTATAGCTTCATTGCCACATGTAATATGATTACAAGCCTCTAAATGGATAATTAAACTCTGAGCAAAAAATGAGTATGATTCAATGACAAAGACTAGGTGGACAAATTTTCACATTGTTCATCATTGTTTCCATGATGTGGATAAAACTCTAGAAGTAAACTAATGTGAAGCATGAAATAAAACTGAGAATGGAAATGGGGGAATGCATCAAAGAGACAACAACCCGACCAAAGAGCAGAAAACATCAGTGACCAATTTTTTATGGAAAGTTATTATATCCCCAAGTATCATCTTAAGGGCTAAATTAAAAAATAAGCTTGTTTGCCATTGACAAGTCTTTATTTTTAATGTAGTGTTTTGTGGACTTGGTATTTTCTTTGTCATGGCATTGTCAGTTTCTCTTCGACTTAAATGTTCTAAATGTTTTTGTCCCCCTGATATCACCTTTTTCTTTTTTAAATACTTGCAACAATGATTGTAGGTCATGAAGTATCTTAGAAATGAACTCAACTGTTAACTTGCTTGATATATAGTCAATGAAGCAAACAATGTAGTCCAGACTGGGACCAACTTTTGGTGAAAGACTATTTTATTCCACTTGATGCATGCTTTATACACCAAAATTATGTAACTGTGGCCAGTCTAGTATAATGATAGGATGGTCTAACATTTTGAAGGATATATTTTTATTATAATTGATTGGTCATTTAAAAGGGAAAGTAGTAAATTTTTAATTGCTAAAAAATAATGCCCAACAATTTAAGTTTTGATTTATCTCTTCTAAATATTGTGTTTCTATATATGCTTCAAAGCTGTCATTAAATTAAAATCTAAAATATGCTGTGAGATATCATATTAACTTAGCTAAAATATGTTTTCATGATTTTTTAAAGGGAGATAAGACAGTGAGTCTAATCAATATGTGTTAGATTATCTCCCTCTGGAGACATCAGAAACAACATACTGTAATTTGACATATATTTTACTGAATATAACACATTTTATTCAAACTTATGTCTGACTCATATATATATATAGAAAACTTTTTAAAAGAAAATGAGAATGAAAAAATAGTTTGGATATTTTTATAGCAGTTCAAAAATTACTACCTCTCACCTATCAAATGACTCTACAATATGCAATATGTGTAAAAAAAAATAGCCACATTTTCATAAGAGCCATGAAGTGGAATTAAAATCTTATAGGATTTTATAGTATAAAAATAAGGAGATGCTGTATGATTGCCATTGAGACAACTATCCACCCAACTCAAATGAAGTGGATGTTAGCAATTATAGGCAACCGTATACTTTATTTTATCACCATGCACTTCGACGACTTGACTATAGTTTTCAACAGAAGTTGACTAAACTTTTGACCAGTTTGATTTGATTAAACAAATGGCAATTCGGTCAAAACTGAGTTCGCAAAATCTTGTTTTCCCTGGTGGTCCTCGCTTTTATTTCTATTGCAAAATATCGAACATATCTGTCCTTTGCAAAATTTTTGTGGTCAAATCCTTCAGATCACAACTTTTTTGAGGACTCTGTCAGAACTTTGAATGAATTGTAGTAGGTTGAGAGCAACACTTACAGTCAAGTCACAGTAAAATGTTTCACATCAAATCAAGTATATTCAGATCATTTTACTTGAATCTTTACACAACTGTTTGGTCTGGTAAAAGTAAGGAACCTTTTGATTTTGGAAATGTTCCATTGTCATTCCAGAAACTTAAAATGTCAGATTTCAGTAAATTTGTTTCACACTTACTCATGTATTCTTCAAACTTTATATTGTTTCTGAGATTGATGAAAGTAAGCTCTGTTTTGATTTTATACTTGGACTTTTAAATTTTATCACTTTGTTGGAGAATATCCACACTACCGGTAGTTTTTCTGCATGTCCACTTTACTGGCTTAAAAGTTAATCCTTCTGGTATATGTATATAAGGGCCACTATCTTGGTTTCAGTTTTTGAGTCACTGGGAGACTGTCTCATTGATATACACCACATATTTCCTTTGTAACAATTCTTTATTTCTGTATGATTATGGTACATGCAACATAGAAGAAGGCTAACAGGAGACCTTTTATGTATAAGTACACACCACAAGGAGGAGCCAAAGCTACATCATTGTCCAAAAAGGAAAAAAATGTCTCCTTAGTTGTAAATTTCTGCATGGAGTTTCTCCAAGCTCATTGATTTTGAATCTGAATATTCTTATCTGTGATTGGTGTAGTCATAGAAATAAACAAATCAATACAAATCTGTATGTCCTTTGAAAAAAAAAACTCATCATTAAAACAAGAGTGCACACGCTGAAATGTCTCACCTGCTTTACTGATCATTAATTTTATGTTGATAGTTTTAAATATAAAGCTTTTCTACAAGTATCACATAAACTTAACATGATCCAAGAAAATGAGGTCAAGGTCAGATAAACTAAACTGGAAATACATGTACACCTTACAATCATTCCATACACCAAATATAGTTGACCTATTGCTCATAGTTTCTCAAGAAACAAACTTTATTAGGAAAACTTTACAGTGTCCAATGAACCATGAAAATGAGGTCATGGTCAGATGATACCTGCCAGACAGACATATACACCTTACAATCATTCCATACACCAAATATAGTTGACCTATTGCATATAGTATTAGAAAAAAAGACCAAAACACAAAAACTTAACTTTAAGCACTGAACCATAAAAATGAGGTCAAGGACAGATGACACCTGCCAGTTGGACATGTACACCTTACAAAAATTCCATACACCAAATATAGTAGACCTATTGCTTATAGTATCTAATATATGGACTTGACCATGAAAACTTAACCTTGTTCACTGATCCATGAAATGAGGTCGAGGTCAGATGAAAACTGTCTGACAGGCATGAGGACCTTGCAAGGTACGCATATACTAAATATAGTTATCCTATTACTCATAATAAAAGAAAAATTAACTTTACAAAAAATATGAACTTTTTTTTCAAGTAGTCACTGAACCATGAAAATGAGGTCAAGGACCATGGAGATATGACACAGAAACTTCATAACATAAAGCATCTATATACAAAGTATGAAGCATACAGGTCTTCCACCTTCTAAAATATAAAAGCTTTTAAGTTGTTAGTTAACGCTGCCACCGCCAGATCACTATCCCTATGTTGAGTTTCTGCGACAAAAGTCGCAGGCTCGCCAAAAAACTGAAGAGTATTTAACTTCTACAACATTTAAAAACAAAACTTACAAAAATCATGTCCTTTATTTTATATGATGTAACATATCATAAGCTCTGAATAACAACAATAACAAACAGATATACCAGTAACAATATTACATCAATATGTAAGTTATCTATAAACTCTTCAATATGTATCTAATACAATCATAAATCTGATTGGTCGGTGGATTATATGTAAATTACTTCTTATTCTATTAGTTTTGTGGTTTGAAGGAATTTTGCTTCTCATTTCATTGATCTTACATCAAAATAAGGAGATGTGGTATGATTGCCAATGAGACAACTATCCACCAAAGTTAAAATGTAGTGGATGTAAGCAATTATAGGCAACCATGCGGCCTTCAACAATGAGAAAAATCCATACCGTATAGTAGGCTATAAAAGGCCCTGACATGAAAAATATGAAACAATTCAATTGAGAAAACTAACGGCCTAACTTATAACAAAACAATTTACGAAAAACAAATATGGCAGTCTGATGATGAACCAAGGACAACCACTGAACTACATGCTCCTGACTTGGGACAGGCATCTATCAAAGCAAACGAAAACATGTTTTTTCAGTGAGTATATGTACAAATCCTATTAGCAAGCTCACATACCCCATGTCCCGTTCCCCTGATTTAAAGGGAAAAAGTTTAAAGTCATAGTGGCAAGTTGGCATAGTTTTTTCTGTTTACTTTTAGGTACAATTCTTTTCTGTTGTCTAAAAAAAAAACTATTTTCAGTAACAATGACCTTGACCTTAGGCCTAGTGAGTTCAAAATCAATAGATCTTCCTCTCATAATATGTAACCATATATCCAATAAAGTTGTAATTTGTAATACCCTTTTGTTTGAGCATCCGTGCATCAATGTCCTGCATGAACTTTGGTCTATTTTCAGTAAATGACCATGACCTTAGATGCAGTGACCTCAAAATCAATAAGGATCTTCGTCTCTTCACATGCATGTAAAGCATCGGGACACCAAGACGACCTTCTAGTCAATAAACTGTTGACACAGATATATATCTCACCTTTAAGCAAGTTTGATAATACTTGAAAATGTTGAAATTAAAATGGTAATACTTTAACATGCAAACTATGCAAAACATTCAAGTTATGAACAATGTTTGCTCAGACATCAATAGTACCACCTGTTCATTTATAAAAAAAGCCAGTACAAATGAATGAAATTAATCCACCTAGTAGTTAGTACTGAAAATTCATTAAAGATAAAACAAGAATGTGTCCATAGTACATGGATGCCCCACTCACACTATCATTTTCTATGTTAACTTATTTGGCATTAAAATTAGAAAGATCATATCATAGGGAAGATGTGTACTAAGTTTCAAGTTGATTGGATTTCAACTTCAAAAATTTTAACCTGAAGCGGGACAGACGGACAAACGGACACACAGACACATAGACTGAAAAACATAATGCCCCTCTACTATTGTAGGTGGGGCATAATAAGTTGTGAGATATATTCAGCTGTAAAGACGTTCAGATCTTCTTAACCTCAGCACATGTTACAGACTTCATAAAAATCATATAATATTAACAGATACATTGTAATACAAATAACCCTCTATTGGCCTTCAATTTTACTTTGGATATCTTTAAATAACCATTGAAATATCATCCGCTGTTTGAAGATTGGTAGGTGACAACAACCCATCAAATCATAAACAAAGATGTGGTCCCTAAATAATAGTGTTCTAAATTAACTGCTTATATGAGGGTGTGGATGGGGGTTTACAGAATAGAGAAAAAATTATCAAAAAATAAAGAATAGAGAATAATGGGCAAAAAGTAAAAGGAATAGAGAATAGTGGGCAAAAAGTATAAAGAATAGAGATAAATAGCCTAAAAAATTAAAGAATACAAAAATGAAGGACCCCCATCCAGACCCTCTCATATACTCAATATAAATGATCTGTCTTTCATGCTTCTGTAAGTATTATATAGGTACTGAATAGTAGTTTTTTCGTTCACTTTTTTGTTTTTGTATGAATTTTCTTCCTCATAGACATAATAAAAATATTTTTAAGATTAAGTTGGTCAGTGCACCATGGTAGTTTTTTTTTATCTCACATTGCATAATGTCATTCTAGTTTATACTATCATAGCTTATACTATCATTCTAAAGAAATATATCTTAATAGGCAGATTCATAAAATAAAATCAATTATCATTTCTTGTCTAGAAAAAATACTGTAAAAACAGAAATTATTGCAATTTTTGAAAAATGTACAAAATTGCGAGAATATTTTTTGCGATTTCAGGCAAATCTGCAAACAGATACATGTATCAGATATCAGAATGCAAGTTCTTATTATTGCAATACTCACCCAGTCGCATTATTCGCATTAATAAAAACCTCGCAATAATTTCTGAATTTACAGTAATGCTTAAAAGTCCCTTTAACCCCCCTTTCTTTCCTCCACAAACAGAGAAGATATTCAGGATAAATTGCTTAATACATATACACACATCAGTATTTCCTAGACTTAACATATTTTCAAAAATGAATATGATCGAGGAGGCAGGTTTTGTATGATACATAATTGAGTATGAAAATGATACTATGAATAATACAAATAAACAGCTGAGACATGCGTTTATGATACCAGGATGATGTAGAACCCTAATTTTTACCATTAAATGATAAAAGTCCCATAACTAAATCAAATGAATCAGAAAATATTAAAAAAATGCAATTAACATTTACTGTTGAACATGGATTTAGTGAATAAATAAAAAAAAAACACCTAAAAAGTTGCTCAATTTATGAAACATAGTGTCATAAGTATGAAATTTAATTTGATCATGCATTGCCTTCATGAAACCAAATATTTTGTACAAAACTTAGTAAAATATCCATTTAACAAGGGTAATCATAAGGATTCATTCTTTTATGATTCAATAGATATAGGAAGATGTGGTATGAGTGCCAATGAGACAACTCTCCATCCAAGTAACAATTTATAAAAGTAAACCATTATAGGTCAAGGTACGGAGCATTGGCTCACACCGAACAGCAAGCTATAAAGGGCCCCAAAAACTAGTGTAAAACCATTCAAACGGGAAAACCAACGGTCTAATCTATATAAAAACGAGAAACGAGAAACACGTATGAACTACATAAACAGACGACAAGTCCAGTAACTTTAGAAATAACAAATTCATAAATCATTAAAACCGAAAATGAGTCTGTCTTTCTTTAAGTAATTGATCATTGTGTAATTAATTTTGTGAAAATCAAATGAGGAAAATTAGAAATATCATAAATACAAGACAATTGTGTCAATCAATTTTTTAGCAATCAAAGTCCCATAACTCTTGAAAAACAAATCTGAAAAGAGTCAAGTAGAAATGGAATTTGTCTTCATAAAATTAATATAAAAAACTTTTAATGCACCAGCACTTTTAAACATATCAAAAGATGTGCTTCTGGTTGTTGAATTTTTAAAGAGTTCTGATATTCTGAGGTAAATGGGCAGTGGTATAGCAAAATATCATGTCTTTTCTTACAGCTGTATAATATTCATCGCAAAACGATACATGTATAGAACAAGTAAATTTTCAAACTTAAAACCTTCATCTGTTAAGGCCACTGAAACAAAACATCATTTTGTTGCTGGAAATATGTGACATAAAAATAAAACATTACGTATATGTTTAGAACACATAAATATTTGTAAATATTTGACATTTCACAATTGAATCAACATCTTAAGGACTTATATAAAACTTCACCAGGAATTATTTTTCATAAGATATGAGCTGTGTCGGAAAAAAATTGACCTTATGCCAGTGCACATATACATGTACATGTATAAGACTTTGATTGATTTGGGAACATTTAAATACAAAATAAAAGATGAATTTTGGTCTATTGTATAGGGTTCTTATAACATTTCAATTTTCAATCAGTTACAGACTTTCTGTAGAGATTTTTTCAATCCAAAATAGGTTGACAGATGTAATGATATTTATTTGCATAAGGTCTATTTCTCCTTAACACAGCTCGTATATTATTAATACCACATTGTCAAATAAATGACCACCAACAAACATTAAACCATTCTCACTTTAAACAGTCAGTCTGTAAATAAATTAAAAAAATAAAAAATCTAATATAATTTTACATCAAACATCTTCCTTGATTTCATCAAATAAAAAGTTATTTTGTTTATATGATGCATTCTCCGGTAAATCTAACTTCTCTTTAGCCTGTTGTATATCATCATTTATTGCACCTATAAGTTCATCTGTAAAATAAAAACATTTTAATTTTAATTAAAACAACTTGATCCTAAGTCTTAATCTAAAAATTAAAAAGATCGGAAAACTGTATATTCTACAATTGACATCCAAAAATTGATAATACAGCTGAGTCACTTAAAATTGGTGGTGTTGGGAATTTTCATTCATGTTTTTTGTTTCTGATAAATACAATTATGATGCATTATTAATACTCATTTTTATTGTAAGCATCATTTAATTAAAAATCTATTAATTTTTATGTATAATACAACTAAATCTGTGTTAATAAAAATCTTGGATATTTATCATGCAGGTTTCCCCTGAAAGGACATTTCTTTTCCTATAGCCATGATAGTATGTTTTATAGCCGACTATACAGTGTTTTTCTCATTGTTAAAGGCTGTACCATTGCCTTTAATTGCTTACATCCGCTTCATTTAAGCTATGGTGGATAGTAACCGATAGTTGTCTTACTGGTCTTTACATTAAGGATGTTCGCTACTCTGTTTCAAAATAACAAACTTTTTTAAAGACTGTTATAAATTGTTAGTATATAAATAACGAACTCAAAAAGAAGAGAACATGAAGGGTCCGTGTGCTTGTTTTCGAGATATAAGCCATTGAAAATTTTTGTGGGAAATGATTCTCTCTAGATTTTTCATACATTTAACATTGGTACTTTTTTCCTTTCAAAACTATGAAAAAATAACAAGAATTTTATAAGATTTTCGAGTATGGCTTTTTAAACTATATGTTATAAAATTATGAAAAGAAAAGTAGGGGGTTAGCCGGCAAAATTTTTAATGGCACTACATGGATAAAACCATAGGATTCTGAATATCTGACAAAAAGTTAAAAAAACATTTAAGACAACTTTTTATATAAACAAACCATGCAAACAGAAAACATGTACAAAGACCAGTGGTGCAAAATGCACACATTTAAAAGTACTGACAGGAAGATTTAAGATTATCAATATGTTTTATCACCTTCAAAATCAGTTTTTCTCTCCAATGAGGAGAGAAAAAGTTTACCAGGAATTGGTACAATTTTGTTTTTATTGTCTTGTTGCATGTCGTTATACTTTACAGCAATTGGATATACAAACATAGTTGCTAACTTCTAACTTCTAACATCATTTAGATTCTGGTGGAAAGTTTGCATTCATACCACAGCTCCTTATTTTTATACATGACCTATAGTTGTTGACTTCTATGTCATTTGGTCTCTGGAAGAGAAGTGTCTCATTGGCAATGATACCACATCTCCTTATTTTTATGCCCCACCTACGATAGTAGAGGGGCATTATGTTTTTTCTGTCTGTGCATCCGTTCGTCCGTCCGTCCATCCGTTCGTCCATCTGTTCCGCTTCAGGTTAAGTTTTTGGTCAAGGTAGTTTTTGATGAAGTTGAAGTCCAATCAACTTGAAACTTAGTACACATGTTCTCTATGATATGATCTTTCTAATTTTAATGCCAAATTAGAGTTTTGAACCCAATTTCACAGTCCACTGAACATAGAAAATGATAGTGCGAGTGGGGCATCTGTGTACTATTGACACATTCTTGTTATATGTTATAATGACTGATGTTCTCAGAGTAGCATTCCATTAAGGGACCTCAAGATATCTATTTCTTACAAAAAATCCATTGTTAGGTTTCTTAAATCTTTTTCCTTATCAATGGCTACATTTAAATAAAAACTTACCTAAAGAGGAAAAGTCTCTCATTGGTCGTATATATCCTAGCATAATTACTTTTAATGTTGATCCATAAAAATCTTCCTTAAACGTATGTATAACATGTGTTTCCTGAAGAGAGAAGAACAACACTTTAATGTATATATAACATGTGTTTCCTGAAGAGAGAGAACAACACTTAAATGCATGCATAATATGTATTTCCTGTAGAGAGAGAACAAAACTTAAACATGTTAAATGTATGTACATGTATTACATGTGTTTCCTAAAGAGAGAAAACAACACTTAATAGTTATCAAAGGTACCAGGATTATAATTCAATATGCCATATTTAAATGTATGTTTAACATGTGTTTCCTGAAGAGAGAGAACAACACTTAAATGTATGTTTAACATGTATTTCCTGAAGAGAGAGAACAACACTGATGATTTGTATAACATGTGTTTCCTGAAGAGAGAGAACAACACTTAAATGTATGTATAACATGTGTTTCCTGAAGAGAGAAAACAACACTTAAATGTATGTATAACATGCATGTTTCCTGGAGAGAGAGAACAACACTTAAATGTATGTATAACATGCATGTTTCCTGGAGAGAGAGAACAACACTTAAATGTATGTATAACACATGTTTCTTAAAGATAGAAAATAGCATGTGTATTTCAGATCCTTGTATAGCAACACAATATTTCTAAATTTTCTAAACCCAAAATGCATTTGAAAATTTCAATAGAATTTTGTGACTAATTGAATAGTAGTTAAGTGTTGTTCTCTCTCTTCAGTGTTGTCATGTAATAACCATTACAAGATGTATTCAACCTTCTATATGTTAAGGGAAATAACAATGTCTATGGCATTCACATTTTTTACTTTGGGCATGCCTGATGAATCCCTTCGGAAACTAAAAAGCGGTTAAGTGTTATTATCAGTTTACAAAACATGTAACAAGACAAATCTCTAAGAATCATGATTCCTGGTGTTAAGTGAATTACAATACACTGACGGACTACCTGTGATTTACACTTTTGACACAAGATGTACTTCTACAATAACAATTTTATGACATGTAATAAGAGTGAAATTTATAGTGAATCACATGAATAGTAATTTATCACATGTTGTACTGTTATGCCACTGTCCCAGGTTAAATGGAGGGTTTTGTGCCAGCAAACAAAGTTTAACCCGCCACATTCCGAATGTGCCTGTCCCAAAGTCCAGAGCCTGTAATTAAGTGGTTGTCGTTTGTTGCTGTATATCATTATTGTTTTGTATATAAATCAGACAGTTAGTTTTCTTGTTTGAATTGTGTTACATTTGTCATTTTGGCGCCTTTTATAGCTTACTATCAGTGACAGTCAGGGGTACTACTGTCAACGTATATTTGTTCCGCCTAACAGAAGTTCCACTGGAAACTTTTTTACAAACAATGTCATAATATCTGTTCCTGTTGGAACAAATATTCTATACCATTTATTCCGTTGGGAACATCTACTGTAATATTTATTCCAGTGGAAATAATATTCCAGAATATTGTTTCCATTTGGAACTTATATTATAAAGGAACTTCTATTCCATGAGACTACTTGTACAAGTAATCTTTATTTACTTGAAGAAGTAAATAATAATATACTTATATAAGTAAATTATAATGTTTGAATAATCTCCCCTTAATTTTCTCAAAAATTTACTTGTATAAGTATTTGTTTTTTACAATCCTGAAAAATTCTCAAGTTTTAAGATGTAAAAACATGCCTTTAACAATTTTTCTCAGGTTAGCTCATAATTTTTGATTAGAGTTAATTGTTTCATCTCATTAATTCAACAAAGAAACTAATTGCACAAAGATCTTAAGTATTTGCACAAGACCTTCAAAAATTGCCCCTTGGGGGCTTGTAAATGAGCAGTGTTCTGAAGATAACAGACAAATGAGATTTTCATTGTCCATGAAATTACACTTAAATGATTAGTAAAGACATCTGCAAAGGACAGACAATTAAAAATTCTATTAGAGCAAAGAAGTCCTAAGAAATTCAATGAAAAGAAGATAGGATGACTTTTTTACTTGTATAAGTAAAAAAATCTGAATGTCTAAGGGACATAACTAAGCAAAAAAATAATTTACCTATATACAAGTAAATAAAATACACTTGTATAAGTATCCTACAAATTTACTTATATAGGTATATTAATATTTACTTCTTCAAGTAAATAAAAATTACTTGTACAAGTAGTACCCCTGACTGACTATGCATTATGGGTTTTGCTCATTGCTGAAGGCAGTACAGTGACCTATAGTTGTTAATTTCTACGTCATTTGAACTCTGGTGTAGAGTTGTCTTCAGTTATTGATAATCATACCATATCTTCTTATATTTATATTACCATAGATTTCTTTGTATTATGGTAGTATGGGTTCCATCCTATACTGAGCACCATTTTCAATACTTCACCATTATCAACATTGGCCCAGCCATAGTACACTCCACCTGGAAGGTCTTTAGGTAAGTTTTCTACTACATTTTCTGGGAAATTAGCTGTAAAGTAGAAAAGTACTTTAAAATTACATAACAGCACCAAAGACAGAAGTATTTTTTTTCAATTCTGTGATGTTGTTGGGATGTTGTCTTGTTGCCATTTTTTTTCTTTGGCTATTTGCCAAATGTATGCACATGGGATTTTTATTTTGTCAGTTAAAGTCTTGAAATTTAGGTATACATAATGAGGACAAAGATAGTTTATATTATGAGAGTAAATTTTCATATGATCATTTGCCTTAAACTTTATCTAAATTGTTACACAAGACATTTTGTAAGATGTGTATATATATTCATTCATTCATTCATTCATGTCTTTATTTCCTCATAATTGAGATATAATGAATACACAAAATTAACTAAATATCACACAACAAAAAGAATAAACGAAATAGGAACAGAACAAAAAAGGTTTTTTTTTTACATAAACAGACAAATATACACTTTAGTCATTCGGCATAAAGTTCTTATGCAATCTTGAATGATGACATATCATGTATTGCCTAACCTGACACAACGTCCATATGTTGCTACGCATTGAACAACATGGGCGTGGCAAAGCTTCTCAAACTCCGTTTTATTGTTTATTGTTATTTCATGTTCACCCATAGAATCTGGTCACCTTTTTTTTTATAAAAATAAATCAATATTAATGTATTTAGGTTTTAGAGACCATTGCAGATATTTATTGGTAAACATTGTATGCTCAAATACAATTATCTCAAAATTCATGATAAAATGGAAATATTTTAAATTATCAATTAAAAGCTTCTTTTCGAGGAATGATTTGCTTCATCGTAACACTTGTTTTTATTGAGAATTAATTTTAATGATTGTTAATTGCAAATTTCATGAATTAAATAGAATGCTGATTAGGTATGATAATGATGTCCTTGATCTTACTGATTGTTTTTACTTGTGTACTGGCCAGTTTTATAATGAAAATAACATATTTTTTCTTACAAAGTAAACTAGTTGATGCTGTATGGGTTTTTCTCATTGTTGAGGCCGTACAGTGACCTATAGTTGTTAACACCTCTATGTCATTTGGTCTCTGGTGTAGAGTTGTCTCATTGGCAATTATACTGCATCTTCTTATTTTTATAGTTTGCTTGGAATGCGTAGAAAAAAAATGCATGTGCGAATTGGTCTTCAGTTGTTTATATTAAATACTATGTATTCCTATACACTTCAGTGAAAATCAAAGCAAAATAATTATATGGGAGGAGCAATGCAACATAAATACTATATTTTGTACAAAATCAGTGTGCCATATATTTGATTGCACCTGTCCTAAGTCAGGAACCTGATGTTCAGTGGTTGTCGTTTGTTGATGTGGTTCATAAGTGTTTCTCGTTTCTCGTTTTTTATATATATAGATTAGACTGTTGGTTTTCCACTAGTCATTTTTGGGGCCCTTTATAGCTTGCTGTTCGGTGTGAGCCAAGGCTCTGTGTTGAAGGCCGTACTTTGACCAATAATGGTTTACTTTTACAAATTGTGACTTGGATGGAGAGTTGTCTCATTGGCACTCATACCACATCTTCTTATATCCATATATATTTACATTTTTTTGCATAACCCTTTTCAACACACTACAAGTTTAGGCAAAAGACGAGTTTCCAATTTCAATTTTATGAATGAACTACCCCAGTTGACCTGTGGTTATTTGAGGAAAACGCATCACAGGACATTATGAAGTGAAGACATAATAATTTGCATTGTGACTTTAAATTATTTGGGGAAAAGTACCAGTTGGAAATAAACTCATCATAGATATCAGGATTAGAATTTTGTATGCCAGACATTCGTATGATCTACAGAATATACTTCAGTGATGTCTAGACAAAAAAGTTAAAAATGGAAAATAAAATACGAACTTCATCAGAACTTGAAGAACATTGAGAACCTAAAATTCCTCAAGGTTTTGCCAAATACTGCTATTAACAGTAATCTACTTCTGAAAGATCATGTGTTCATACTCTATTCAAATTCAAAATACAACAAGACAAAAAAAATATTTGATTCCGGGCAAAAGGACCCAGTGCGAATGGGATATGCAATTTAATTAAGAGCTGAGCAGAGTGATACAGACATAGAGGCGATTGATAAGTACCGATTATCATGTTGTCTACATATTGATATCGTAAAAATATCAGCTGTGAGTCACAATATAAAGCTTTTTGTCGAGTGGGCGCAGCGAACGAGATCAAAAAGGCTTCATATTGTGTTGAGCAGCTGATATTTTACAATATGAATACAACCAGACATTTTCCAGATAATGGATTTATCGGGTTGTATTTGTGTAATTTGCATGATAGAAACAAGTGTTTTCTTTGTTTCATAAGCAAACCGGAAGACGACGTGATAAGTTCAGGTCAAACTTATCAACGATGGTTCATATATTATGACGTCGGTGAAATGTCGGGGTCAAAGTTATTAAGGCCGTGTTAACGTATTTGACGTCACAAAGCTGTGAAATGCAATTTTATTAAGATCTGAGCAGAGTGATACAGACAGAGAGACGACCGATAAACAGTGATATATATATTTAGAAAGAACCTGGTCACTGTTATCTCTTCTTTTTTTTTATTTTCCCTTTAAGTTAGATATAAGTATGTGTAAAATGAACTGTTTTCAATACCAGTGGGTATTCCTAGCTCTTTGCTGCCCCGTCCAAATCCTTTCACAACTTTTCCTTCAGCAAAATGTGGTAGAATTTGCTCCATTTTTATATAACCTTAAATTTCCGAATCGTCATATGTTCTTGTTAATGAACTTCCGGTCAATTTCTTGTATTTTGAAATGGTCCCCGTCTGCTTTTTGCATTTCCTCCTGCGCGGGTGACGTCATTTGGTTGCGCAGAACAAGGGGCGTCAAAATCGCCATATTGGCTGCTACAGTTGTTGACAGAAATAGGGTCACCTGACAAATCTGCTGGAATCACAAACATCATAAGTTGAAAGTATTAAGTTGCCAACAGATCACAAAGTCAATTGGTCTAAGACTTTAAAAATCGCAGTTATTGTCTTTATTTGAGGAAGGGGTCGGAAGAATCTTCATCTGAATTCCTGCTTCCGCCAACTTCCGGAAAGAAATGGGTAGTAAAGATGACGAATACGATTACTTATTTAAAGGTACAGGACTTCAATATGTGTTTTCAAGTAGTACAATAATTCTGATATTTACAGTTAACATAACCATTTATAGCTTGGCGCTTGTTCGCATCCCGATGTGATGTTGTTGATGTTTTGTTTTGTTGTCATTAGTACAGGAAATGAAATGTCAAAAACTATTTTTGACAGCATATAAATTTTGTCTTTAGAGGTTTATTCGCTTATTAATTCAAAGAGTTTCCATGTCCATTTTGACCATTCATTGATTTTATAGTTGTATTTTTTTATATTGATAGACACTTGTCCGTAATGAAGGACATAGGATAATGCAAGATTGAAAAAAATGCAATCTCATAAATCATTAAATGTCCTTATCCCATGTATCCCTAGCTTTTTTAGTAAAGAGTTTGCGACACTCAAAGTACTAGTGGTGACATTCAATAATTACATTTCCATTATTGTGTCATACTTTTTCTCTTGCAAATGGAAAAGAACGCCTATGATGCCTAGGTAATCATGGTAATGGCAGACTAAGCTAAAAATGGTGTACCATTATTAGAACCATTCTTTACGCTCAACTGCAATGAAACAAGGTTTTCTTGTTTCTTTTTTATACCACTTTTATTATTTTTCAACATTTCTTTGGTTTGAATAAAAAACATTGTAAACAAATCTCAAAGGAAAAACAACTAAATTAATTTAAATATCAGCTGATCAGTTACCCTTGAGTGGTTTAACACTACATACATCTTACATGTAAACATGTATTAAGTTCAATATAAAAAATTTAAAGACATTTTACAGAAGATATATTTAGCAATGTCAAGAATGTGTAATGCGGTTGATAAATGGTTATCTTAAGTTTTGACTTACTTCCTGTAGAAGATGAGTCATGTTGTGTTTGTAAACAAAGTGACATGGCCAATGATCAGGTCTATTAATAAAATTAAATATTAAAAAATGAATCATAAATGCAGTATATTTATATATATGTATTTAAATAAATTTAACAGTATATAATAGTCACTTATTGAGCTAGTGGTCTTGTCAGCTTTGCAAACGTTTGCTCACTAACAATTCATTTTTGACAAAATGGCTTTGCACAAAAAAGATAAGGATAAGAAAGCAGAATGTCGTTACTGCCAGAGCAAAATAAAAAGCAATGCATATACTTATTATCTGGATGATGAATTTGATTATATAACAAAAGGTAAGTTATTTAGTTCAACGACCTAAAGAATGACCAGGCTTGCTGTACATTTATTTAGCAGGGTTCAAAATTGAATACTGGGTTACCCTACAGGGGTTCAAATAATCAGTGGTTCGAGGTCCATGACCTTCCATTTTCAGGTCGAACCTTCCTACCAGTAGTTGGTGACACCTGACAGACTTTCATATTTTTCAGGTTAAAAAGTTCCAAAAGAATTAAGAACAAAAAATATAAAAATCTACTAGTATAAAAATAATCTCGAAATATGCAATTTTACTGAAAGGAAACTCGTGAGTTTGCTTAAATTCTTTCCAATTGATTTGAATGTAGTCACGTGACTGGTCGGCGTATAAGATACAGGAAACTTGAGAATATAATATTAAAACATAACTAGTAAACAGTATGAGACAGTTTGGTGTTGGGGTGACCTCTTTCCAAAAGAAAATCTGATAAACGGGATACAGCAGGGGTGATCAAGATTGATGATCATGGATTAACGCAGCCCAAAAGATAGGATCTGACCAAAAATATGACGTGTTGGGGGGGGGGGGGGGGGGGGGGGGGAACAAGAAAGTAATTTTTTCCCACACACAATCAAAGGGAAAGTGCTCTTGTTCGTTGCGACAAAAAGACTTAAAACTTGACCGCATAAAAAATCATGATGAAAAATTACCACCCAACCAAAATATATCTTGCCGAAAAAGTGGTTAAAAGAAACTGACCCCATGTTTGAAAACGAAGTTGAGCTGTTTTCAGAAACAAACTTAGGCCAGTGTGTTTTTAAGCAGCAATTGAAACCAAACCAATTAAAAGGGTACAAAATGTTATTTAACACAGCATATAGTGTTGGGGGAAGGGGAAGCCTTTAAATATTCTGACTGAATTTTTTAAAGAAATTCAAAAAAAATATGAGGTTAATTTAGTAAGATATGATGAGTGTTTTGAAATGGTAAATGTTTTTATAAATTGAATTTTCAATAAAATTGAACCTAAGAGTAAAGGAGGACCTTTAAGTATTTTTGGTCAAAGGTCCTGGATCTTCCATTGCCTAAAGTAAATTTAAAACCCTGCCCTATCTTGAATAAGAAAAAAAGTCTTGAGAATTTTTTTTGTAAAGTGTTGTTTACATTATAGAACATACATAACATATCAAAAGATAATATAGAAAATAATGCTATAACTTTTATTATAAAAATGGAAAGTCTGCCACATATCATTGGGACCTAAATAAATATTGTTCATGGAATGCTTTAATTTCAGAATTTGTAATCATTGTAACTGACTCTGAAATGAATTTTGCTCTCCCAGTCGCAATCTTGTTTGATGGAAAATATTGATTCAGAACAAATATGTATGACTACTGAGTAGTCTGTGAGGTTGATATAATTAAACATATTATAGGGCATTTGTTCTGTACATGACCAAATGAAATGGAAACAATGGATTCCTAAATGTAAATGTTTGACGTATATACTTCTTTTTTGTAAATATAGATTAGGTAAGAAGATGAATTGTTTTCAGGATATTAGGATTAAGAATTATGTACATGTAGTACAGTTCACTAACTTAACAAGTCCTGTTGTTACTTTAAAGCTGATTTGGTACATTCTAATACTTACAAAATTAATTCTCAAGAAGTGGTTCTGGTAGGATCTGCATAGCTTTTTTAGCTCACCTGGCCTATAGTGCAAAATGAGCTTATATCAACACTTGACGTTCATCAGCTGTTAACTTTTCCTAAAATCTTTTGAAGCTACTTGTTATGAGCTTATTTTTTGACAGTTTCAGAATTAAATTCAGTTCTATTGTCATTATCAAAACTGTATGCTTCGTCTGGTCAGTAAAATATTTAAAGTAATGTTGATTTCAATAACATAAGCCTCATTTAAACCTGATGAATTTTAGACCAAGTCTACTGTATGAATAATTAAATGAAATTGTTGCCTAATTTCTAATTTTATTTTTTTGCATTATTCTAAATAAGTTAGTTATTTTTCTATTGCAGTTGTGTTGATTGGTGATTCTGGTGTAGGAAAGAGTAATCTATTGTCAAGATTCACAAGAAATGAATTTAACTTGGAAAGTAAAAGTACTATTGGTGTGGAATTTGCCACAAGGTAATAAATAGGTTTGATTTAAGGATGTTTGCTACTCTGTTTCAGAATAACAAGCTTTTAAAAAGACTATTTTAAAATTATAGTATATGAATAAAGGTACTAAAAAAGCAGAAAAAAATGAAGGGTCCACGTGATTGTTTTCGTGATATAAGTCATTGAAAATTTGGCGGGAAATGATTCTCTCTAGATTTTTCATACTGTTTACATTGGCCGCTTTTTTGTTTCAAAAACAATGAAAAAATAACAAGGATTTTATAAGATTTTCAAATATGGCCTTTTTAAATTATATGTAATAAAATTATGAAAAGAAAAGTAGGGGTTAGCGGGCAAAATTTGTTAATGGCAATACATGGATAAAACCAGAGTCTTCCGAAAATCTGGCAAAAATTTTAAAACGAGGAGCAAACATCCTTAAAGAATAGGAAAAAGTGCACTAATTTTAGTACACCAGTAATTCAGTTCCAAGTTTTCCTAACCAAATAACAAATCCCGAATTAAAAGAAATAGGATATTGACTGCTACCATTACAACACTACACTAAAGTTGAACCCAAGACAATGTGAAGTTCCCATTAATCAAAAGCAATGAACATCACTGTTAAAATAAGGAGATTTGGTATGATTAAAGATGAGAAAGCTATCAACCAGAGACAAGGTTTTTTAAGTATAATCAAATATATACAAATGAATTGTAAATGTATTTGCAGTGACAGTAAATAACAATAAACACAATTTTAATGATGAAATCTTATAATTATTAAGGAGTATACAGGTTGAAGGTAAAGTGATAAAGGCCCAGATCTGGGACACAGCTGGTCAAGAACGATACAGAGCTATCACTAGTGCGTAAGTATATGTTATTGTTAGCAATGTATAGTAATAAAATCTGGTTTGCCCTTGAAAATAAGTAGATGTGGTTTGATTGCCAATGAGACAACTATCCACCCAAGTTCAAATGAAGTGAATGTAAGCAATTATAGGCAACCGTTCGGCCTTCAACAATGAGACAATTAGTCTATACGATTTGTTTTTTTCCCTGAAATTCAAATTAAATGTGTTCTATTCCTTTTCTGATTATTCTGTTCTTTTTAAACCTTATTTCTGTTCCAAAAAGATAGAATAAAAATAAGATTAGGTGGAATGAACACTCCATGTGATTTGTATTGAGATAATTTGTTATCTTGCAGATACTACAGAGGCGCTGTAGGTGCTTTATTAGTATATGATATAGCGAAACATTTGACTTATGAGAATGTAGAAAGGTGGCTGAAGGAGTTACGAGACCATGCCGACAGCAACATAGTCATTATGTTAGTAGGAAATAAGAGTGATTTACGGCATTTACGAGCTGTACCTACAGATGAAGCTCGGGCCTTTGCAGGTAAAAATTATTACTAATTCTTCAGCATTGTTAAAATGGAACATGTATAAATAAGCTTGTTTGTCAAAAGAGACCCAAAATGTCAGTAGAGATTATTTTATTGTAGAATTCACTGGAAAATTTAAAATAGTGAAAAATAATAAATGATGACTTACAAGTTAATTGGAAAAAAATAAGTAAGAGATGTAATAACATTGACATTAGTAAACTCTGCAGATAGATTTGTGAATGTCTGCTATAATTGATTTTTAAAGATCAGAATATTAAACTATTACTTCCTTCAACAATTAGTGTTTGTCGGTGACATTTCAGTTACTTAATAATCCAAAGAAAATCTAAGCCATAAATAAAGTGAACCTTTGAAGATAATATTGGCACATGCTTGCAGGCAACATATAACTTTTTACCTGAGAACAATGTCTCTGAAATCAATTTAATTACAGTTAAAGTTTTGCATGACAATTTTGATTTGTGGATAATAGTGGCACCAGAATTATCACAAGTTGTCATATTTTGTTCCCAGATGAAATTAAAATCATACTTTTATACGACCGCAAAAAAATTTTTGTGGTCGTATATTGGTATGACATTGGCGTCGTCCGAAGACACATTGGTTTTCGCACTCTAACTTTAGTTTAAGTGAATGGATCTCTATGAAATTTTACCACAAGGTTCAATACCACAAAAGGAAGGTGTGGATAGATTTTGGGGGTTATGGTACCAACAGTAAAGGAATTAGGGGCCAAAAAGGGGCCAAAAATAAGCATTTTTGTAACTTCCAGACATAACTTGTGTGTTAGTGTATGGATCTCTCTGACATTGTACCACAAGGTTCCATATCACAAAGGGAAGGCTGGGATTGATTTTGGGGGTAATTGCCTCAAAATATTAGGAATTAGGGGCCCAAAAAGGGGCAAAAAAACAAGCATTTTTCTAGTTTCATGACAATAACTTGTGTGTAAGTGCATGGATCTTTCTGAAATTGTACTACAAGGTTCCATATCACAAAGGAAAAGCTGGAATTGAGTTTGGGGGTAATTGCTGAAACGTTTAGGAATTGGGGGCCAAAAATAAGCATTTTTCTAGTTTCCAGACAATAACTTGTGTTCAAGTGTATGGATCTCTCTGAAATTGTACTGCAAGGTACCATACCACAAAGGGAAGGCTGGGATTGATGATGGGGGTAATTGCCTCAATATTTTAGGAATTAGGGGGCAAAAAACAAGCATTTTTCTAGTTTCAGGACAATAACTTGTGTGAAAGTGTATGGATCTTTCTGATATTGTACTACAAGGTTCCATATCACAAAGGGAAAGCTGGGTTTGAGTTTGGGGGTAATTGCCCTAATTGTTTAGGAATTTGGGGCCAAAAAGGGGCCAAAAAACACATTTTTCTAGTTTCCAGACAATAACTTGTGTTCAAGTGTATGGATCTCTCTGAAATTGTACTGCAAGGTACCATACCACAAAGGGAAGGCTGGGATTGAGTTTGGGGGTGATGAATCATAAGGGGGTTCAAAAAATTTGGGGGGGGGGTTTTTTTTTTTTCCTTTTTTTTCTTTTTTTCCTTTTTTTTTTCTTTTAAAATTTTCCATTTTAAGTTGGTTATTTCTGATTTATATTTAAAAGCAAATAATAATGATATGGTAGGAGATACACACCAAACAGGATGTGTAAATTATTATATAATAAGTATTGTGCAATAGCAAGAAATTTTCAATTGCACAGTATTGCACAATAGCAAGAAATCTTCAATTGCACAGTATTGCGCAATAGCATGAAATCTTCAATTGCACAGTATTGCGCAATAGCAAGAAATATCCAATAGCACAATATTGCGCAATAGCAAGAAATTGTCAATTGTACAGTATTGCGCAATAGCAAGGAATATTTAATTACACAGTATTGTGCAAAAGAAGATACTTCGTATAAATTGCTTATTTCTTGACCAATTTCAATGGGGTTTTATTCTTGAATTCTTGGGGTTCTTTAATATGCTGAATCTAACCGTGTATTTAGTTTTTGGATTTTGGGCCCCGTTTTTAAATTGTTCCACATTGAGGTCCAAAGGGTCCAAAATTAAACTTTGTTTGATTTCATCAAAAATTGAATTATTGGGGTTCTTTGATATGCCGAATCTAACCGTGTATTTAGATTCTTAATTTTTGGTTCCGTTTTCAAATTGGTCTACATTAAGGTCCAAAGGGTCCAAAATTAAACTTAGTTTGATTTTAACAGAAATTGAATTCTTAGGGTTCTTTGATATGCTGAATCTAAACATGTATTTAGATTTTTGATTATGGGCCCAGTTTTCAAGTTGGTCCAAATCGGGGTCCAAAATTAAACTTTGTTTGATTTCAACAAAAAATGAATATATGGGGTCCTTTGATATGCTGAATCTTACCATGTATTTAGATTTTTGATTTTTGGGCCCCGTTATCAACTTTGTCCACATTGAGGTCAAAAGGGTCCAAAATTAAACTTTGTTTGATTTCATCAAAAATTTAATTCTTGGGGTTCTTTGATATGCTGAATCTAACCATGTATTTAGATTTTGGATATTGGACCATAATAGGTGAATGTCCAATTTAAAATTTTTAAGTTCTTAGACCACATTCATTCTGTGTCAGAAACCTATGCTGTGTCAAATATTTAATCACAATCCAAATGCAAATCTGTATCAAGCTTGAATGTTGTGTCCATACTTGCCCCAACTGTTCAGGGTTCGACCTCTGCGGTCGTATCAAGCTGCGCCCTGCGGAGCATTTTATTGGAACATTGGCAAAGCTCAGTGCAATCCAACGATTGCCAATTAGACAACTTTCCACCAAAATTACTGACAGAAATGATGCTGACTTCTGACGGTGTACAAAATGTGTATACTACATCGCAGCATTTTTATGTACATGATAAATACTTTTAAAGAAGTTCCGTTGTGTCAGTTTTTTTAGAACAAACTTTAGTAAGTTTTATACAAACATCAAATTTTATGGTGACTCAAATATAAAAAAGATGTGGAATGATTGCCAAAGAGACAACTTCTCCACAAGAAAGCATATGACACAGAAAGTTACAACTATAGGTCACCGTATGGCCTTCAACAATGAGCAAAGCACATACTGCATTGTCGGCTATAAAAAGCCTGAAATGACAATGTAAAACAATTCAAATGAGAAAACTAACAGCCAAATTTATGTACAAAATAATGAACAAAAAACAAATATGTAACATAGCAACAAATGACAAAGTCCATATTTCATATTTGATGACTTTTCTTTTTATTTCAGAAAAGAACTCACTGTCTTTCATTGAAACTTCAGCATTGGATTCAACTAATGTGGAATCAGCATTTCAGAATATATTAACAGGTTTGTACCATTTGTTAAACATTTAGAAACTCAAAAGCTCAGAAAACTTATTTAAAAGAAGAGTCATTTTCAAGTAAAAGATTCACCAATTCAACCAGACAAACTGTACAGCTAAGCCTGCAGGCTCATCTAAGTGTAAAGAACTGAAGCTTTTGGTAACTTTATTATAAACATTTTAATGAATTCTTTTATCAATTACAAGAATGGAAAACTAACAACATTAAACATGTGTTGTCTACCTGTAGGCTCGGTCTTCAGCAGTGTTGGTTAAAAAGGGCATTATGTTTTTCAGTCTGTGCGCCTGTCTTACTTCAGGTTAACGTTTTTGGTTAAGGTAGTTTTTGATGAAGTTGAAGTCCAATCAACTTGAAACTTAGTACACATGTTCCCTATGATATGATCTTTCTAATTTTAATTCCAAATTAGAGTTTTGACCCCAATTTCACGGTCCACTGAACATAGAAAATGATAGTGCGAGTGGGGCATCTGTGTACTATGGACACATTCTTGTTTATTTGCAAATTTTTGTTAGGCACATTGCATTTAGTAGGAAGATAAAGACTCATTTGACAATCACCTTATAAAATATAATCCTTTAGACTGTAAGCTAATTAGAAATTATTCCAATGAAAAATGTGAATTAAAATTTAACAGGTTTAATCTGAATCAGTTAAAAGCGAAAAGATTTTTGATTAAATGTGATAAATTTACACTGCATGTGTTTATATGGCTTAAAACAAATCCCTCCAATAAAGATAATGTTATGAGCAACTTCTGTTATGCTACCTGATGCTTGGGTTTCCTTGGTGATGATAGAACAGCTTTGGAAATTATGATTATACTGTTTATTAGTCCTCTACCGACGAAGTCGAAGGGGAATTTAGGTTTGCACTCCGTCCGTCTGTTTATCCATCCCTCAGTCCGGCAAATCAGTTTTCCACACTTTTTTTCTGCGTGCTTGAAGATTTTGATTTGATACTTGGTGTATTGTTTTATCATGACAATTTACAGATCAAGTTTGAATTTTGTTCCGGTCTGATGATTTTGTGCAGGGTTATGGTCCTTGCACTTAGAAAATTCACTCAAATAATCAGTTTTCCACACTTTTTTTCATCATGCTTGAAGATATTGATTTGATAATTGGTATATAGTTTTATCATGACAAGTTACAGATCAAGTTTGAATTTTGTTCCAGTCTGATGATTTTGTGCAGAGTTATGGTCCTTGGACTTAGAAAATTCACTTAAATAATCAGTTTTCCACCCTTTTTTCCATCATGCTTGAAGATATTGACATGATATTTGTTATATAGTTTACACCATGACAAGTTATAGATCAAGTTGGCATTTTGTTCCAGTGCAATGAATTTTTAACCAATAGGGGACTATGTATTGCCATGCACTACTCTCAGAATGCTTGTTATTATGTAAATCCATTTCCTTCAAATTATTTTTCTTATTTCAGAAATTTATAAAATAGTATCACAGAAACAAATCCGGGACAGTCCGGATGACGACAACACACCTAGCAACAATGTACAAAATATCATAGTTGGACCGACTGACAGCTCGACGCCAAAGTCAAAATCCTGCTGTAATGTATGAGAGTTGTTGTTTAGCAGTTAAAGAACTATTAATAAGACCAACAATATGTCTGTCTGACATCCTAATGAAGATACGTTACTAAAGAAAGATGAAGAACTCCACAGTTTTCTCATCTGACAACATTCTGCATTATTGTACAAGGGGCTTGTTCTGTAGTATCAACATTTGTGTATAAATGATAATCTTCTCATGGTGCATTTGTAACATTGTGTTTAGACTTGTTTAAAATATTTTGATTTTCTAATTGAAAGAAGGTTAATAAGCAAAACTGGAGCTCTGCTTCATGCTCTTGATTCCTTGAAATTTAAAGTTCAACTCAATACTTATAAATATTCATAGAACAAACGCTGTTCTTTTTTTTTATATGACAGATTTTGAGAGATGTTCTTTCACAATATCTGATTTACGACCTTCTATTTTTATTCATGTCTACTTTTATTTTCTTCGTTGCAAAGAAATAAATCCCAAGTCCATTAATCTTCCTTTTGCTAGAATGTGTGAGACTACATGAGTGATCGAGGTTTGTTTTTTTATACATTGTTATTGAGCTTAATTTCTGATTTGCTTGTTGTATTCCTTACATACAGTGATATGTTACAATCCTTAATAATTGTTGTTCTTATAGAAACTAATGTGTCCCTGTACCCCTCAATTTAACTTTCCTTTTCAACATAACAATTTCATAAGTCCATAAATTTTCATGATTCTAATTTCTATAGTTTTCATTTTGTTTGAAAGAATCATCAGCTCAAATATCATGTATGACATTCCAGAAATGGTTTTGAATGTAAAACTTGAATTCCCATGTTGTTCCTATGTGAATGTTTGTTTGATGCAATTGGATAGTATTGTAGTATTTGTTATCAACTTTAAAGCTTATTTTACACTGAAAGTCTGCAAGTAAAATGTTAATGTTCTTGATTAGGGCTATTCCATTAAAATGTAGGGGGAGGGTAGGAATGGAAGTTTAATTATTGAATGTGGGTCATGGGTCTTTTTTCCAGTATGCATCTATTACCATTATTCAAAATTATCTAAAAAATGGTTCTTGGTTGTAGGGATATTTTGAAAGTCCCTTCTTACCCTCCCTCATACATTTTAATGGAATAGCCCTTATAAAGCAGTCTGTACCATTAGCCACTAGTAAGATGCCGCTAAACTAGAAAAATTTTATTTGGACTAGTAAGTATTTGCAAAACTTTGTTTAGACACCTAAAAAAAAAATATAACATCAGGCTAGTAGTTGGAAAAGATCTTAGTGCAGACTGACAAAGAACATGTAACAAATTTCTTATTTTTAAAATCTGAAAAAGGGTGGTGGTTTTTATATTTTTGCTACTGTGTGTCAGTTAGAAAGTGTATTTAAAAACCTAGAATGAACCGTTCGGTATAGCTATGACTTATATCAGAAAAAATGAATTGATACTAAATGTGAAAAATGAAGAATTATACCAAGTCATGCTCGAAACTGAGAGAATGTTCTTCATGAGTTTGAACAACATACAAGTCTGTAATCAGTCCTGGGTACAATTTATGTAGAAGCACTCCAGGACAGGCCTTATTTATTTGATTGTGAATGACTGATATTGTTAGATAATGTAGAATGAAGTCACATGTAGAAACCTGTTAATCTATTATATATCTATATCACATATTTTTAAAAAATCTGTACAATTTGTGCGAGTGTATTTTATTTAAATGAAGAGTGCGAATGTTTGGGTGTGATTGTGTAATTATTATTGTGAGACTTAAACTTATGATAGTTTTGCTTTTTGTTGATGTTGTTCTCAAATTTCCACTTATTTGAGATAATGTCTGTACTTAATAAAAGTACCAGTAATGAATGTCTTTGTATCAGATTGATATTCTTAAGTTTAGATTAGTTCCATTAAGGAAGGATATCAGTATACCATTTGACGTCTTAATACAGCTTTCATTACACATGAAAAGGCATTCAACATAATTTCTATTCAAAGTTTTCCCAAGTTCAAAACCGTCTGTTCAACTGTTAAAAAAATGTTTCAATAGAGTACTTGTTATTTTAAAACTTCTATTTCTTTTTATTTCAGAGTGAAATTCAAGCATGTTTATTGTAATAAACCATTATTATAAGCAAAATTTACCCCAAATTGTTTTGCAATGTGTTTCAGTCTACTGTGACTGTATACACAAGAAAATCTTTTTTTAAGTCATGAAAATTCTGTACAACAAAAGATCAAATTTTTTGGTTGCTAGATATTTTAAGCTATTGCCACTGATATGAATATGTAGAAAGAAATATCAATCATGAACCAGTGTTTGAAGTGTATATTAGCATTAATAATGTGGCTGTGATGTATTTTGACTAGGTAATATATGTTAAATGATGGCTAGTGAAGACTGCTATAAAATTGAGTAACCATAGGAAAGAAAATCACTAAAATATGATTACAATGATCAAAACTTCACTTGAAATATCTATCAAGAAAGTTTTTTTATCCAATTAAAATTTCAAATGTTTCTATAAACACAATGGGTCCAATTATTTTCAACTTTTATCTAGTTTATAAAGTTCAATTACAAGATAAATCTTATTTTTAACATTTAAATAGCTTGATCCAATGATTAAATGTTTTGAATAAGTGACTGCACCCTCTATTTCTACCCTAACATTTTAAAATGTACCTTTATTGCTAGCATGTTGGTATACTTTTGTTACTGCTTAATTAACACAATATTATAACTGTGTATACTTGTTCATATTTGATGAGGAATCTCTTGTAAAATCATATATGAGATACAAAAAAAATTAATGGGATCAGTGTGACCTTTACCGGGAATAGTTTGTTTAGATTACTGTGGATTCATTATTATTCGTTGGATACAAATTTTCATGGTTTTCGTGGGTACAGGTGAACCACAAATTTAAATGTTCAACGAATTACAAATTTTCTATCAGGTTGTATGCAGACTTTGGAAAAACCATGAAATCACATATCCACGAAAAGCCAAATTTTCCACAATCCATGAAAAACTGGTACCCACGGAAATAAATGAATCTACAGTACGTTTTTAAATACTGTAAATTCAGAAATTATTGCGTGCCTTTATTATTGCGATTTTGTCATTTTTGACTTAAATGCGATTTTAATTTTTGCGATATTGAGAAAAATCCTGTTTAATTCATATAAAAGATTTCAAAATGCGAGTTTAAATTATTGCGATTATAACCCTGTCGCATTTTTAGGTATAATAAAAACATCGCAATAATTTCTGAATTTACAGTAATCATTTCATTTCCTAAATAAAAAACCTAAATTCCTGAATCAAATTACTAGTGGCTGTCTGTGATTTAACTTTGAATTTTGTCACCGGTCCATAGTGGCAAAGGACTCGTATTGAACATAATATATCTTGGGGGGGGGAAAAAGGGTCAAGATTTTGCGTTTTAACATTTTTAAGTGTACTGTCCACTGTGGTCAGTTTGAAATGATCCACTTAAGTTGTAGTATTGATGATTCATGAGATACAGGGGTATTTTCTCAATCTGACTTGAAACTTTGCGAAACATTGATAAATAGTTTTGTTGGAAAGGTTTCAAGACAAAATATATGTAATAAAAATGATATAATCAATTATATAAGATTATACTATTTAACAGTCCTTTGAGGACCAGGACTGTAAGAGCTGAGGAAACAACTCGTAACTTACTGTGATTATTATGTAAATATGTTTATTTTTTCATCACAAATGCTTGTTTATTGTATGTCTGTACGAGTGTATGTGAGTGTTGAGGGTACATTTTATAAACAAAACTGATAGAATAAAAATGTTAACATTTATCTCTTTGTTTCTACTGGCCATACACCTGTTTTCAGCCTTTGGATTAAAAAATCTTAATATTTTGTTTACCAATGACCATATTTCTGTCCCCCAACCCTTCGGATGTAAAGTAAAGGGAGATGTGCTGTGTTTATCTCCCTTTACTCTGATATTTATAGTATATATCAATGAGACAGCAACCCAACAACAAAACATCCTTAAAGACGTTCAGCAAATTGTGATCTGCCACCTTTGATATTTTTGGCGGTCAAATATCTTTATATACCTGTTGAATATAAAAATAAAGAGATGTAGTACGATTGCACCCAAGTACAAATGACAAGGATGTTAGCGACTTCATGACAAGCTTATTCCAGAATTATGTAATGTGTGCACAGTTAACACATGATTTTTATGATTTTTCCTTGCTTATCCTGCATAAGGCTGGAGGTGCCCTATAATTATTTACATCCTCATCCTTTGTATTACAGTATATACTGTGTATTCATTTATTTTTTAGGGTACCAATCTTCCATGATTGAAGAAAAATGATATATTGCGGATATGTAATTTCCTGGTTTTGGACAAATTTTATTTTGTTGAACACCTGAACACCTCTACCAACGAAAATTAATGAATCCACAGTAATTCTTTTGTTTATAATGAAAGACACTAAACATATAACACAAACATAAACAATTTGAAATTTCATATTTATTAATAAATAAAATTTCAACATATAGTAAGTATCCTGGTTCATCAATAACAAGCTTAGCAAAAACAACAAAACTTAACAATAACAGTAAAATCTATAATAGCTGAAACTAGCTTAGGGCTATTCCGTTAAAATGTATGTGGGAGGGTAGGAAGGGACTTTCAAAATATCCCTACCACCAAGAACCATTTTTTAGATTATTTTGCATAATGGTAATGGACACATACTGAAAAAAGACCCATGACCCACATTCAATAATTAAACTTCCCTTCCTACCCTCCCCCATACATTTTAATGGAATAGCCCTTAAATGTGAATCAACCTTCACAAAGATAGATAACTCTATCATTTTATTAACTGAATTTATTTGTTTTCCTTCTACAAACAGTGAAAAACTTTGATATTCTCAATAACATAAGTTGGGGATGATTCAAATATTTTCTAAATCAATTCATAATCTTAAATAGATCATTTCTCTCGACTGACACAACATTCATTCACTTAAACAGGAAATACACCTAGACATCCTACTTTCTGATAAGACCAAGTAACGAAATTGTAAATAATTTCCTGCTATAGTTCCTTCTTTGTGAAATAATATACTAAAACTTAATTATAATATCATTTATGTGTTTAAATAGTTTTTTTACAGGTGAACATGAGACTCAATAACTACTGCTTTCAAATATTTGTGACCTTTTTTCAAACTTCCTCTTTAAATGCATAAATAAAATAGATAGTGGAGGTCAAAGATGCTTCTCATTAAAATGCATACAGATGCATTTTTGGTTTTTAACACACAATACAATTAAAGGGTATTGTGACTGAAATATTACAGAAACTTATGAAAAATGTAAGTGTTAAATGTCTGTATGAAAGAAAAAAATATTTCTCTCACAATCATCACCTATGCAAATGAGAAAAAAAAATTTGTGAAAAGTTAATTTATCAACCCTCTCCCTCTAAAACCCTAGAACATGATCCCAGATGAAAATGAACACATATTTATATCAGTATGTGGGTATTCAAATACTAAATATATTTGAAATAATAAAATACAGTATCCTTGGATTTAGACAAACTATGTTGATGCAAAATTTATAAAAGTTACTTTAGGTAACCCAATAGACTGTTGGTTTATTGTATATAAAAATGAGCCAAAGTCTCAAATGGCAAGGTTGAAATATTTGTGACTAATCAATGTAGAATGTTAACAATGATGTGGCAATTACATGGTGGGGAAGAAGAATTTCTTTATTATAAGATGAAGAATGAAAAACATAAATTTACTGTAAAATAACTAAGTTCCAAAGTCTGGAAAAAGTGAGAACAAAAATCCTCAATAATAGCATGTGCACAACTTACATATGTGCAATCTTCTGTGAAGTTTCACCTACCGAATTAGACTATTTACTGGATTTGTAATAACATAAGCAACACGACGAGTGCCACATGTGGAGCAGGATCTGCTTGCCCTTCCGGATCACCAGAGATCGACCCCAGTTTTTGGTGGTGTTCGTGTTGCTCATTCTTTAGTTTTCTATGTTGTGTTTTGTGTACTATTATTTGTCTGTTTGTCTTTTAATTTTTTAGCCATGGCGTTGTCAGTTTATTTTCGATCTATGAGTTTGACTGTCCCTCTGGTATCTTTCGCCCCTCTTTCAGAGATCTGAGTTGAAAACTGTAGAAGTAGTTAATTACACAAAATAAGGTACCGACTTTTCCCAACTGCCAGCCTATCGGCCTGAGGACATCACCATACTATAAGCTGGTTTTGGACTTAGTCCAACCTGGCCAAAAAGTCTTGAGCAAACCTATTCTATCTAAATTTGATAAATCCTTGTAACGGAATTTGTTGGAATTGATCACAACAATTATCAGTACTCAAAAATAATAAGATACATATAAGAGACTTAATCACTTAAGTAATGATGAAAGAATAAATGTCCACCTAAAGTCTTAAAACTTTTAGAATGAAAAATGAAAAATTACATGTGTTTGGAAGTCAAACCTGACTTCTGAAGATATGACATTTTTCAGCTTGTGACCATTGAATACAATCGTGTAAATCTTTGGCAAAACACCTTAAACACACATACTTTTTTGGTGTTTAAATGAAAAGAAGTGCCACATTGCTTAACACTGCACATATAACACACTTCACACACTATACACATCACAATAATAATCATTTTATCAAATATTTGTTATGAAAACAATGGGTTTTTCATATGCAATAACTGCAGATTTGCCAAAGTCATATTCCTGCCCAGGGCAAATAACCAGTTATTGTGCCTTATTATGATGTCATAAGCTTTCAGAACAACAATGACAATAGGGAACGTCGATTATAATGACAGCGGAATTTGTTCAAGAAATAAAGAACAATAATACTTAAAGAAAATTTGACATTGACATTATAATATCCTAGGACTAAAAATTTGACCGGTTGGGGAGCTTCGTAATAAATGAAGTTATTTCAATGTAGAACAAAAAGTGTATGATCTTGCCAGACGGAATAATAAAATTCTTTCTACTTTTTTAAGCATTTGTATAATATGTGATAAATAGATTATAACATGTCCTTATCATATATGCCCTGGTATCATCCCTCGAACCATATGAGCCCTCGGCTAGTGCCTTGGGGTAATATGGGAGTCTCAGGATGATACCAGGGCTGATATGGAAAAGGACATGTTATAATCTATAAATATCACACACGATGCCATATCAAAACCATGTCCATAGATCTTGCACCAATCCTATTGCAGAATTAACAACAGCTTTTCCCAAAGACACAACTGGTACAATCATGATAAGAAGAACAAAACCTGCTAAATATATTTTTGCTCGCTGTGGTTGAAGATTATTTCTTTGTCCTAGAATCCTGTTTCTGATATCCTCTTGAGTCTGACCTAACGCTGTTCTCCTGTGAGGTAATGGACTAAACTTATCATTCAGATACTTTCTCTGTTCTCTAAGTCTGGATCTGTATTCATCTGGGTACAAATCCTTCAAAGTTTTAACCAGGTCTGTAATATAACAACATGGTATATCAGTCAATGGAGAAAATATTGTTAGTATAACCAACAAGTTTATATCCCAAGTTAAAGAGTTAGAAATATCCACTAAAACATGCCATAGTATAAAAAAAATGCATGAAGGTAATAACTAAGGCCTGTTTTTAATAGTGGATATAGGGTAATTTTTCATACTACAGTCGACTCTCGTTATCTCGAAGTCAGCCGGACCACAGAAATATTTCGAGATACACGTAGTTCGACTCAAACGAAAACCGGAAGTTTGACAGAACAAGGGACACAACTCTTGCTTAGCTTGGTAAAGCTAAAATAAATCCGGGATAATATGGGAAGGGGATCGATATTCTGGTATCAGATCGATGTATTTGTATGTCATGGTCTTTCATTATTATAATAACATTATTTTTACTTATTCAATTGTTTCAGTTACAATTTTTTCCTCTGGCTTTTATCCGAGAGAGTAATTTCCAATCGATAGTTTCGTTATTCAGGTCGTTTATAGTTGACAAAATTGTTTATTCTCGGATACAAGAGATTTTAGAAAATTTAGATTTCTCTTCATTTTGTTTTATCTCACTCTTTCTTTTCAAAAGAAAATACAACAAGATTAAAGACGTCTATTGAGTAGTTTTTAGGTGATCATCAACAGAAGTCAAAATCCTTACTTTATAATCACCCAAGCTCATTAGTGTAAATCACAATTAATTGTTTTGTAAACATTGTAAATACTTTTTCATAAACATTAACAATGTATCACTAATTATTTATAAAAATTCTATAAAAGATAATCTTAGGTAAACACTCGTGGAAATAGCATGTCATAAATCAATACAGTGGTCAGTGACTGGAAATTTAATTACACGTGTATTGTCAGATTAACTCTTCAATCCATTTAAATGCCGGAGGTCATGTTTTGACATATGTGTATTAGTTCGAGATAAATAATGAATTTTGAATGCTTTTGTTAACCTTGGGATCGTAAATTTAGTTCGACTCAACCGAAATTTCGACTCATCCAATTTCGACTCATCAGGAGTCGAATTACATACATTTATATGGAACAAAGTTCGGGACCACGTGAAAACTTCGACTCATCCGAAATTTCGAGTCAACCGAGTTCGAGACAACGAGAGTTAACTGTATTTTTCTCTCGTTGGTCAAGGCTCATCCATGTGGGTTAAACTGTGTGAAGCAATAAACTGGTAATTTCAAATTTCGATTAGTAGCTATTTCAGTATGATGTCACTTTATTGTAGCTTCTTTATCATTTTAAAAATATTATATTGACTTAGAAATAACTAGACATCATTGAGATGGGAGCCACCTCTGTGGGCCCCGCTGACCTTGAACTTTGACCTAGGAAGTTGTACAAACATTATGACACACCCTCTGGTGTTGGTTAATATACATGTCAAGTATAAAATCTGAAATTATAACGGTTTTCTAGATATAGAACGGACACAATTTGTTACTGACGGAGGGATGGACAGACTGATCACTATAGGGGGGGCCCTAATTAATATCACTAGTTTATTGCCTAAACATCCCAATTAAATTGTTATCCTGTTTATAGGTTTAATTTCTTCTTGTCATGAATTTTCATGAAATATTTGACACTTGCCATAGAGCAATCAACAATCAAACAATCATATAATGATTATTTCCCCTTTGTCTTCCCTGTCTGATAAAATGTAAACCAACAAGTTTTCACAGATAATACTCACGATTTTAGCCAACTTTATGTCAATTTTTGTTTGACATTAACCTTGTTATGTATAAATATAAGTCAGATGTAATTTTGATGAAATCTGGAAAGATTTACTTTCAGGTTATTTTCACACAAATACTGTTAACCAACTAATTTTGGGGGAGATTAAATTCTGAGACTTTTGCAAATATAAATCTTCATGAGAATAAAAAACTTTGGTCTATCCTTATATAAATACATAAAAAAAAAAATAATAATTTGACTCAAAGTAACCTATACTAAAAGCAAAATAAAGTATCTACAAAAATAAGTAGGTTTAAAGTATATGGTTTGTACAAATAAGTTGGCAATTTAGAAATGATCCCAATATTGTAATAACAAACCTGTTTTCTTGATACACTGTACAATCAGCTGTCTACACATTGGACATGGAGTGTTGTAAACATTTTTGTGACCAACACGTCTCAGACATGCCTCACACAGCACGTGTTCACACGGAGAGCAGGCGTGTGGTTCACAGAACAAGTCAAAACAAACAGGACATAAATGTTCTTCTGGAAAGTCAATCAACCAGGTTTCATACTACAACACAATATAAAGACATCGTTAGTGTCGCTCACCTGAATCTATGTGCATCTTCAACAATGGCCACTCTCCAACATTATAGACTAGAATATAATTCATGACTAAAATTCTCCACTTTGCTGAGTATTTTTGTTGTTTACAGTTTCTGTCTACTATAGTTCTTGCCAAAAATGTTAAATTGTGTAAAAATATAAGGCCAATAACTCCTATAAGGATTGGACTGACAATTTCAGCTAGTATGCGACTTATTTGAAGATCAATTCTTGCTGATCATTTTTGCTGTTTGAAGTTTCCCTTTGGATACTTTAATTTTTGCCCAAAACACCAAAAAAGGATAAAAATCATACTTATTACAGCAATAACATCTATAAGAAGTTGACTGATGATTTCCGCCATGTTGACTTAAAATGGATAATTGTGGCCACATTAGGCTTTATTTTGCCCAGTAGATTCAGAGGAGAAGACATTTTTTGTAAAAGTAACAGATGACAGATGGCGGATGCCAAGTGATAGCTATAGCTCACACTTTGGGCAAGGTGAGCTTATAATTAGATTTGGTATGATTGCCAATGAGGCAACTATACACCAAATGATGTGAATGTAAGCAAATATTATGTATACATTACATAGGAGTTTGATTTATATTAGTTTCATGACAAACTGGTTGTGATATCTTATTGTGGGTCTTTTGGTCCTTTTCTTTTTAGCCATGGCGGTGTCGGTTTAATTTTGCCTTATGAGTTTGAATGTCCCTTTGGTATCTTTCGCCTCTCTCTTCAGTTATGACTGACACTTATTTTCTCTTTATGGTCATTAAATAGCAATAGTACTCATTTTATGGTAAAATTACTCAGGGGTTCAAATTAACGGTGGTCCGGTGGTCCGGGGTCCTTGACCTTCCATTTTCAGGTTTGGACCTTCTTGTCGGTAGTTAGCTACACCTAACAGACTTTCCTATTTTGCCAGTCTGGGATCCTGACACAATATTCTCAATACCGTAAGCAAAAGCAAAGGCGAGCTGTTATCTGACACAAAGTTATGCCAGTGTGTTTTTGAGCAGCAATTGAAACCAGAACAATTTAAACACATTTAATTAAACAAAGAACAGAACTAGCTTAATTGCACCTAATTTGCCAAACCATTGCATGCATGGTTCCTTTTGGCTTTAAGATACTACTATAAAAACAGTAAGACATGATGAGTTCTTTGAAAGGTTACAAGCATTTTTTTGTTTTCATCAATTGAAATTTTGTACGATTAAAATTGGACCTTCTAAGAACAAACGAGGACCTTTCAGTATTTTAGGTCAAATGTCCTTGACCTTCCATTGCCTAAAGTAAATTTGAGCCCCTGTAACTATACAAATTTAATGTAGACAGAGAAATATTTATGTATGAAACCTTTTTTTAACATTTGTTCACAGCCTGTAATTAGTGGTTGTTGTTGGTTGCTGGCTGCTTTATTAGTTTTTCATTTGTTGTTTTAATAATAAATCAGGTCGTTGGTTTTCTCCTATGAACTGTTTCATATCTTGTGACTTTGAAGCCTGTTATAGCTTATGGCGTATCAAATAATAAGACTTGTATCTTTGATGAGTTTTTACCTATATATGTTAAGGATGTTCGCTACTCGGTTTCAAAATAACAAGCTTTTTAAAATACTGTTATAAATAGATAGTATATTAATAAAGGAACTAAAAAAGCAGAAAAAAATGAGGGGTCCGTGTGCTTGTTTTTGAGATATAAGCAATTGAAAATTTGGCGGGAAATAATTCTCTCTAGACTTTTCATACATTTAACATTGGCACCCTTTATCTTTTAAAAACTATGAAAAAATAACAAGAATTTTATAGGATTTTCAAATATGGCTTTTTAAACTATATGCAATAAAAGAATTAAAAGAAAAATAGGGGTTAGCGGGGAAACTTTTTTATTGACTCTACATGGTTAAAACCAGAGGATTCCGAATATCTGGCAAAAATTAATAAACAAGAGGAGCGAGCATCCTTAAATTTTTTATTCGGTTTTGATGATTCTTGAATGATGTACATTGCCCTACAGTTGTTAACATCCATGTCCTTTTGTCTCTAGTGGAAGCTTGTTTTATTGACAGTCATACCAAATGTCCTTTTTTTAACCATAACACTTGACAATATTGATCTCATAACACAAAAGAGGACAAACAACAACAAGAGTGCTGAAATGTGTCGCCTGCTTTACTATTCATGATTTATTTTAGGTTGATAGTCCTAAAGATAAAGTTTTACAACAAGTACCACATAAACTTAACATTATCAATGGTCCATGAAAATAAGGTGAAGGTCAGATAAATAAATTCAGACAAACATGTACACCTTACAATCATTACATACACCAAATAAAGTTGACATGTTGCTTAAAGTATACAAGAAACAGATCAAACCATGAAAATTTAATATTGACCAATGAACCAAGAAAATGAGATCAAGAACAACAGACATATGACAGACGGAAACTTCGTCACATAAGGCATATATGTACAAAGTATGAAGCATGCAGGTCTTCTAACCCCTGAAATATAAAGCTTTATATAAATAGTTTTTGCGGCCACCAATGCTGCCGCAGGATTATAATCCCTGGTCTCACATTCGCAGTTGAGAAATTAAAATAACTTACCACATTTTCATTTTTTGGCTGTTCTTTTTTCTCTTATCTTTTCCCTAAATAGAATAAAAAACATAAAGATTTTTATATATTTGTCTTACTGGTATGGCCTTAAAAAAATACATATTGTTTTTATAAAACACAGAACTGAATGTATACAACAATTTTGTTTTTTTGTATGATTCTCTTACCAATTTTTACATATATTACAGGTGTAATATTTGTGATTTATCAAACCATATGAGTCCCAAAACCTTATGATATTAAGAACATTTGTTATCTTTTGATTTATGTTAGTAAATGCCATGTGGGTGTATCACAAAATTCTGTGAAAAGTAGGTCATCATTATCCTACAAATCGTTATTTTTTTTATTTTTTTTTTTTGCATTTCAGCACTATAAACCCAATATTAGTTATAATGTACTTCTTCTGATCCGATCATGGGTGTCTTTAATGATTAAATAAAACATAGAATCAAGGTAAATAAGAATACATTGATATGTACTCTAGTCACAATTTGAAAAATTGTAATTAGAGTTAATATTGCCACTGTTATCTGTTACCCTTCCAGAGCACCTGAGACCACCCCCAGTTTTTGGTGGGGTTCGTGTTGCTTAGACTTTAGTTTTCTATGTTGTGTCATCTGTACTATTATTTGTCTGTTTGTCTTTTTATTTTTGGCCATGGCGTTGTCAGTTTGTTTTCGATCTATGAGTTTGAATGTCCCTCTGGTATCTTTCGTCCCTCTTTTATCTGGTTATTTCTGAAAAAATGAAATCATTATTGTATACCCTTATTTTCCCTTCTTGACCTCCTGTTTGGTCTCCTCCTCCTACTCCTCTCAGACAACATTAGAAAATCAACAGGAATATCCACATCTATATCTACATCTTCTCCATCTGGCACAGGACTTTCCTCAAATAAAGACTGATCTTCTATAATGGAATCTACTGATCTCTGGAGCCTGCTATCACCTTGCACCTGGCTTGAGACACTTTCACTTTCAAATTCTTCAGTGAGAATGTCTGCATTTGTTGATATAAAGTGTTGATGTTCTGAGTGGGTTCTGTTTTCCTGATAAGTTCCAAATGGTTCAGTTAGGGTTTCATTTGTTTGTTGATCCACCTGAATGTCATTTGTTTCTTCTACAGATGTCCTATTGGTAATTTGACTAGTTTCAGTAAAGGCAGTTGAACTTAAATTTTGAAGTAAATGGTGTGCATTATTGGTGACAGTATTACCTTCACCAGAACCACTTTGTATATGAGGGTCATTAGAAAGTTCCAGGTTAGAACCACTTTGTATATGAGGGTCACTCAAAGCTTTAAGGTTATTCATTTGATCTGAAATATCAAAAGTGCTAGTGTGTTCATTGCCAATAGGACGAGGATGCATTTGAAAAGTATCACAGTTGGTTTTGAAAGACATGGCCATAGTGTTCTGTCCATAATCCTGAACTCTATCAAGTTTTTCAGTGCTTTGGTCTTGATTATGTTCAAGATTATCTTCATTAGCCGTTAAACCATTTTCATCAACAACTGTTAAACAGGAAAATATCACTGTTTTATCTACATGATGGTCCTTTGATGAAACAGGAAACCCATCAAGATTATTTTGTGACATTTCTTTGTAAGGATCAAAGTTTGTTCTTTTCTGCTCAAATGTGGGTTCATATAAAATTTCTCCATCCCTAATCTTGATAAAATCTTCTGGGCAAAAATCAGAGTTCATATCGTCAAAGTCATTATCAGATCCACCATCATCAACTTGATCAATCATGTCATCATCATTAATCAGAGATTTATCATTATTATCAATCAAATAGCGATCATGATTTGTTACATCTGTTTTGTGTTGTGCCACTATTTCAGGAAATGCATTAGTGTTGACAACTTGATCACCCAACATAATGGTTCTATCATGATTAATCGTATTACTACATGTATTGGTTCCATCGTGATTAATCATATTACTACATGTATTGGTTCCATCGTGATTAATCATATTACTACACATATTGGTTCCATCGTGATTAATCGTATTACTACATGTATTGGTTCCATTGTGATTAATCGTATTACTACATGTATTGGTTTCATCGTGATTAATCCTATCACACAGAGAATCAAATACACATTTAGTTATTTCACTTGAAGGTATGAATACCTGATCCATGCTTTCACTTGAAGGTGTGAATACCTGATCCATGCTTTCACTTGAAGGTGTAAATACATGATCCATGCTTTCACTTGAAGGTGTAAATACCTGATCCATGCTTTCACTCAAAGGTGAAAATCCCTGTTCCATGCTTTCACTCGAAGCATTTGTTTGCATGTTATCTGGAGAAGTTGATGAATTAGCCTTGACTGCAAGAATCTTTTTATCGACTCTATCTTTAAGTATGTGAACCGGTGGGAGTTCATGCTTGTCACATTGTTGACAGGTGAGTATTTTGATAAAATTGAATGATCCCAGTTTACCATTACACTTTGGGCAGCACAATTTCCCTTTCTGCCAGGATTCCTACAAATAAACAAATTGTCAATATATAATTTGTGTATGTCTTGACAGCTAACTCTTCCAAACCACCTGAGATCAACCCTGGTTTTTTTGATGGGGTTCATGTTGCTCAGCCTTTAGTTTCCTATGTTGTGTTTGGTATTCTGTTGTTTGTCTTTTGGTTTTTTTTTTTTCTTTTTTGCCATGGCGTTGTCAGTTTGTTTTTTCGACTTATCAGTTTGAATGTCCCTTTGATATCTTTTGCCTCTTTTTTGTTCTGAGATGTTTTCAAATGGTTTTAGCGGGCTTGATCTAAATACTCACTATGAAGCACAAATGTACAACTCTTACTTCATGTCTAGTTAAGATTTTTAAAATGGACAAATAAATATAAAATTGATGATCTGGAGGAAGAATGTGATTCTTTGCAAATGTGCTTAGAATATGAATAGATATATTTTTTTCGTCAATGAGACAGCAACCCAAAATCATACACTCATACACATAAAAAACAAAAGGCTTCTAAGAGATTCTAACAGCCTGAATATACACCTGTCAAAACATTGAGATAATAGGTAAACACAACAAAATTAATGGGGTCATCCAATGGTTTAGGTCATATTTGGCCTTTTTCCATTTTTGCTGATATCAGTTTCTACCTATCTATAATAATTTTCAGAATAAGAGCTTGAGGCAAACACACAAAAATGAATCAAAAATCATCATTGAAGAGAAATAACTCCTACAAGGAGTCATCTAAAAAATTTGGTGAAAAAAGAAGTAGGTAGGGACTTATTGCAAACAGACAGGCAAGGTGATTACCATTAGTCTCTACAAAGTAAGGGAATAACATATTCTAATGCAAGTTATAAACACTACCAGCCTTATTCACTGATGAACAGATTTTTAACATCCTTTAAGGAAGTAAAGTTTCACTATCTAACTTACGGGTAATGCTGAAACTTTGTAAAAATAACCAGACAATTAAAAGGCCTCTAGTAAAAACATATTCAAGTGTTGATTCCTGCCAGTCTGAAACTTGACAAAGGGAGACAACTCTAATTATTACTTTAAACTGAAAATGTTCAAGCTATTTTTCTCAGGCTGTTTATGACATCTTTACCCTAAATCTGTTGGATTTGGTAAGATTTCAGATACTGTGAGTACTCTTAGACTGGTTCTTGGTCTTTCATCTTTTTGTTAGTTGTTTTTTGTGCTTCCTGTTGATCTGATGAGTCATGCCCTTACCAACTATTTTTTACAGTTTGTTCTTTATGTTGTGCTGAGACACCACCATCTCAGGTTAAGGGGAGGGTTGAACATTTGCAAATAATCAGTATATGCCTGTCCTTATTAGGGAGCCGGTAATTCATTAGTTGTAAATGGTTACTGTCTGTCATATTAATTTTTCGTTTATCATTTGATCATAAATCAAGCCATTGCTTAAATTGTTTGAATTGTCATAATATGGCATTTTGCTGCTAACTTAACAGAATGGTTTTTGCTCATTGTTACAGTTGCCTACAGTTGCTCACATCCAAGTCTTTTGGTCTCTGGTGAATAGTTATTTCATTGACAATCGTCTCTGGTGAATAGTTATTTCATTGACAATCAATTCCACTGGAACATAATACTGAGTGATTGGCTAGATTAATTATGAGGCCAAAAAAAAATATATGTCTGTTTAAGGTTACATACTTTTAAAAAATAGGGTAGGTAGGTCGGTATTTCCATTTTATTTTTTGTGACACGATTTTGAGTCATGCCGTTTCGTCTTGTCATGGTCCGAGTTGATCATGGGCCGAGTTTACCCGTATTTTTAATGATTGGATTATTTCCCTTGGTAATTGGTTGGAAAAAAATGGTGGCAAAGTGTTTATTTCATCACACGAGTTGCAAATTTCCTTAAAACAACTGTCATATTCACGATTGTGAACATTGGGATGTATCAGGCAATTGATTTATATTATTTGCAACACTAACTTTGCTTTTGCCACGAGTTCAGTTTATTTTTCACTTTACGACGGAAATAAAATGACTTAGGGTCGGCGCTCAAAAGTAGGGTCGGTCGGGTAACCGTAAACAGACATATATGTTTTTTTGGACTAAACTATATCTGTACAAATTTTTGTCATCTTGAAAGTGAAGTTAAAATATACAGCTTTTTTTACAGGTCGTACAGTTGTAAACTTCTATATCATTTTGTTTCTCGTGGAGTGTTGTCTCATTGGTTATCATTCCACTTCTTCTTATTTTTATATTAGAAAGTTGTTGACACAGACAGAACAAGTGAAAATGTGAGCTACTGCTCACTGATGATACCCACGCCCAAATACGGTAAACAGGAAGTTGTTGAGTGATGAATCTGAAAACGCATCACATGGTATAGCTGACTTATATAAACCCTGAAACCAAATTTCAGAAATCCTTGTTGTGTAGTTCTTGAGAAAGATGCAATGAAAAATATTCATGGGACGGACGGACGGACGGACAGACAGAGGTAAAACAGTATACCCCCACTTTTTTAAAGCGGGGGTATAAAAATAGTAACTTTCACAGCAAGACAAGACAAAACAAGACTGAAATGTAGTAAGCCATACCTTTTTAACTGCCTCAGACACCCAGTCAGGCATGTTGTCATCTCTTATGTACCACACTGTACTATTGTCACATTCTAAAACATAAAAATTACAATATATTATATTATATAAATTATATCATCAATGTTTTAAACACTGTGTCATCTTCTCACAGAGTTTGATCATTCAAGGTTGTAGCAAACTGTCAATCAAATCTAATAATAACATTAAAGGTACCAATTTTACTGCACCAGATGTGCATTTCCCCAATTAATGTCTCGTCACTGATGCTCGAGACTAAACTATCTGAAAATCCAAAACTTAATACAAATGTTGAAGTGCTGATAAAACCAATTGAATAAAAGAACAGAGTTCCAATGTCCCCTATGTTGCACATATTTTATCTATCCAAAGTACAAGGGCAATAACTAAAAAAAAACACTTTTTTGTTATCTTTAAAACTTTTTATTAATATCTTAAGAGAAATGAAGGCTTCAGATCAAATGCAATGTGATTTCCATTATAATTGATATTTTCAAGGGGCATAACTCGTTAAAAATATTTGATCAAAACTTATTTTCAAAAGTGTCAAAGACATTGCTGATACAAACATATGATATAAGTTTCATAAAATTCTGGCAAGAATTGTACATGTGAGAGCGCTAACAAAAGCAGACAGATGTACGTACAGATGGACAGATGGACAGACGCCCAGTATTTCCATGATTCCAGCAATGTGTTGCCCATGGGACAAAAAGGATCAAGAGTAAAGCTGTTAATACCAATATCAATATTTAACAACCACTAGTGCAGTAAGTTTTGAAAATCTGTCAAAATCATGTAAGTTTATCAACCTGAATAAACAAATATGTATGGTATGAATCATTGAGATAGAAACTTAAAGATATAACTAGAGGCTCAAGAAGTCTCATTTGCTAATTTGGCAAAATTATGCAATATTAATATTTGCATTAAAATTAGGACAAAAGAACCTATTTACAAAAACGTCCCATACTGGCTCATAGTACTGAATAACTTCCCAAAAGTTCTTTAGGGTTGGCACTAAAAATTAAAGAAGTAGGGTATTTTTTATTCAGCCTTAATCAAGATGGCTATATGTTGGTTGTTATATATAAATGAAAGACACCTAAAACAGCCAAACAAAAATCTAACCTTTGAATTCTGATTTGTTACTATCTACAAGATGATCTTCTTTAACAACAGGATTTCTACACACTCTACACTGTAGATAGACAGACATTCTAAAAACCTGGAATAAAAATGAAAATATAAGTTACTAAGTTAGCTCCACTTATAGCAATTTGAAAAAAAATAATTCACAATGTCACAAATTATTGCAGCTCAGGCTGATATTGTTATTTCCACCGTCCACTTTGTGAGTGAGCAGAGTTGAACGCTATGTCATATCTTTTCTTCTACTGTTGCTGCTACTAACCATTCAAGAGAACCTGATTTCATCCCTAGTTTTGTTAAAAAGGGGTTCATGATGCCTCAGCCTTAGTTTTCAGTAATGTGTTTTAAGCTATCCTATTTTTCAAGGTCTCTGTGGTTATTTAGTTTTGTTCTATTTTTGTCAGAGATACCATGTTTTTATTTAAACGTTCATATTTGGTCATATTTAATGGTTAGAGAATGTGCAAAAGGTTATCAATTGTTGTCATTTGTTGATGTCGTCAGGTAAGTCCATTTTTGTATGATGTCTAACAATAGGGTCATATCAACATATTTTAAAAGAGTTACAAAGTGTCACTAATGGAGAAGGAACTTTGACCCTTTCACAGTTTCCGAGTTCACCTGCTGTCTGACACTTTTACAGCCTCTGAGTTCACCCCTGTATAGTGTTTTGTGGAATGTTCTTTGCTTGATTATCTCTATTGATCTTTTTGACTGTGTTTCTTCAACTTATGTTTTTTTCCCCTAAGTATCTTTTCCCACTTCGTCATGTAGAAATGTATATATTTCAAATTTGCACTTCCATTTCCATGGAAAATTGACGTAAGCTTTGCAATCAATATTATTACAAAATCAGAGATTAAACTTTACTCTAAGCATTTGGAAATAGCATTTATGCCTGAGCTGCAAGTAAGTTGAATACTTCTTCAACAGCATACTTTCATGGTTAGTCAGTTGTATTAACGGTAGTTTTACAGAATCTAAAAATTTGGAATACGTTTACCTGTTAATTCATTTTTAATAAAAATCAGAATACCACCTTCATTGATGACCTTGTTTTGAACTGGCTAAAAATGATTATTTTTTTTTTAAATATCAATCCTGCAAAGTCTCTTAAAACTTTTTATTGTGAAGTTTTATTAAACATACATTTTGAATGGTTTTACACTAGTCATTTTTGGGGCCCTTTATAGCTTGCTGTTCGGTGTGAGCCAAGGCTCTGTGTTAAAGACCGTACTTTGACCTATAATGGTTTCTTTTTACAAATTGTGACTTGGATGGAGAGTTGTCTCATTGGCACTCATACCACATCTTCTTATATCTATGTACAGAAGACATTATGTTAATCTCTAAATGGATTTTGTGTTGATTGGTTGTTGTCTCATTGAGGTACTTCAAATACTCTTTTATACAGACAGAAAGACACAAATTGATGGCAATGATACACATAGGTCCTTTGTTGAGCCAAATATATGTTTCATTAATGATTATGTAAATTTATCATGTTAATTCTAGAAATCAAGCATTGTCTAAATGCTTTCGAGACGTTTCGGCCACACAACCAGCTTAACCAGAGTTTGTTTTGGCCACAGCACCAGTTCAGCCACAGTCGTTTCGGCCATAGTCATTTTGGCCACTTTATTTTATATTCATATACATACATTAATTGTTTTGACAGAAGTTTGTTTTTGAAAAAGAATATGACTTAACAAAGTCATTTTGTCATAATAAATAAAATAAATGTGTACGTCCATCTGCTGTGAAAAGAAGATGTAACACATGCATGACATGTTTAAGACATTAACATGATTAACGACGTTTGCCTTTGACTTTGGTGCTTCATTTTTTTACAACAGAGTATAGAAGATAAACAATTTGTCTATAACAAATACAAGTATGAGAAACATAGACACCGACGACTGCATTTTCATGTAAACCATCTTATATTTATACACATCTGTTGTGTTGATCCCATTTTAATAGATTTATGTTTGATATTGTTCAGTTTGTTGAGATTGAACTCGTATTAAGTTGTTTCATTGGGCATGTTGGGAATCATACCAAATTTCTTTTTTGGTATTTTTTTAACAATTACTTGACAAAAGCATCATTAGATATACATATTCATATATATAGAATTCATAAATTGAGATACATTTTTATCATAAGGGAAATAAATGTAAGATTAAAATGTACTTTTCCGTTTGTTTCTTAACATCTGTTTCTAGAAACAATTATATTTTCCTCCCTTTATAACAATAAAAATCATGGCCGTAACAACTTTACAAAGTATGGCCGCATTGGCAGTATGGACGAAACGACTGTGGCCAAACTGGCAGTTTGGCATAAATGTCCTGCAATGGTCTGAATGACAATTTAAGAGGGCTGGGTCAGGTTTCCAGAATAAAGAAAACTGGACAAAAAATTATAGAGAATTGCCCTAAAATTTAGAATGAAGTCTCTTCCCTTCTTTATGTAAGTTAATGTGGTGGCTATGGAGTTTTAATGAATGTTTAAAAGAGGTAGAAGATACCAAAGGGGGGGATAAAAAACCAGGAGTTGAATAAAAACAGTAACCATGGTAACAGTCTTAATAGTGATGGGAATTTCTCAGATTTTTCAGATTAACAACCGCCAAATATGCATCGACTGATGATAGATGATCAGTACAAGGTGATTTATAGGTTATTTCTCAAATCGTATCTTTCATCGGAGAAGATCGCAAATTTCGCACGCCCTAATGGCGTCATTTACCAGATAGAAGGTGTGCCTGTATTCCTGCACTATTTAAGTATCAAGCATTTTCAAAATCGTCTTTCTGCAGGGTCGTCTAGAAATAATTTATGTTCCATAAGTACTTAATCTTAATTCCCGTACGACTGAAGGGATGGGGAACAACTAATTAGATTTCAAATTCCCATATATTTTGTGCAGTAAAGCATCAAATTTTTTCACTCATTCGCTCATAATGTGTTGGAAGTGACGATGCCTTCATTTTGGTCACGTGGTGATGGAAGTCACATGACAGATTCAACTAACTACCATATCTCGGAACTGGCGTATTCTGTCGAGTTTCATAACATATTAACAACCAGATTGATGAATCCACTTAAAAATACAGGACAGCAAACTCTGAAATTTAACTTTTGTCTTTGAGACTTATACGAACCAATTATTCACAAAACGTCATGTGCTTATTTCTGCACATATTTCATTCTGATTTTTACGTGTAAATATTTCGCAAAATTTCATCAGTGGACACGATCAATGTCAATTTTTACTTTCATAATAATTGCAGAAGTTCTCATTTTGCTAAACGTTTAGACGAGAAAGATTAATTTACAAACTGTAAACCAAACAGTGCGGATCTGTATTTCCGTGCACATATGAATGCAAAAAGGATGAAGGAAATTCTCTTCTTGACAGCATTGGATACTCAAAAAGCTTTCGACGTAGTCAACCACAGCATCCTTCTTGATAAACTCTTTCAAAAAGACATTCCTCCTGAGATTTGGGAAACTATATACGAAATGTACAACGACCTTACTTCAAGGGTTAATTGGAAAGGCCAACATAGCAATAGCTTTCCAGTTCAACAGGGAGTCCGTCAAGGTGGTATCCTGTCCACGCATCTTTATAAAATTTATATTGAAGACCTTTTAAGACAGTTAGAAGATTCAAATATTGGTTTATATCTAGGCACAAATTATGCAGGATGTCCTACGTGCGCAGATGATATCCTACTCTTATCTGACTCGGATGAAGAAATGCAAATCATGCTCAGTGTAGTAGACTCATATTCGAAAGAACATCAATATAATATCCACCCTGAAAAGAGTGTTCTCATTAAACAAAATGAAAATTCCACAAACTCTAGGAAATCATCCATATGCTCCTGGTCTCTTTGGGATAAGTCCGTTTCAGAGACAGATAAGGCCTCACATCTAGGTATTATAAGATCATCAAAAAATGAAAATAAAATAAATGTGAAAGACCGCATTAATTTAGCCCGAAGAACAACCTATTCACTTATGTCAACAGGTGTACATGGCACAAATGGCTTGAATCCAAGGATTTCCTATAGTATTTATAGAATCTACATATTACCCCGTCTGCTCTACAGTCTAGAAGTTTTACCTCTTACGAACAGCCAAATCAACGACTTGGGTGACTTCCATTTATCCTTCTTAAAAAATATTCAGGCTCTTCCAACAAGAACAGCTTCTGCTGCAGTATTCTCACTACTGGGTGCCCTCCCTATAGAGGCCGAGCTCCACAAAAGACAATTAAGCCTTCTGCATTCAATCCTAGCGTCTGAAAATCAAAATCTTAGGGATATCTTGTTGCGTCAGTACCGGTTAGAGATTTGCAATGGAACTTTTCTACGTAGAACAGAAAATGTCCTGCTTCAATATAGCCTACCAAGCATTGATGAGCTTCTAATATTTCTTCCAACAAAAATTAAATGGAAACAATCCGTTAGACATGCTATTAATACATTTTGGAGTAATAAATTTAGGTCTTTGAGTAAAGAAAAATCAACCCTGATTAGGCTCTGTACTGACATTATCAATATAGGAGAAATACATCCAGTTTGGAAAACAGCAACAGAAATTCCGGGGGATACAAAGAAAGCCATAACAAAAGCTAGAATACTAACTGGGACCTACCTTTTACAAGCAACCAAAGCTAAATTTAATATAGGAAGTGCAGACCCAATTTGCCCCCTTTGCAAACTCGAGGAAGAAAACCTTCTACATTTCCTAACTAGATGTCCATCTCTGGAAGGGGTCCGTAGGACTTTTTATGCCCCATTAAAACAGGCTGTTATAAATAAAATTGGGATTGATCAGTGGAAAACAAATTTTCAAAATAGGGAAACATTAAGCCAATTAATTGTTGACTGCAGAAAACTAGTGGGTTCTATACTTCCAAACGACAACAATTTTTTAAATATGGTTGAAACAATTTCTAGGAATCTGTGTGATAAATTACATCAACAGAGGTTAAGTCAGATTAATGCTCTATCATAATATAAACATCCATTAATAATAACATGGAATTGAGCTTT